AATTTAGTTGTAAATCTGTCATCAATAGAACTAACTGACTCAGACGAAAAACTAGTGAGTAAAGGCCTTAATTTCTGTCCAGTTCCAGCAACCGTCAATAATTTACAACTTGAGACAGATGTAGAAGCATTTGCCAGGCGTCTTCGTTTGAAAGAACATTTCAATAGACAATAGAAGAAAAATTTTAAAAGAAGCAGGAATCAATTAATCTGATTATGAGAGTAATGAAGGAGACATATGCATCCGAAAATTTAAAAAGAAAAGTACATGGAATCCACCAAAGCAGAAACGATAATTTGGAATCATTTATTTCATCAGTCAAAGCTGAAGTCAGATCTTCAATCAGTGGTAAACGAGTGCGAAATATTTCAAAGTCAGAAAGCCAAGCCATGATAAACTTAAAAGACCGTGATGACATTGTTATCAAACAAGCGGACAAAGGAAGTGCCGTTGTTGTGATGAACAAGGCAGACTACATCGGAGAAGGGAATCGTCAGCTCTCCAACACTAAATTTTATAAAGAATTAACATGTGATCCAACCAAAGAAATCAACAACAAAATTAATGACGTCCTCTCAGAAATGAATAAAGATAAACAAATTGATGACGATACGTACGATTATCTACGCCCAGACGAAACTTGCACAGCCGGTCGATTTTACTTACTTCCAAAACTCCATAAAGAAGGGATTCCAGGGAGACCTATAGTATCAGCTAATGGCCATCCCACCGAAAAAATTTCAGAATTTGTTGATTACCACCCTAGACCACATGTTAGACAACTGCCATCTCATATTCAAGATACAACTGACTATTTGAAAAAAATGAATTCCTTAAGTCCTTTACCTAATGACACAATTTTGGTTTCGATGGATGTGTGTTCTTTATACACAAATATTCCAAAAGATGAAGGAATAGCCGCGTGTGAAAAAGTATGGAACACTCGAAAGGATAAACATCCGCAAACTGACTGTCAAGTTCAATTGCTCAAGCTAGTGCTTGAAAATAACAAATTTATTTTCAACGACAAGCACTTTTTACAGATTGACGGAACTAGTATGGGAACAAAAATGGCACCTTCTTTTTCCAACATTTTTATGGGGGATCTTGAAGAACGTATCCTTTTGAGTGTGCCATACAAACCCTTGTCATGGCTCCGTTTTATTGATGATATTGACATGAAATGGAACGATACTGCAGAACATTTACAAGATTTCTTAGATCATTGTAATCCGTTCCATCGTTCAATTAAATTTACATCTGAATTTTCAAGCGAGAAAATTGCTTTTCTCGACACCACCACATTTTTAAAAAACGGGGTCATGACAACTGATCTCCACACAAAGAAAACTGATAAACACCAGTTCCTTTCTCCAAAAAGTTGTCACCCGAAACACTGCTCCAGGAGCATACCTTACAGTCAAGCCATCAGACTAAAGCGAATTTGCTCCTCGGAATCCAAACTCAACTATCGTTTGGGACAACTAAAAAAACAAGTAAAATCAAGAGGATACAAAAGCAAAAACATCACAGACGCTTTTGATAAAGCCCAAGAAAAAGATCGAGATATCCTCATGGAATACAAAGATAAGACGACCCGCGCAGATAGAATTCCGTTTGTTGTCACCTTCCATCCCGATTTGACAAATATTTCATCTACTATCCGCAAGCACTGGCGTCTTATCAAAAATGACTCTTCCTTAAAAGAAATTTTCCATCACCTCCTGTTATTGCCTATCGCAGACCCAAAAATCTCAAAAACATACCTGTTACATCTAAAGTAAAGAAACAAGAGACTTCTAAAATTGGGTGTTACAAACAATGCGGAAGAACCAATTGTAAGTGCTGTAAAGTCGCCAACACTGACCACTGTTTCAGCAGCACAGTAACAAAGCAGCGATACAACATCTATGTTACATCTAATTGCAAAACAGAAAATAGTATTTATATTCTTACTTGTGGAACTTGCAAGCTGCAGTATGTTGGTGAAACAGAAACGAAATTCAACATCAGACTTAACAATCACCGGTCTTTTTATACAAAAGGAAGAAACTGTCTAATTACGAGACACCTCTTAAGAACAGGGCATACTTTTGAAAATATCATCTTTCAAATAATTGAGGTAAACCAAAATTGGGACTCCCAAAGGAGAAAACAGAGAGAAAGGTTCTGGATGCATCAGCTACGTACTCTTAAACCTGATGGACTTAATGAGAGAGATGAAAAACAGTTCTACCCAAAACCAAAGGAATAAATCCTGAACTTCATTCTATTTAACTAAAACAACTATTTGTTTTGATTTAAGAATTGCTATGTACAATAAGCGGTAAAAATATTTTTCTAGACAATTTACAAACATATATTTTTTATAGAACATCAATAAATTTTGTTAAACTTTTACTCAAATTTTGTGTAATTCAAGCTAACAATAAGCGGCAAAAGTATTTTTCTAGACAATTTACAAACATATATTTTTTTATAGAACATCAATAAATTTTGTTAAACTTTTACTCAAATTTTGTGTAGTTCAAGCTACAAAAATATTTTTTGTCATGCATCCGATTTCACCTTGAGAGATGCACACGCCTGATGAAGCTAATTTGTTTTGCGAAATATTGCGTGAATAATATAAAATATAACAACTAATTTTATGACACTCATTAGTGTGTTAAAGTTACATTCTTAGGCACTTATATATATACACGTTCAACACTTCCTTTATCAATTTGAAAGGTCTGTAATTGTTACCTACCGAACATGTTATCCCCTCTACCCATGCAATAAAATTCTTTCGGAATATAAAGCAGCCATTGGTGGATTCAGGTGGGGTAAAATACCTACGCCTAGCATTTTATCCGCAAAATATCATTTTTTAGCCTAAAATTGTCAATTTATTTTTACCATTTTATCAACTACGTCCCCTTTTTCCCTTGGACCATGCATGGTTCATCCCCGTTGGCATCGTATCAATTATCGACATGCTTATCGATTAATTTCGACATAAACGTTTCAACAACATTATTAGGGTCACTATTTTCAGGAAAAGACAGTATATGATTTAGATTTAGCTCGCAGAAAGTTTTCTTTAACTTTACACATGTGTGTTTAATACTGATGTTATCGACCAACTTATAAACGTTTGCATTTGAACGGTTTCAGCTCATATTACTTAATATCTCGGCATTCCAACGAAATTTTTAAAGGTTCAAAAAGGAATAGCAAAATAATGTCAATAATTAATTATAACATTCTGCATCAAAAAAACATTAGGACTATTCAAGGATTTGTATAGTATACAAATCCTTGGACACTATACAAATCCTTGGACTATTCAAACTTTATCTTTCTGTTCCTTTACAAAGATATTGAATATCATAAAGGCATCCAACTTTTCATTTTTGTTTCATTTTTTGTATTGGGTACCTGAGAAAAAATTCATCAACGATACCATCTATGCTTATGATTTTATACGCCAGACGCGCGTTTCGTCTACAGAAGAATAAAGAGAACAACAATCATAGTTAGTATAGTAAAACACATACAGTACTTATTAATATAGATCTGAGTTATGCCGCTTTGTCCGACGAATATCAAGTACATACTCGAACTGTATCAATATAACTTTCATGATATGTAGTTTTTATGCCCCACATAAGGGCATTATGTTTTTCGGTCTGTACGTCCGTTCGTTCGTCCGTTTGTTCCGCTTCAGGTTAAAGTTTTTGGTCAATGTAGTTTTTGATGAAGTTGAAGTCTAATCAACTTGAAACTAAGTACACATGTTCCCTATGATCTGATCTTTCTAATTTTAATGCCAAATTAGAGTTTTGAACCCAATTTCACGGTCCACTGAACATAGAAAATGATAGTGCCCGCTTAATTCATTTCAGGTTAAAGTTTTTGATGAAGTTGAAGTCCAATCAACTTGAAACTTAGTACACATGTTCCCTATGATATGATCTTTCTAATTTTAATGCCAAATTAGAGTTTTGGCTCCAATTTCACGGTACACTGGACATAGAAAATGATAGTGCGAGTGGAGCATCCGTGTACTATGGACACATTCTTGTTTTTAAATGTGTTGAGAACAAACACACTATTTCATTTCCCCATATCTCCGTTTAACTTCTTTTTCCCTTATTCAAATATTTACAGTGATAGTGCAGCTTGAAAGGATGTGTATTGCAGGGCGGATCTAGCCATTTTTAAATGGGGATTTCCAACCCAGGATAAATGGGGGGGGGGGGGGGGGGGGGGTTATCACCATATGTCCCCATTCAAAAGCATTGATCGTCAAAAAGGGGGTTCCAACCTCTGGACATCGTCTGAAGAGCCAAGAAAGAGGAAGTGCAAATTTCATCTTAGTCCCATTTTGAAAGTCTTTCAGGCAATCGTTACAAAGTCAAAGCGTTAGAGTCTTAACATGCTTAATTTATGTCACGATTTCTGGACATTTCACCAAATTATAAACGTCTATTAAAGATGGATCAAAATAACAAGTTTGATGGATTTTGACAAATGTGTAGTATTTTTTCTTCAAACAAATTAAAAAGAATAATATTTCTGATCAAAAACATAATTCTATCAATAAATATATTAATTATAGGCTCAGTTTCAGATACAGTTGCAAAATTTGGTTACCATGGCCCGTTGATTCCATTAAAAACACATGCAAATTTTGCAATATAATTTCAAAAGTATATCAAACAGCATTTGCAGGACTGAATAACAATCCAATTTTACGGATGTATATAAAAAGAGATAAAGGTCACTGAATTTGCTTAACAATTTGTTTTATATTGTATATTTTGTAAGACCTGGGGAGCCTATAACTCTTCAATACATTATGTACCAGATGAAACCAGAGAATATAAAATCTCTAGTGAAACTGGCTTTATAACTTGGTACGTGACGAACCGATTCATTAAAAAAACTAATTTGGGTTATTAACTATTTTCATTCGGAATGTGACCGGAATATCTCTAGATTTTAGGTATACTATACTTTGGAAAAACAAACATGGAAGTCAAAAAGTGACAAAACACATATATTTGTTGAGAGCTGACAAATGTTGTAAATTACATACTAACCATAGCAAAAATGGCATCAGAATCTGACCAACATGCTATTTCATCGCGGAAAGCATTAAAAGTGGCAGTTAGTGCACTGTGTTTAGAAGTAGGGTTTCAGACAGCTGAAGAGTCAGTTATTGAAACATTGACTGAGATGTTGGAAAGTTGTAAGTTGTAAACAATATACAAGTATGCCATTTCAATGCTTTATGGAAACTAAAAAAAACGAAACTGAAGCGGCGTTAAAAGCCATGGTCTTCGAAGGAACTAATGTTACAACAGCAGGCCAAGACTCGTGCTACTGGTAAATTGGGACGAAGAAGTCAGTTTCCCATTTATTACTGAGCTTTTCCCAACCGTATAAAGCATTATCTAGTCATGGGGGTCTTCAGTCACTTGCATCATCAGTATTTTTCTCAGCAGCAAGTTGATCAGTTAATGTTTGGGCAATTTTTATCTATATGTAAAGAAATTCAAATAAAATAGAGAATGGAAATGGGGAATGTGTCAAAGAGACAACAACCCGACCAAAGAGTAAAAAACAGCCGAAGGCCACCAATGGATCTTCAACACAGCGAGAAAATCCTGCATCCAGAGGCGGACTTCAGCTGGCCCCTAAACAAAAATGTGTACTAGTTCTCTGAAAATGGACGCCATACCAAACTCCTAAACATATAAATGAACTAAAATTTAAAAAAAACACAAGACTAACAAAGGCCAGAGGCTCCTGACTTGGGACAAGTGCAAAAATGCGGCGGGGTTGAACATGTTTAGTGAGATCTCAACCCTCCCCCTATACCTCTAGCCAATGTAGATTAAACAAACACACAGCAATACGACATTTTGACGATTTAATTATTTCTGAAGAAACAAAGTGCGCTTAAGCATTGACTTTGTAGACTGGTCTGATGTTATTTCAAAAGAACAAATTTTTATGCAAACAAATCTAAGTGATTTTCTTTAACATGTTTAACTTCCGATACATGTACATGTACTTGTTAGGAATGTACAATCAAAAGATTGTCGGCAAAATAATTACACGTACGTGACATGTACTTCATTCACCGTATCGCTATTTGTTAGCCATTATTACTGTACATGTCACATTACAATAGAAAATATCTGACGCCATAAAGGAAAAGTGACTATTATAACTTGTATAAAGTCAATAGTTCAAGTGTTGCAGATATCCAAATAGTGGTAATTATAAGGTCTATTATTAAAGACATCATTAAAATTGCCTTCAGTTAATGAATGATACATTTATTGCATTACAATCCAAATTGCTTGTTAATGATTAATTATTTTTGTATATTTTTTTCATGGATATCATGGATATTAATGGGAGTGTCTTTATACCACAGAATACTACAGAATACCACAGAACATCCAAATTATAATTCTAGACATTATTATTGTTGTAATAGTGTCATATTATGACATTTCTTATGCCATAAAATCATCCCCCCACCTGACTTCATCTGTAGTAGGGCACATAGATCTACACAATAGCACACAAAAATACCCCCAAACTCTCAAGAACATACAAAATATAGTTAAAGTCACACCAATTGAAATTGTGGATATCTTTGTGATATTTTTTGTTGTATATATATTTACAAGAATGAAATTATTTAAATTGTATCTTTTATTTCATTTTAAATATTTTTAAGTGCACGAGTTACATTTATTTTTTGTATAAAAGAATTAAATAATGAAAGTTTATCGTTTTTTTCATCTTTGAATATTTTATGTGCATATTTTGATGTGGGTCTAAGGAAGCAAATACGTGACATTGCAAAAATAAAATTATCATTGAATTTTTTTATTAAAAATAGTATGATCTTTTTTAAACTCTAGTAATCGATAATTTATAACTCAAAATTTTGACTTTTTAAATCTTTATGTTATGACTTTATAATAAAAATTTCGACTTTTTTACATCTTTAAATTTGACTTTTAAAAACTTAAAATTTATACTTTTTAAATGTCAAAATTTTTACATTAACTCAAAATATTACCTTTTTTACATCAAAGTGTTGACTTTCAAAAAATAAAAATGTCTGTGGTATATCTTAATCCTTTTAATGTGTTTTTTTGTGTGTGTGTGTCACTCTGATCATTCAAGCCGCTTACCTGGGACAGTGGTGTATTACCTATGTCATTTGTAAATTGTTAATGGAACCCAATGCAACATTTAACTAAAATTACTTTAATACTATAGAATACTATGATATTTATAGGAACGCCTTTATTTTTCCTTATAGTTTTAATGGAGCTTGGCAGGAGTACACAGGCCTTTGCAGAATTAGCTGGCAGAACGGAAGGAATCATGACAGATGTTATAATGGCTTTAATTGAAATGGGTTTGTAAATATTAAATGCACGTACATTATTATACCCCTGCAATGTTTGGGGGTATATAGGAATCAAGCTGTCTGTTTGTCCATACTGACTTCTTTATCCTTTGTTTGATTTATTTCGAACTTTGTAGAATAATTGATCATGCTATGCAAGCATAACCATTTGAAGGATTTTCATTATGTTCAGTTTATCCAGGATTATGTCCCTTTCATCATAGAAATGTTTACCCTTTTCAGAAATAACCTTGTCCTGCTACATGGTCTATCATATCTACATGAAACCTAGTACATTATTATATTCTGATATGCAGATTCAACTTAACTACTACTTGTTACTCATCAAAGTCCATACTGGACATCTACTTACGAGGAACATGTGCATGTGGAAAGGATATTCCAATCCAGTGAGATTTATTTAAGTTTGGAGTCGTGGTATACTGTTTAACCTTTGTCTGTCCATATGTCCGTGCGTCCAATGAAATTCGGTCTAGTTTTTCCGAGAACAACAAATCAGAAGTACTTATACTTATATATATTCTAACATAGAATGGCCATGAAATTTTTGCCGCATATATCTAGGGAATTATAAATAAGAGCTTCCTGAAACTTGTTATCAAGCTTTATGTCAGCATGCTTTACCATGTAATGTATAGACAAGTGACTTTACATGTACCATACCTCAAGCTATAAAAGCACCAGAGTAGACGAATTATAAATAAATAGCAATACGACAGAAAAAATCCGTCTTCAACACCAAATTCAATAGGACAAAATATGCAAATATATAAAAGAAATATTCCAGAATGAACTGTTTAAGGGTTGGAAGTCACCATATAATAATCAAGATAATTATACAAGTAGGGTTAAAAAAAAAAAATCACACAAATATGCATTTAATTTCTAATTAAAATTGTATGGAATGTGCCAATGGAAATTTGCCTCCCAAATCCTCCATACATTTAATTTTCTAATAGCTCCAAGGATGGCTAATAACAAGGTTGCAGACTTTGGACTGCAACATTGACATATAAAGGGGGTTACACTATTTTTTTAATACTTAACTATTCTTCTTTTTATCACAATCAGTAACCTACCAAATGAAACATAGAGGAATGTTAAATAAAAACCTGTTCAGGAATAGCTCTTTACTCTACATTATCATTATATTGTTGAAAAAAAACATGCAAAAGAAACTTAAAAATAGAATTGCAAATAATTATTTGAGATAAATATAAATTTATCCATGTATTTATGTTTGCATTTTTAGGTCAAAATATTCATGCATTACCAGGGCATGCCAAAAGACCAAATAAAACAGTATTTCTCCCACGTAAGTTTTTCAAGACAGAAATATTTTCTACAATTACATGTATTGCACAAAACAGTCCAAGAATCTGTAAATTAATAATAACAAGAAATGATTGTAACAGGATGCTGTTACGAAGTCTCCCAAACGAAGCTCCCATAATTCGTAATTCCCAGGGTCACCTGACATTGGGCAAAGTCCAGTGAAAATTGGTTTGGTCAAGTAAAGTTATATGCATAAGTGATGCCTGGGGACTAACCCTGTATATCATTCAAATCATCTTGGCATGACAAACCAGAATATATATGGTTTAGGGGTGGGGATCTCGACCATTTACAAGATATTAGAACTTTCTCAAATGGCAGGGGGTCCGGATGACCCCTGGGGACTAACCCTGTATATCATTCAAACCATCTTAGCATGACAAACCAGAATATATATGGTTTAGGGGTGGCGATCTTGACCACTTACAAGATATTAGAACTTTCTTAAATGGCATGGGGTGGGGGTGACCCCTGGGGATTAACCCTGTATTTCATTTCATGTGCTTTATCATGACAAACCAGAATATATATGGTTTAGGGGTGGGGATCTCGACCATTTACAAGATATTAGAACTTTCTCAAATGGCAGGGGGTCAGGATGACCCCTGGGGACTAACCCTGTATATCATTCAAACCATCTTAGCATGACAAACCAGAATATATATGGTTTAGGGGTGGGGATCTCAGCCATTTACAAGATATTAGAACTTTCTCAAATGGCAGGGGTCGGGATGACCCCTGGGGACTAACCCTGTATATCATTCAAACCATCTTAGCATGACAAACCAAAATATATATGGTTTAGGGGTAGGGATCTTGACCACTTACAAGGTATTAGAACTTTCTTAAATGGCAGGGGGCGGGGGTGACCCCTGGGGACTAACCCTGTATTTCATTTAATCGGTTTTATCATTTAGAACATTTTCAATTAAAAAGATTGTGTCTATCACAAATGGTTTTCAATTTATAATCATTTGAAAATTTTTAAAAATAAAATCCCATAGGGTTCTATAGTAAAACCCTCTTTTCTTTTTGCCCCTCAAAGTACCCCTTTATAAACCCCATTGCACAAACAAAACCCTGATTGCACCACTAGACATGTTAATCTAACATATTGTGAAACCCTAAGTTAATCTGACAAGCAGTTTTGGAGAACGGGTGCGGACAAGTTCAAATTTAAAAGCGGCGGAAGAGGAAGAGGAAGAAGAATAATAATAATAATAATAATAAGAACTGAGCAAAAACAATAAGTCTTCCCAAACGAAGACTTAATAATACATAACAATTGAAAAAGCCAAAAGCTACAAAATTTTACTAAATGTTCTTACTAATTTCAAATAAATTTTAAGGAAATTGGTACTAGTTTATTACCTAGCATTCTCTCTCTTTGATATTATGTTTTCAAATATGGCAAAAGTTCAATTGTACGATTTAAAAAAGAGAAATATATGAAAATTGATTAGACTCTAAAATAACTTTTATGTATAGTCAGTTTCAATATCTTAAAAATTATGATGGTTGTCAATTGCAGAGAGTTAATATTGGCAGTATTTTTACTTTATAGATGTCAAACTGACTTTGAATATTTTATTTTTTCAGTGTTTATTTTGGAAACTATAAACTTTGTATATTACAAGAATATTTTTTGTTAACCTTTAGGCCAAAATGGCCTAAACCAGACATTCTTCCTAAGAGTATGTTAATTGAAGTACTACAGTATCCAACTAGATACATCTGTTGAATAACATGTTTCGTTCGTTTGTTTTCCAGCGGCACACAGTGCTCCACATCCCAATATTAAGATGTTACAGACAGGAGATCGTAGAGAACATCCTTCACACATACCAGACTATCTACCTCCCTTTCCTGATCCTCATACATACATAAAAACTTCTGTAAGTTATAGTATTGTAAAACTTCTGTAAGTTATAGTGTTGTAAAACTTCTGTAAGTTATAGTATTGTAAAACTTCTGTAAGTTATAGTGTTGTAAAACTTCTGTAAGTTATAGTATTGTAAAACTTCTGTAAGTTATAGTATTGTAAAACTTCTGTAAGTTATAGTATTGTAAAACTTCTGTAAGTTATAGTATTGTAAAACTTCTGTAAGTTATAGTGTTGTAAAACTTCTGTAAGTTATAGTGTTGTAAAACTTCTGTAAGTTATAGTATTGTAAAACTTCTGTAAGTTATAGTATTGTAAAACTTCTGTAAGTTATAGTATTGTAAAACTTCTGTAAGTTATAGTATTGTAAAACTTCTGTAAGTTATAGTATTGTAAAACTTCTGTAAGTTATAGTATTGTAAAACTTCTGTAAGTTATAGTGTTGTAAAACTTCTGTAAGTTTTAGTGTTGTAAAACTTCTGTAAGTTATAGTATTGTAAAACTTCTGTAAGTTATAGTAAAACTTCTGTAAGTTATAGTGTTGTAAAACTTCTGTAAGTTATAGTATTGTAAAACTTCTGTAAGTTTATAGTGTGGTAAATTCTTTAAATGTTTCTGTAGGTAGTGTATTTTGATGCAATTTTATTTTTCAACAGTTATTAAAGAATAGCTCCAAACCGTAAAATGTTATTAGTTAAAATATGAATAAAAAAAGACGTTGGATTCAGGTACATGAAGCTGCAACTCAATGTCACAAAAATCAATACATTCTTAAAAAGTTGTAAATAAGTTAAACAAAGATCATCAGTAAATCTTATGCATTTTGTTTTCATGTCATTTCATTCCATTCTTTTGTAGACCAAAAAAGCTCCAATGAGTGAATATCAAATGATCAGAGAGAAAGCAGCTTCTCAAAAACGTGATGTTGAGAGAGCATTAACAAGATTTATAGCTAAAACAGGAGAAACTCAGTCCTTGTTTAGAGATGATACAACAACATATCCTTGTAAGTTTTGATGCCTTATTGATTTATTACTTTAAAATAAAAATGTCAAGAAATTTAAGGCTATTTTACAGGTATAAAAATTTTGACTCCACTAAGACCAATTATTTACCTCCTAAAATAGGCACAATACTGTACACTGTGTATACATGAACATGTTTTTGTCGAGCTTGCGAATTTTGTCGCAGAAAGCTCGACATAGGGATAGTGATCCGGCGGTGGCGTTAGCTAACTTCTTAAAAGCTTTATATTTTAGAAGGTGGAAGACCTGGATGCTTCATACTTTGTATATGGATGCCTCATGTTACGAATTTTCTGTCAGTCACATGTCCAATGTCCTTGACCTCATTTTCATGGTTCAGTGACTACTTGAAAAAAAAGTTAAGATTTTTTGTAATGTTAAATTCTCTCTTATTATAAGTAATAGGATAACTATATTTGGTATGTGCGTACCTTGCAAGGTCCTCATGTCCGTCAGACAGTTTTCACTTGACCTCGACCTCATTTCATGGATCAGTGAACAAGGTTAAGTTTTGGTGGTCAAGTCCATATCTCAGATACTATAAGCAACAGGTCTAGTATATTCGGTGTATGGAAGGACTGTAAGGTGTACATGTCCAACTGGCAGGTGTCATCTGACCTTGACCTCATTTTCATGGTTCAGTGGTTATAGTTAAGTTTTTGTGTTTTGGTCTGTTTTTCTCATACTGTATGCAATAGGTCTACTATATTTGGTGTATGGAACGATTGTAAGGTGTACATGTCTAACTGACAGGTGTCATCTGACCTTGACCTCATTTTCATGGTTCAGTGGTCAAAGTAAAATTTTTGAGTTTTGGTCTTTTTTTCTAATACTATATGCAATAGTTCAACTATATTTGGTGTATGGAAATATTTTTTGATCTATATGTCAATCACCGAGGTTTTATTTGACCTTGACCTCATTTTCAAGGTTCATTGCTCAGTGTTAAGTTTTTGTGTTTTGGTCTGTTTTTCTTAAACTATAAGCAATAGGTCAACTATATTTGTTGTATGGAAGAATTGTTAGCTGTACATGCCTGCCTAGCATGGTTCATCTGACCTTGACCTCATTTTCATGGTTCATTGGTCAATGTTTAGTTTATTTGGTTAATGTTATGTGACAGTTGTAATAAAGCTTTATATTTAGGACTATCAACATAATATCAATGATTAGTAAAGAAGGCGAGACATTTCAGCGTGTGCACTCTTGTTTTATTTTGTTGGGATTTATTTTGTGTTTCAGCAGATGCTACAGTTTTTTGCTTTTGAGTGTATGTGTTCATCCCTTTTGACAAGATATTTGCTACCTTTTTATACGACCGCAAAAAAATTTTTGTGGTCGTATATTGGTATGACGTTGGCGTCGTCATCGTCGTCGTCCGGCGTCGTCCGGCGTCGTCCGAAGACACATTGGTTTTCGCACTCTAACTTTAGTTTAAGTAAATGGATCTTTATGAAATTTTACCACAAGGTTCAATACCACAAAAGGAAGGTTGGGATTGATTTTGGGGGTTATGGTAATAACAGTAAAGGAATTAGGGGCCAAAAAGGGGCCAAAAATAAGCATTTTTGTAACTTCCAGACATAACTTGTGTGTTAGTGTATGGATCTCTCTGACATTGTACCACAAGGTTCCATATCACTAAAGGAATGCTGGGATTGATTTTGGGGGTAATTGCCTCCAAATTTTAGGAATTAGGGGCCAAAAAAGGGGCAAAAAACAAGCATTTTTCTAGTTTCATGACAATAACTTGTGTGTAAGTGTATGGATCTTTCTGAAATTGTACTACAAGGTTCCATATCACAAAGGGAAAGCTGGGTTTGAGTTTGGGGGTAATTGCCCTAAACGTTTAGGAATTTGGGGCCAAAAAACACATTTTTTTCTAGTTTCCAGACAATAACTTGTGTTCAAGTGTATGGATCTCTCTGAAATTGTACTGCAAGGTACCATACCACAAAGGGAAGGCTGGGATTGAGTTTGGGGGTGATGAATCATAATGGGGGTTCAAAAAATTTTGGGGGGGATTTATTTTTTTTTTCTTTTTTTCCTTTTTTGTTTCTTTTAAAATTTTCCATTTTAAGTTGGTTATTTCTGATTTATATTTAAAATCAAATAATAATGATATGGTAGGAGATACACACCAAACAGGATGTGTAAATTATTATATAATAAGTATTGTGCAATAGCAAGAAATTTTCAATTGCACAGTATTGCACAATAGCAAGAAATCTTCAATTGCACAGTATTGCGCAATAGCAAGAAATCTTCAATTGCACAGTATTGCGCAATAGCAAGAAATATCCAATAGCACAATATTGCGCAATAGCAAGAAATTGTCAATTGTACAGTATTGCGCAATAGCAAGAAATATTTAATAGCACAGGATTGTGCAAAAGAAGATACTTCCTATAAATTGCTTATTTCTTGACCAATTTCAATGGGGTTTTATTCTTGATTTCATGGGGTTCTTTAATATGCTGAATCTAACCGTGTATTTAGTTTTTGGATTTTGGGCCCCGTTTTTAAATTGGTCCACATTGAGGTCCAAAGGGTCCAAAATTAAACTTTGTTTGATTTCATCAAAAATTGAATTATTGGGGTTCTTTGATATGCCGAATCTAACTGTGTATTTAGATTCTTAAATTTTGGTTCCGTTTTCAAATTGGTCTACATTAAGGTCCAAAGGGTCCAAAATTAAACTTAGTTTGATTTTAACAAAAATTGAATTCTTAGGGTTCTTTGATATGCTGAATCTAAACATGTATTTAGATTTTTGATTATGGGCCCAGTTTTCAAGTTGGTCCAAATCGGGGTCCAAAATTTAACTTTGTTTGATTTCAACAAAAATTGAATATATGGGGTTCTTTGATATGCTGAATCTAACCATGTATTTAGATTTTTGATTTTTGGGCCCTGTTATCAACTTTGTCCACATTGAGGTCAAAAGGGTCCAAAATTAAACTTTGTTTGATTTCATCAAAAATTGAATTATTGGGGTTCTTTGATATGCCGAATCTAACTGTGTATTTAGATTCTTAATTTTTGGATCCGTTTTCAAATTGGTCTACATTAAGAATAGCAAGAAATATTTAATAGCACAGGATTGTGCAAAAGAAGATACTTCCTATAAATTGCTTATTTCTTGACCAATTTCAATGGGGTTTTATTCTTGATTTCATGGGGTTCTTTAATATGCTGAATCTAACCGTGTATTTAGTTTTTGGATTTTGGGCCCCGTTTTTAAATTGGTCCACATTGAGGTCCAAAGGGTCCAAAATTAAACTTTGTTTGATTTCATCAAAAATTGAATTATTGGGGTTCTTTGATATGCCGAATCTAACTGTGTATTTAGATTCTTAAATTTTGGTTCCGTTTTCAAATTGGTCTACATTAAGGTCCAAAGGGTCCAAAATTAAACTTAGTTTGATTTTAACAAAAATTGAATTCTTAGGGTTCTTTGATATGCTGAATCTAAACATGTATTTAGATTTTTTATTATGGGCCCAGTTTTCAAGTTGGTCCAAATCGGGGTCCAAAATTTAACTTTGTTTGATTTCAACAAAAATTGAATATATGGGGTTCTTTGATATGCTGAATCTAACCATGTATTTAGATTTTTGATTTTTGGGCCCCGTTATCAACTTTGTCCACATTGAGGTCAAAAGGGTCCAAAATTAAACTTTGTTTGATTTCATCAAAAATTGAATTATTGGGGTTCTTTGATATGCCGAATCTAACTGTGTATTTAGATTCTTAATTTTTGGATCCGTTTTCAAATTGGTCTACATTAAGAATAGCAAGAAATATTTAATAGCACAGGATTGTGCAAAAGAAGATACTTCCTATAAATTGCTTATTTCTTGACCAATTTCAATGGGGTTTTATTCTTGATTTCATGGGGTTCTTTAATATGCTGAATCTAACCGTGTATTTAGTTTTTGGATTTTGGGCCCCGTTTTTAAATTGGTCCACATTGAGGTCCAAAGGGTCCAAAATTAAACTTTGTTTGATTTCATCAAAAATTGAATTATTGGGGTTCTTTGATATGCCGAATCTAACTGTGTATTTAGATTCTTAAATTTTGGTTCCGTTTTCAAATTGGTCTACATTAAGGTCCAAAGGGTCCAAAATTAAACTTAGTTTGATTTTAACAAAAATTGAATTCTTAGGGTTCTTTGATATGCTGAATCTAAACATGTATTTAGATTTTTTATTATGGGCCCAGTTTTCAAGTTGGTCCAAATCGGGGTCCAAAATTAAACTTTGTTTGATTTCAACAAAAATTGAATATATGGGGTTCTTTGATATGCTGAATCTAACCATGTATTTAGATTTTTGATTTTTGGGCCCCGTTATCAACTTTGTCCACATTGAGGTCAAAAGGGTCCAAAATTAAACTTTGTTTGATTTCATCAAAAATTGAATTATTGGGGTTCTTTGATATGCCGAATCTAACCGTGTATTTAGATTCTTAATTTTTCGTTCCGTTTTCAAATTGGTCTACATTAAGGTCCAAAGGGTCCAAAATTAAACTTAGTTTGATTTTAACAAAAATTGAATTCTTAGGGTTCTTTGATATGCTGAATCTAAACATGTATTTAGATTTTTGATTATGGGCCCAGTTTTCAAGTTGGTCCAAATTGGGGTCCAAAATTAAACTTTGTTTGATTGCAACAAAAATTGAATATATGGAATTCTTTGATATGCTGAATCTAATCATGTATTTAGATTTTTGATTTTTGGGCCCCGTTATCAACTTTGTCCACATTGAGGTCAAAAGGGTCCAAAATTAAACTTTGTTTGATTTCATCAAAAATTGAATTCTTGGGGTTCTTTGATATGCTGAATCTAACCATGTATTTAGATTTTGGATATTGGACCATAATAGGTGAATGTCCAATTTAAAATTTTTAAGTTCTTAGACCACATTCAATCTGTGTTAGAAACCTATGCTGTGTCAAATATTTAATCACAATCCAAATCCAAAGCTGTATCAAGCTTGAATGTTGTGTCCATACTTCCCCCAACTGTTCAGGGTTCGACCTCTGCGGTCGTATCAAGCTGCGCCCTGCGAAGCATTTTATTTCAATTTCAAATCTTTGCTTTTGTTTAAGGCAGTGCAGTTGCTTAATTATGGATACTGGTATATATTCAGCTTCTCTTTTTTTTATAGTTAACTAAAGTGTGTACCAATATTCTATATTTAAATCACTGTAAACCACCTTATTTTCATGCATTCTTTGTTATGTGTTTAGCCCATTTTACTAAACTTCAGGCAATTTTTTTGTTTGTGAATTTCTCATTTTCTTGATGTCTTTATCAATGTATAAGGGGAAGATTAAAGTTTTACATATTGGCCAGTGATGTATGTTTGTGTTATTGTTCTACTCATAAAAAATAAAATGCTTGCAAAAATTGGTTGGAAAACATTTATTGAAATTACTGTTCCAAATTAAAGTAATATTTTTTGGGACAGCAAAATAAATGATTTCATTAAAATCAGCAAACTGAAAATATCAGCTTCAGCTAACTTTGTGAACTGTATCAGAACTATAGTTTTCCAAATGTTTCTATTTCAGTAATTGCAGTTAAACCTATGCCTCTGCCATATTTGAATGCTTTGCTTCCAAAAGATCAAGATCTAGATTCTCAGGATCAACCAGAGACAATGGCAGTTAAAAAACGCAAAAGAGCACCAGAACAGTCTGAAGCAATTGGTGAAAATCCACAAGGAGTTGATGCAGATTCAATAGACAATCCATATTTGAGACCAATGAAAATTGCTAAATACAAGAAAAGATTAAAATAGTTATGAATTTACAATGGTGTTATTCATACTTTCATATTTTTCCTTGAACAGTATTAATCTTGAGGTTTCTAGAAGGATTTACATTGTATGCTTCATCCTGCTAATTTATATCATGGCCTATAGCATGTATAGTATGTAACTGGCATACCATTTCAATACAAAACAGTAAAGTGATGGATTGAAACCAATTTTAATACTGTGGATTCATTAATACTCGTTGGATACTAATTTTCATGGATTTTGTGGGTACAGAAAGACCACGAATTTAAATGTTCAACGAATTATAAATTTCTACAGAATTGTATGCAGATTTTGCCAAAACAATGAAATTAATTATCCACGAATATGCAAGTTTTCCTCAATCCACGAAAAGTGGTAAACACGAAAATAAATGAATCCACAGTATATTCATTCGAAGCAACAGCATGAAATGAAAAAGTTTCAGTTTTTATCAAAGAACTACTGATTAATTTATTTTCATTAGTATCAACTTTTGCTGTTTAGATGGTATCTAATTTGGTGGTATTCATTTGTTCCTAGCAGGCACTTATAAAAATTATTTTGTTGTGATGTCTGCCTTGCTTGTCAATCTTAGTCGTAAGTTTTTTTGTGAAACTGACTCTTGGAATACATGAGGTCCTATGTGATCAGAAGGAACCTTAAAAGAATAGCCAAATCCAACAAGGTTAACTTTGCCTGATAAAGTTGGAACCTTAGTTTCTTAAAAATTTCTAAATTATCAACAGAATTTATGAAAGGTACCCGGTATGTGATAAATCTTTTCTACTTTCCTGAGATCACCAGGTTTTTACATCCCATGAGCAACACTATGGTATTGACAAATTAAGCAAGGAAATGCTTACCTTCCGGAGCACTAAAGTTCCCTCTGTTTTTTTGGTGGGTTGATGTTCTCTAGTTTTCTGTATAGTTTTTGAAGACTTGTTCGGTTCATCTTTTATCTTTCAGCCATGGTGCTGTCTGTTTTTTTTTCAACCTAAGATTTGCACCCTTGATAGCCTCACCATCTTTATTTCAAGTTTTATGTTGTATATCATTTTTCAAATGCTGAACAGACACTCCTTTTTATAAGGATTTTATACATTTATAGTGCAGATTCCTATTATATCACAGATCTGTGTGCATCTTGTCCAAAGTGATATTTGTTTCCCAATTCAATTATGTCAAAAAGTATGAAAAATCGGTAAAATACAATAAACTAGAGGCTCTAAAAAGCCTGTGTCAGTCACCTTGGTCTATGTGCATATTCAACAAAGGACACACTCCAACATTGTAGACTAGAATTGAATTCATGACAAAAATCTGCTGATCTTGTATTGTTGATCATTTAGTTTCTCTCTTTCTTCTTTAGTTTTTGATCAAAACACAAAAGGGGTAAAAAAAAATCCTCATTTAAGGGCAATCACTCCTATAAAAAGTGACAGTCTACTAACTATATCAGCAAAATTTGACGTGTTAGTAGATCTTGCCTTGCTGATCATTTTTGTGATTTGAAGTGTCTATTTATCTATTATAATTTTTATCATATAAGACAAAACACAAAAAAAATGGTAAAAATCGTCATTAAAGGGCAATAACTTCAATAAAGAGTCGTTGGACGATTTCCTCCATTTGTCTTTATTGTAGATCTTGTCTTGCTGATCATTTTTGCTTATTTAAGTTTCTATCCATCTATTATAATTTTTAAGATGCAAGGCAAAAATGCCCAACTTGGTAAAAATCATCATCAAAGGGCTATAACTCTAATAAAGAGTTGACTGACGATTTCGACCATAAGACTTATATGTAGAACTTGTCTTGCTGATCATTTTTGCATTTTAATGTTTCTCTCAATCTATTATAGTTTTCAAGATAATAGGCAAAAATGAAAAAAAAAATGGTAAAATTTATTGTTAAAGGGCAATAACTCCTATGTGAAGTCGTCTGACAGTTTTGAATTATATAAACAATTGGTAGAGCTCAACATTCTGAACATTTTTGCTCTGTCAGATTTTCTCTATTCATAATGGTTTTCAAAATAATAGACAAAACTTGCATTTTACCTCTATGTTCTATTTTTAGCCATGTTGGCCATCTTGGTTGGCAGGCAGGGTCATCAGACAAATTATTTAAACTAGATACCCCAATGATGATTGTGGCCAAGTTTGGTTAATTTTGGCCCAGTAGTTTCAGAGGAGAAGATTTTTGTAAAAGTTAACAGACGACAGACGCCAAGTGATGAGAAAAGCTTTCTTGGCCCTGTGGGCCAGGTGAGCTAAAAATTCATGATTCTAGAACAGGGTATCAAAGAATAGCATATCACAAGAAGTATATAAATACTTGGATATAAGAAAGATAACCCTGTCATAATATCAAAGCTACAGGTATTAGTCTACACTTATACACCATAGGGTATTATATTATGTCCTTTTTACTAGTCAAAAGAAGAGAATAAATACACTGTGTAGATTGACAACAATCATCACTTGTGTATCCTTCATGCATTCTAATTTCTCAAGTTAATGAATAACAAACACTTATTGATGTACTGATTTTGTTTATTCTTCAAATGCATAGTAATTTAAAAGTAAATGTAATGTGTGTACATTTCTAATTTTCTTCATGCTATAAATAATGTTAATTATCTCCCTTGTCATCACTTCCTGTAAAATGCATTGAATCATTCGAGTCTTTCATCCTTTGGATTTTCTCTTTATTTTTTCAACCTATAATGAAAATGATATATGATAATTTTCAAAACTTTTCATTTAGTCCTTATTTTAAATGCGTAGACATAGGTGTATGTTTAAAGATTAATGCATTATGAAAATTATTCTTAACTGTTATATTTGTAACAAGTCATCCTTTACAACTTTATTACTTCTGTTGATTTTTAATATTTTTATGTTGTTAGCAAAAGAATTGCTAATAGTCCAGTGTCAATTTATACAAACCACTCGTCTTTTTCAATTTTGTAAATAGTCAAATCCTCCTATTCATTTGATAAAATTGCTACTACTTCCTTTACATGCATGGTGGTCTACCTTAAACAATATTATTTCATTATTTCAAAAAAAACTGACTTCTACGTGCAAATGTAAACAATGTAGAAATATTAATCCTGTCAAATACACATAAAAAAAAACATAAACCAGTTTGACAAATCTTGAAGTTATACCTGTAAAACTTCTTGTAATTGTTCTAATGCTTCCTGGAATGCTGGAACTATTGGTTGTAAATCTGCTTTGGTTACTTTTAATTCCTTTACAGATGTTTTCCCTGCTTCCCGTGTCATCTTTTTAAAGTGGAAAAACTGAAAATATTTCAACAAATTTTCAATGACTTTGACATCCAACCAGATTTGGTTTAATTTTTGTGACAACAGATTCTATTCTTTTTGGCAGAAAAGATTTTTCAATGAAACTGTACCTTCTGACATTGCATAGATGCCAACCGTTACAATTTTTCCGTAATCGTTACGATTTTTAGATGCTTTAGCGATTTGACACAAAATCTAAACAAGATGCTGTATCATACACTATAAGTTCATATGACAAGACAACACAACATTGATCAAAAATCAAGATAACTTTGTGTCATGAAAGGAAGTTCAGTAAAAGAATGCTTGATGTCTTAGCATTTACCCCTAAATACTATCAAATTTTAGGAAAGGACAACTTCTAATTAAAATTCTTGGGTTGGAAGCAAGGCTTCCAAAACGGTCATATATGCCGGACATTTTTATAATGTCCGGTAAAAGTCCGGCTGGGAAAAGCACAAAACGGTCATCTACTTTTTAGTTTTCAAGGCTTTCTTAAGAGACGGTCATTTTAACATAATTCACGATCTTTTTGACCCAACATTTTGCCTTTAACAGCCACACATTTCCAGTCATAAAAGTGACATGATCATTAAGTGCTATCAAAACAACCCCTACTTTAATACCTTCTAATTTTAATCAAGGCTATTTAGTTGTCGAACAGCTGAAATTTACCTGTTCAGGTGACAGGTAAACTATTTTGAACCGGACATTGATCGGTCTATTCAAAGTTATTTTCTTACATTTCAGCGGTTTGCATCTAATTAATTTAGTCAAAAAGATTTAAATTATCAGAAATACGTTTACAAATATGATTTGATGAAACAATTAAAAAGGTGAAAATGAAAAATCGTCATAACCACGTTGTTTGAACCAGAAACATGTCTCTGTTTGAACTAGTACATGTGTGCGCAGGTGTGACGTTTAATTATGCATCCTAATTTCTTCAAAAAATGCTTAAATTGTCATTGATACCTTTATCTCACGTTTATTTCGAATATATTCTTGAAGAAATAACGTAGAAAGATTTCATACTTTGCAAACGTATACGGAATTTACGTATCCGTCTCTGGTCCATGTTTTACCATTGTCAAGATAACATCCGGTATTACTTCAAAAAACGAAAGTGAAGTTTTTGACAATGTTATTTTGCACAAATAAAGAGTCTAAGGCAGATATAAGTACGCTGATGTTGCACACTTCGAATGATGCACTGCCAATTTAACAGTTTACGTCAGAACTTCAAATTTGAATCAAAGAAAGTTTAATATCGTTTTTTTTAATGTCAATCATTGGAATGGCCAACTCGGCATTACCATAATTGCCTTTTGTTTATTTTGTCTTAAGGGATTAAAATCGGGATAATATATAAAATGTCCGGCTGGCTAAAAATAGTTTTGGAAGCCCTGGGTGGAAGCGGGTGGGCAACCCCACAACAAAATTCAGGCATCATTACAGCCTTCAATAAAACTACACCTAAATAATGAAAACTAAAATTTAATGAAATAAAATGCTCCGCTGGGCGCAGCTTGATACGACTGCAGAGGTCGAACCCTGAACAGTTGGGGAAAGTATGGACACAACATTCAAGCTTGATACAGCTCTGAATTTGGATTGTGATTAAATATTTGACACAGCATAGGTTTCTGACACAGAATGAGGGTGGTCTAAGAACTTAAAAATTTTTAATTTACCTATAATGGTCCAATATCCAAAATCTAAATATATACAAGGTTAGATTCAGCATATCAAAGAACACCAAGAATTCAAATTTTGTTAAAATCAAACTTAGTTTAATTTTGGACCCTTTGGACCTTAATGTAGACCAATTTGAAAACGGGACCAAAAATTAAGAATCTAAATACACGGTTAGATTCAGCATATCAAAGAACCCCAATATTTCAATTTTTGATGAAATCAAACCATATCATTATTATTTGCTTTTATATATAGATAAAAAATAACCAGCTTAAAATGGAAAATTTTAAAGAAAAAATAAAAGGGAAAAAAGGAAAAAAATAAAAAAAGGAAAAAAACCCCCCCCCTCCAATTTTTTGAACCCCCTTATGATTCATCACCCCCAAACTCAATCCCAGCCTTCCCTTTGTGGTATGGTACCTTGCAGTACAATTTCAGAGAGATCCATACACTTGAACACAAGTTATTGTCTGGAAACTGTAAAAATGCTTGTTTTTTGGCCCCTTTTTGGCCCTAAATTCCTAAACATTTATGGCAATTACCCCCAAACTCAAACTCAGCTTTCCCTTTGTGATATGGAACCTTGTAGTACAATTTCATAAAGATCCATACACTTACACACAAGTTATTGTCCTGAAACTAGAAAAATGTTTGTTTTTTGCCCCCTTTTGGCACCTAATTCCTAAAATTTTGAGGCAATTACCCCCAAACTCGACCCAGCCTTCCCTTTGTGGTATGGTACCTTGCAGTACAATTTCAGAGAGATCCATACACTTGAACACATGTTATTGTCTGGAAACTAGAATAAAATGCTCCACTGGGCGCAGCTTGATACGACGGCAGAGGTCGAACCCTGAACAGTTGGGGCAAGTATGGACACAACATTCAAGCTTGATACAGCTCTGAATTTGGATTGCGATTAAATATTTGACACAGCATAGGTTTCTGACACAGAATGAATGTGGTCTAAGAACTTAAAAAATTTTAATTTACCTATTATGGTCCAATATCCAAAATCTAAATACATGGTTAGATTCAGTATATCAAAGAATCCAAAGAATTCAATTTTTGATGAAATCAAACAAAGTTTAACTTTGGACCCTTTTGACCTCAATGTGGACCAATTTGATAATGGGGCCCAAAAATCAAAATACATGGTTAGATTCAGCATATCAAAGAACCCCATATATTCAATTTTTGTTTAAAATCAAACAAAGTTTAATTTTGGACCCCAACTTGGACCAACTTGAATCTGGGCCCATAATAAAAAGTCTAAACACATGTTTAGATTCAGCATATCAAAGAACCTCAATAATTCAATTTTTGATGAAATCAAACAAAAGTTTAATTTTGGACCCTTTTGACCTCAATATGAACCAATTTGATAGCGAGGCCCACAAATAAAAAATCTAAATACATGGTTAGATTCAGCATTTCAAAGAACCCCATATATTCAATTTTTGTTGAAATCAAACAAAGTTTAATTTGGACCCCAATTTGGACCAACTTGAAAACTGGGCCCAAAATCAAAAATCTAAATACATGTTTAGATTCAGCATATCAAAGAACCCCATATATTCAATTTTTGTTAAAATCAAACTAAGTTTAATTTTGGACCTTTTGGACTGTAAAGTAGACCAATTTGAAAACTGGACCCAAAATTAAAAATCTAAATACACGGTCAGATTCGGCATTAACAAATAAATAAATGTGGTCAAAGATTTTACAAATCTAATGCGCCATACTGTGCAATTAAAGATTACTTCTTGAAATTTTTCAATATTTGAAATTTGAAAAAATAATAATATTTTAAGAATAATTCTTTTTAATTTCTGAAATCTGAAATGAGCAAAAATTGACCCCCACAATTTCTCCCCCCCCCCCCCCCAAAAAAAAACCGTTGTATTTGGATTACCTCCCTTACACTGTTTTAAATTGTCTTAATTGTTCATTAACCATTACTTTATACATAATTTAAAAGCAGTGTAAGGGAGGTAATTCAAATGGTGTATTTGATTTATCTCCCTTACACTGCTTTAAATTATGTTTTGTACTAAAGTATTTGTCCATTAACCAGGACAACCTTGTTTTTCACCCTTTTTTGCCCCTAATTCCTAAATGGTTTGAGCCGTAACCCCCCAAACGCAAATCCTAACCATCCCTTTGTGGTATGGAAACTTGTGGTATAATTTCAGAGAGATCCATACACCGTTCCACAAGTTATTGTCTGGAAACTAGAAAATGCTTATTTTTGGCCCCTAATTCCTTAACTGTTGGTACCATAACCCCCAAAATCAATCCCAACCTTCCTTGTGTGGTATTTAACCTTATGGTAAAATTTCATAGAGATCCATTCACTTAAACTAAAGTTATAATGCGAAAACCAATGTGTCTTCAGACGACGACGACGCCAACGTCATACCAATATACAACCACAAAAAATGTTTGCGGTCGTATAAAAATGCATATTTTTGGCCCCTTATTCGTAAACGTTTTGGGCAATTACCCCCAAACTCAATTCCAGCTTTCCCTTTGTGATATGATACCTTGTAGTACAATTTCAGAATGATCCATACACTAACACACAAGTTATTGTCATGAAACTAGAAAAATGCTTGTTTTTTGCCCCTTTTTTGGCCACTAATTCCTAAAATTTGAGGCAATTACCACCAAAATCAATCCCAGCATTCCCTGTGGTACAATGTCAGAGAGATCCATACGCTTACACACAAGTTATTGTCTGGAAGTTACAAAAATGCTTATTTTTGGCCCCTTTTTGGCCCCTAATTCCTTAACTGTTGGTGCCATAACCCCCAAACAAAAGGGGGGTTGGCATCTATGACATTGCAACAATTTACACATTGGCTAATAGTTTTCTTTGCATATTGATGGCACCCTAAGAATTGTTGGACAATTGATTTCTTACATGTTTTTGGCAAAATTTATATTTAAATTTATCTTTTAGAGTTCAAGTAATATTAACTAGTAACTCCGTTAAGTCGTCATCTGACAGTTTTGACGTAAATGGACAGCAGGTAGATCTCAACATTCTGAACATTTCTGCATCTGTCAGATTTTCTCTGTTCATAGCGATTTTCAAGATAATAATAGACAATATTTTCATTTTACCCATATGTTCTATTTTTAGACATGTTGATTGGCAGGATGGGTCATTGAACACATTTTTGAAACTAAATAGCCAAATAATGATGTGTCAAAGATTGGTTAAATTTGGCCCAGTAGTTTCAGAGGAGAACATTTTTGTAAAAGTTAACGATGACAACGGACGCCAAGTGATGAGAAAAGCTCACCTTTCGGCCAGGTGAGCTAATTAACTAGAGGCTCTCAAGAGCCTGTGTCGCTCACCTGTATTTACTGATGCTTTGGAAATCATGTAAAATAAGGTTAAAATCATAATTAATAGTATTAGATATTAGATATTATAATGATATCTAAGATAATAACAAAAAACTGCAAAATTTTTGTAAAATTACTAACTCAGGGGCAGCAACCCAACAACGGGTTGTCGGATTTGTCTGAAAATTTCAGGGCAGATAAATCTAAATCTGATGAACATTTTAGCCACTTGTCAGATTGCTCTAAATGCTTTAGTTTCAGAGATATAAACCAAAAACTGCATTTTACCCCTATGTTCTATTTTTAACCAAGTTGGCCATGATGGTTGGAAGGCGGGGTCATCGAACAAATTTTTTAAACTAGATACTCTAATAATGATTATGGCCAAGTATGGTTAAATTTGTCTCAGTAGTTTCAGAGAAGAAGATTTTTGTAAAAGATTACAAAAATTTACAAAAAATTGTTAAAAATTGACTATTAAGGGCAATAACTCCTAAAGGGGTCGACTGACAATTTTGGTCATGACAACTTATTTGTAGATCTTACCTTGCTGAACATTATTGCTGTTTACAGTTTATCTCTATCTATAATAATATTCAAGATCATAACCAAAAACTGCAAAATTTCCTTAAAATTACCAATTCAGGGGCAGCAACCCAACAACAGGTTGTCAGATTTGTCTGAAAATTTCAGGGCAGATAGATCTTGACATGATAATCAGTTTTACCCTATGTCAGATTTACTCTAAATGCTTTGGTTTCAGAGATATAAGCCAAAATCTACATTTTACCCCTATGTTCTATTTTTAGCCATGGTGGCCATCTTGGTTGGTTGGCGGGGTCATTGGACACATTTTTTAAACTAGATACCCGAATGATGATTGTAGCCAAGTTTGGTTAAATTTGGCCCAGTGGTTTCAGAGGAGAAGATTTTTGTAAAAGATTACAAAAATTTACGAAAAATTGTTAAAAATTGACTATTAAGGGCAATAACTCCTAAAGGGGTCGACTGACAATTTTGGTCATGACAACTTATTTGTAGATCTTACTTTGCTGAACATTATTGCTGTTTACAGTTTATCTTTATCTATAATAATATTCAAGATTATAACCAAAAACTGCAAAATTTCCTTAAAATTACCAATTTAGTGACAGCAACCCAACAACAGGTTCTCCGATTCATCTGAAAATTTCAGGGCAGATAGATCTTGACCTGATAAACAATTTTACCCCATGTCAGATTTGCTCTAAATGCTTAGGTTTCAGAGATATAAGCCAAAATCTACATTTTCCCCCTATGTTCTATTTTTAGCCATGGCGGCCATCTTGGTTGGTTGACCGGATCACCGGACACATTTTTTAAACTAGATACCCCAATGATGATTGTGACCAAGTTTGGTTAAATTTGACCCAGTAGTTTCAGAGGAGAAGATCGGGCCAGGTGAGCTAAAAAACAAAAAGGTTTATGTAGCATAAAACATGGGAAATTTACCTCTTTCTTCTGTAGCATAGTAATAGCTGTGCCAACTTTTCCTGCTCTAGCTGTTCTTCCCACTCTGTGTATATATGTCTTTATAAATGGTGGAGGATCATAAGATATCACATACTTTACATTCTCTACATCCATACCTCTTGCCATTGCATCAGAACAAATCACTCTGAAAGAAAATAATCAAATATTTCAGCAAAAATGTATCAATGGTTTTCACAAAGTTTTGTTTAGACATGTTAGAAACTTGATAAATCACCAATTCTTGTTCTCTGTATTACAAAAAAAAAAACAAGGCATGACTAACTCTTGAATAATTTTAAAAAGTGAAATCAATGATGCATATATTTCCAACCAATATCTATATATTTTTTTAAAAAGGATCAGTCAATTTGTTATTATGTTTTTGATCAGCATGTCAAACTGTCATGAACAAAATTGTTCATTACAGGTCATTCAACAGTTAGGTTCCTACTTCTGAAAAGTTTTTCCTGAGGGTTTATCTGATTAATGACCTTCCATATGAGTTTTTCATTTAAATAGCAATTGTTAGTCAAGAATATTAAAAGACAAATTACTTCAAGATATATCAATTTATCAGAAAACAGTACATCATTGCTAATTATATATAACTTCAATTATTATTGATTTATTTACTGACACTTCAAATAAAAATAATGTAAATATACGGCAAATTCAGCAATTTGAAGAAAGACCGTACATACGGATGTACAGACAGACAATGATAACCTTAATGTCCCCTTTGTCCATGACAAGGCCATAAAAATTACCAAGATTCTTGAAGAAACCAATGTTAACCTTACATGTCTATCTTTCCTTTAGAGAACTGTTGTAGTATTCTGTTACGTTTAGCTGTATGTAGACTAGAAGAAAACTCTCTTACTTCTATACCGCCAACAAGTTTAATAAGATGATATAACCTGAAAAGTTTTTATAAAAATAATTTTTCAACACTAACTCACATGTATACCTTATATTTTCATATTTTCTACACACTTGTCTATTATTGAAGACATGTAGTTATCTTTTTAACAATAGTTGGGTTGTTTTCTCAAAGATCTTCAGAAGAACATAAAGTCAAATTTGGTCTCATTAATTCAGAAATTTTCTGAAGATATGTTTCAAAGTATAGCCAATAAAAATCTAGTAATGTCAAACTGACATATTTGTTGGCGAATCAGCACCAAGGTAAAGACACTTGGAAAAGAAAATTTAATCAAGCTTGGTTTCATTTTGTTGTCAAGAAGAAAAAGATATATATTAAAATGTGAAATGTAAATAACTGGCAATAGATGAAGTCGAAGATCAAATGATGGCAACATTTCACATAGCCTCTGGTCAAGTGAAGTACAATTAAATATTACAAAGCTAATATAATGATTAGTCACAAATTAACTTGCTAGTAGCTAGAATGAGTTGGCAAAACAAATTAATATACCAGAAATAAAATGCTGTCATGTAGCTGATAAAGCATAAAATTAAACTTAAAATTAATATTTATCAGTTACCAACTTACCTGTGAGTAGCTTCCACAGAGTTGGTAAAACATAGGATGTTACGGAAGTTAACATTATGAAGGAAATGTAGAACAACTAATGGCTTCTGTGCTGCAGCACATTCAACATAGAATTCCTGTAAATATAAATTCAATATCAGTATACATTAATTCTAAACCTCTTTTGAAGCTACCTCCCAGACTTTCCTTAAACATCTAAAAGCATATTTCTTTAAAATCATAAACTGCATTGGTGGTCAAAATGATACTGTTTGAAATCAAATATCCCTATTTTCATAATCCTTTCTAGATGTTTAGTTTTGCTTTTGTGAAAACTGTCAACATTTTGCTAGAGGTTTTACTTTTGTGAAGACATGTCAACATTTTTGCCTGGTGTTTTACTTATTTGAGAACTGTGTCATTATTTTTGCCAGGGGCCTTCCCTTTGCAATGATTCAAAAACAATGCAACTGTCTATAATTACACTCTATAAAGATCATAGCTGAGTCCTCAATAATTATTAAATTTTAAGGTGAGTTTTGAAGTTTTTAATTTTCCTATAATAAATAAAAAAACCTTACAGTGAGTCCAGAAGGAGTTGTGTATTTTCCAATAAATTCTCCTTTTTTTCCTTCCTCTTTACTGTTTTCATTTTCATTTAGTGAATCTAAAATTAAAAGACATAAATTTAAGAACACATGAAATTTGGCATCCAAATTACTGGGCACAGAAAGCAAATGAACAATATCTCTAAATTTATTTAAGCTACTTACACCCCAAATAAAAATACTTTAAATGCATTTAGTATGCAATTTGAATTTGAACTACAGACACCAATAACAAATTTATAATCGCTCAATACAAACTTTGTGTCTTTTGTGTTTTTGTGCTTTGAATTGATCTGATGAGATAAAGCCCTTTTCATTTGATTTTTATGTTGTACTGTTACACAACTGTCCAAGGTTAGGGAGAGGGTTTGGCACCAGCAAACATATTTAACCCTGCCACATTCTGTATGTGACTGTCCCAAGTCAGGAGCCTGTAATTCAGTGGTTGTCGTTTGTTGCTGTATATCATTTATTTTTCTTTTATTGTTTTGTACATAAATCTTGTACTGAGTTTATTTGCTTGAACTGTTTTACATTTGTTATTTCAGGGCCTTTTATAGCTTGCTATGTGGTATGGGTTTTGCTCATTCTTGAAGGCAGTACGGTGACCTATATATGTCTTCCACATTTGGTCTCTGGTGAAGAGCTGTCTCATTGGCAATCATACCCAATCTTGTTTTATAATTATCAGTTTTGTATGATTCAACTTCTATTCCAAAAAATATTCAACTTCAAAGAAGAGGGAAAATAAGTGACTTCAAATATTTAACTATACTGTCTAAAATGTCACACATTGTGTAAACCAATACAATAAAATATTAAACCTTCTTGCTCTTCCTGTGTAGTCTTTTCAGGGGACATAACTACATCCACAGGTTTCAGTAAATTACTTCCCTTAGATACTGAAGTAAATAACTTTGGTTGAAAGAGGTTTAGCTGTTGCAGTTTATCAGGATTTTGCGAAAGTGTTGCTGAAAACAATAATTTCTGAAGCTGAAATGAAAAATATTTTTTTGCTTATGATTTTCTAATTATGACAACAAAAAAATATTAAAATGTGAACAATTCTTTTACATGGAACTAATCAAATATATACAAATGCATGTGCAGAGATTAAAATAATACAAAAACAGAAATTGCATTTTAGACATAAATTTCATTTTCACCCTTCCAACTAAATTTGATTGTTTTTTTTCGACAAGTAAATGTTTGTCTTATTTTTTTAAATAATTGCAGTGAACATTTTTGGCCTGTCATTCAATTCAGGTAGTTTCCATTCAGACAGGCAATATGTAAATCTATTTTCATGGTGATCCTTTATTTATACTCATTACATACATTTATTTCATTGGGCATTAGAAGAAATAATGAAGGAAAAATGGAATTTTTAATATAAAAAAAAAAAATGTGGATAGTGTCCACATGTGGACACAGATGATGCCCCCGCTTGCATATCATACAGTTATAAAGGAACATAACTAAAGAACGGTAAAAGTGACACTACCCAAATTTGAACTTGATCTGAGTTTTGTGGTAATAAGCATTGTGTGTAAGTCTCATAACATTTGGTTGAGGCTAACTTAAGTAGAGAACAGAAACTAAAAATTTGTTTTATAACATTTGGTTGAGACAAACTAAAAAATTCAGCAATTTTTATGTTTATAAGGGGACATAACTCAAGAATGGTAAAAGTGTCGCCACCAAATTACGTACTTAATCTGTATTATGTAGTAATAAGCATTGTGTATAAGTTTCATAACATTTGTTTGAGGCAAACTAAAGTTAGAAAACGGAAACAAAAAAATTGTACTTGATTTTAGTTTTGTGGTAATGAATATTGTGTATAGGTTTCATAATGTTTGGTTTGGGCGAACTAAACTAACAGAATGGAAACAAAAAATTTTGCAATCTTTCGATTTATAAAGGGGCATAACTCAATAATGGTTAAAGTGACACTACCCAAATTCAACTTGATCTGTGTTTTAACAGTGGAAGTCAAAATTAAACATTGCATTGTATAAAGCATTGATTGAAGTTGATTCAACTATAATCATGGGCAAAGGAAGATAACTCCAAAATAAAAATTACTTGATATTTAGAAGAAAATAAAAATTTTGTAATTCTTCCATTTATAAAGGGGCATAACTCCAGAACGGTTAAAGTGACGCAACCAAAATTCACACTTTATCTGTGTTTTGTGGTAATAAGCATTGTGTATAAGTATCATAACATTTGGTAGAGGCAAACTCAAGTTACAGAACGGAAACTAAAAATTTTGAAATTTTTCCATTTGTAAAGGGGCATAACTCTAGAACGGTTAAAGTGACACCACCAAAATTCAAACTTGATCTGTGTTTAGTGGTAATAAGCATTGTGTATAAGTTTCATAACATTTGGTTGAGGCAAACTTAAGGAAGAGAACGGAAACCAATTTTGGGACGTACGGACGGACGTACGTACGTACGTACGTACGTACAGACGGACAAGGGTAAAACTTAATGACCCCACCGCTACGGCGGGGGCATAAAAACAATACTCACAATGCCTTCATGAATTATAACCATAAAGTATACAATATTATTGTTATATGTCCTACTTACTGGTATTTCCATATGTTTGCTCCTGAAAATGAAAAAAAAAACGTTCAATAGTAAATTAGTTGAGAGGTTGTTCAAAATACTTTTATAATATTTCTGTTAAAGCCTTTAAAAAAAGTTTAATTTCAAAACCCTGCCATTAATTGAAATAAAATGCTCCGCTGGGGCGCAGCTTGATACGACCGCAGAGGTCGAATCCTGAACAGTTGGGGCAAGTATGGACACAACATTCAAGCTTGATACAGCACTGAATTTGGATTGTAATTAAATATTTGACACAGCATAGGTTTCTGACACAGAATGAAAGGTCTAAGAACTTAAAAAATTTTAATTTACCTATTCAAACCAAATCATTATTATTTGCTTTTATATATAAATCAGAAGTAACCAATTTAAAATGGAAAATTTTAAAGAAAAAAAAGGAAAAAAAAATCACCCCCCCCAATTTTTTGAACCCCCTTATGATTCATCTTCACCAAACTCAATCCCAGCCTTCCCTTTGTGGTATGGTACCTTGCAGTACAATTTCAGAGAGATCAATAAACTTGAACACAAGTTATTGTCTGGAAACTAGAAAAATTCGTAAGGGTTCCGCGGAACCCAGTGTCTCGCCTACTTTTTGCTGTTAATCACAGGCTCAGCAAAAATGAGGAAAAAAATTAATAAAAATATTCCTCTCTATACTATCTTTTGATTGTAAGTAGCTTCTGTCCAAGTTTGGTAAAAATCCAGGATAGTTTATGAATCTAATAAATGTTTTAAAAACTTAAACTGCAGACTGTATGTAATGTTAACTGGAAGAAAAACTAAGTCCATTTATAAGTAAAATACGGAAAAAATGGAACAAAATTTCGTTCTAGATACTAGCTTTTAATCATAAACAAGCTTCTGTCTAAGTTTGGTACAAATCCAGGATAGTTTAAGAAAGTTGTTAAAATTTTAAAAACTTTAACCACAGAGTGAATGTAATGTTAACTGGCAGAAAAACTAAGTCCATTTATAAGTAAAATACGGAAAAAATAGAATTTTTTTTTTACAAAATTTACTTTCGGATACTAGCTTTTAATCATAAACAAGCTTCTGTCTAAGTTTGGTACAAATCCAGGATAGTTTAAGAAAGTTGTTAAAATTTTAAAAACTTTAACCACAGAGTGAATGTAATGTTAACTGGCAGAAAAACTAAGTCCATTTATAAGTAAAATACGGAAAAAATGGAATTTTTTTTTTACAAAATTTACTTCTGGATACTATCTTATGATCATAAACAAGCTTCTTTCTAAGTTTGGTAGAAATCCAGGATAGTTTAAGAAAGTTATTAAAATTTCAAAAACTTGAACCACAGAGTGAATGTAATGTTTCCTGGCAGAAAAACTAAGTCCATTTATAAGTAAAATACGGAAAAAATGGAATTTTTTTTTACAAAATTTACTTTTGAATATTATCTTATGATCATAAACAAGCTTCTGTCCAAGTTTGGTAGAAATCCAGGATAGTTTAAGAAAGTTATTAAAATTTCAAAAACTTTAACCACAGAGTGAATATTTGTGGACGCCGCCGCCGACGACGACGACGACGACGACGACGCCGACGGAATGTAGGATCGCTATGTCTCGCTTTTTCGACAAAAGTCGAAGGCTCGACAAAAATGCTTATATTTTGGCCCCCTTTTGGCCACAAATTCCTAAACGTTTAGGGCAATTACCACCAAACTCAAACCCAGCTTTCCCTTTGTGATATGGAACCTTGCAGTACAATTTCATAAAGATCCATACTTTTACACACAAGTTATTGTCCTGAAACTAGAAAAATGCTTGTTTTTTTGCCCTTTTATGGCCCCTTATTACTAAAATTTTTATGGAATTACCCCCAAAATCAATCCCAGCCTTCCCTTTGTGGTATGGTACCTTGCAGTACAATTTCAGAGAGATCCATACACTTGAATACAAGTTATTGTCTGGAAACTAGAAAAATGCTTATTTTTGGCCCCTTTTTGGCCCCTTATTCCTAAACTTTTTGGGCAAATACCCCCAAACTCAATTCCAGCTTTCCCTTTGTGATATGGAACCTTGTAGTACAATTTCATAAATATCCATACACTTACACACAAGTTATTGTCATGAAACTAGAAAAATGCTTGTTTTTTGCCCCTTTTTGGCCCCTAATTCCTAAAATTTGGAGGCAATTACCCCCAAAATCAATCCCAGCATTCCCTTTGAGATATGGAACCTTGTAGTACAATTTCATAAAGATCCATACACTTACACACAAGTTATTGTCATGAAACTAGAAAAATGCTTGTTTTTTGCCCCTTTTTGGCCCCTAATTCCTAAAATTTGGAGGCAATTACCCCCATAATCAATCCCAGCATTCCCTTTGTGATATGGAACCTTGTGGTACAATGTCAGAGAGATCCATACACTTACACACAAGTTATGTCTGGAAGTAACAAAAATGCTTATTTTTGGCCCCTAATTCCTTAACTGTTGGTACCATAACCCCCAAAATCAATCCCCACCTTCCTTTTGTGGTATTGAACCGTATGGTAAAATTTCATTGAGATCCACTCACTTAAACTAAAGTTAGAGTGCGAAAACTAATGTGTCTTCGGACAACGACGACGACGACGACAACGACGCCAACGTCATACCAATATACGACCACAAAATTTTTTTTGCGGTCGTATAATAACTGAATGTTTAATAAAAATAATTGAAAAAGTTTTTATAGGTTTTGTTTCTTTTTGAAAAAAATTTTAAGATATTTTACTGAAACAGTCAGATAAAAGTTTAATATTATATTTCAATTAAATGAAGAAAAATATGTTGTTATATTATTGCATAATTTTAAAAGTGGACAGAACAGAAATGGTATCCACATTCACAGAGGATTGTCTTTTGACCCACAAGGGGGAGAGAGGTTGAGTTCACCAAGGTTTTCACTCCTGTTTTGTATAAAGTATACTTACATGTAAATCATGTATTTTAGAAAATTATGTTTGTGGATTGTTTTTTTTATCAGGCAATTTATTAATTGAGGTTTTTTCACTGAGAAACCAACATACAAAATGAGTTTTGCTCATTTTTGAAAGCCGTACGGTTATCTTTAGTTACTTACCTTCTATGTCATTTGGTCTCTGGTGGAGAGTTGTCTCATTGGTAATCATACCACATCTTCTTATTTTTATATGGCTTGAAAGAAATCTGTGGATATACATTGATTATTGAAATGAACTTTATCATATACTTAACTTGTCTGTTTTGAATAAATACCTTGCCACTGTAAGAGCACCTGTTAAAGATCTTTCATCAGAGTATACAGCATTCTCCACTTGTGATAACCAGTCCTGTTTGATATGGTCCATCACCTTATCTGCTTCATCTATAACCTAAAGAATTAATTTTCTCTCATTTTTTTTGCATAGAATTAAACCATTATATTCGATAACTTTGTTTTCTTTAATTGTGTAGGGGTCTAATCTGGTATGGAGGAGTTTGATAAACCACACATTGATTAAATTTGTTCTAATTTCCTGTCAAATTCATTTGAAACAATTCAGTATTTTCTTTTAAATCATTTGAGAAATAGATGCTACAACCTTACCTTATTGACTTCAATATTTAGTGTTCTAGCAAGGGTTTAAGGACAAAGGGTTACAGTTCTATTATGAAAGACATGTTAGCATGTTTTATTGTCTGAAAGGGGATGGATATCCTAATTATTTTTTTATAGATAAAATTAAGTAATTGAATAAATTAATATATTTTTGCTGTATTTTTAGTATTTTGGGGTTGTAAAAAGCTTTTTCCAGTAGTTTAATTGAATTTCCTTGTATTGAAAACTATTCATCTTCTGAAGAAAACATAAACTCATAGGACAGGATTTTAAGGGCAGAGGGGAGGAGATAAAGTGCAGATGAGAGCTGTCCTCTTTTTTTTGGGCTAGCTAGGACACCGATATGTATCTACTCTTGATAGTTAAATTCCAAATTTTGCTCAGTTACCACATTTAAAATTTGAAAATTTGACTCATTTTAAGTGGATAAATATTGTAATCAACGGGGTGGGGTGGTAGAATATATATGTTAACCACACATAGATTAAATTGGTGCGTCTGAATACCCACCAAATGTATTCAGAATATTATCATCTGATTATTTTGTATTAAATTGTTAGAGAAAAAGTGTCAAATCACTTCCACATGGGTATAGATGCAAACAATGTGTTTCTATCTTTTATGGCCTGTGTTAGAGAAAACTGTCCATCCAAAACAAATCATATATTTTGCAGGTCTGGTTCAGTGTTAATTATATCATGACATTTATTGAAAGAAATGGATTGGTCCAGCAAATATGACCAGTATGGAAGCCCTGTTTCCAATGTCCACTGCATATTCATATATCTTAACTGTCCAAGGACAATTCCATCGTATTTTGTGTTGTTTAAAAAAAAATATTATCAATATCCTACAAGAAATGAAGGTGTGAAAATGCTTACTATGCAATTTTCCATATAATTTTATTTCCAACTGACTTAATACCCTTAAAACAGCCAATTGTTTTTTTCATTAACCTACCAAAAACCTGAGTTGTCGTAGATTAAATCCTTCTGTACTGTTTATATGATCTACAAGTCTTCCTGGAGTTGCTATTATAATGTCTGCCAAACTCTCTGAACCCCATGATCTTTTAAAAGAAAAATACACATGTTAATTTTTTTTCTAATGAAAGTACTGAAAAGAAATTCATTTCAAGTAAACAGTCATAATCTAGTCTGCCGTTGTCCTATGTCATATCTTTATTTTTTTTGGTATTTGGAAAAATTGGTGTTGATGGCAGATCTTTGATAATTTCTGTTAAATATATTCACAACTACATTTAGAGTTTGAACAATGGATTATTCATTGTATTGTGTAGAAAATGTATGATGCCCTCTACTTTTATTTTGATTACCTGTGTCGTTAGGGTAGCTGTCTCATTGACTTACAGCACACATCTCCTTTTATTCATATTTTTTATACCCTGTCTGTGTGTTGTGGATCTTATCTTATTGTGTATGAGTTTCATAAAATTTTGACAAGGAAAACTTAAGTTGGCATGCAGAAAAAAAATTGCAATTTTCAAAGTTAGAAAGGGGCATAACTCTAGAACTGCCCAAATTCGAACTCTGTCTGCAAGGTTTGGTGCTTAGCATTGTGTACAAGTTTCGTAAAGAAAGAAGTTTGCATGAGGCAAACTTAAGTTGGAGTGTAGAAAAACAAAAATGGGATGGACAGAATGACAGAAAGATGGATGGATGGAAGGTCAAGGGTAACACTTAATGCCCCTTTGCCTACGGCTGGGGCATAAAAATCATTATTCTTATACAGGTAAAAGGATGATATACATCTACTTTTTTTATCTATAACATGACATTAAATAGACCTAGAAAAATTGCCATACAACTGCATGTGCTTGAATGTCTATTTATATTAATAGTTATATCTCGTTAAATGAGTCAGCATTTTTCGGAGGTCATCTTGATGGATAATTAGATGGTGTCTAGTCTAAAATATACACAAAATGCTGATAAATTATGAGGAGTCCATGCATTGTTAATTTTTTTCTTTTGGACTTTTTGTAATTTGAATATACAATTTAGTACGTCATATATCAATTAAGACAAATATGAGAATTCAGGTCAAATCAGTGAACATGAATTTGACAGCTAATGCCCATTTTAAGGTGTTTAACCAAAAATGACAACAAATTGTGTTAAGTAGGCATGACAATTTAGGGTAGGTAGGGAGGAAGGAAACAGAAACCTTCATTGGCCCATAATTTTCAAATACAGCAAATATTAGATACATATACAAGGTGATAAGCTTGTTATAATGTGATTTAATCATTATAAACACTGCTGTGTACTAGACCAACAGACTGAGCTGGATTTGTAACATTCTAGCTCATAATAATGGGTAACAGCATGACATGTTGCCCTACCCAGATACATTTTTCAGACCATTTTTTTCTCTTACTGCTAAATGCAACATGCCTGACAAAATAGAGTAAATCCCAATTGAAGTCAATTGTTTGAGACCATTGGGTTGTGACACTGTATGTATTGATATGTTTAAGAATTGTAGTACCAGACATAAGAAAATACATTGTTATTAGGGATGTCAACTCGGTGAACAATTTCTAATCGAGTACTCGTTGGTTTTATCGAGCGATACTCGAGTACTCGCTCGGGAATATCTACAACACGAAAGCACAAAATGACGTATTTTACATTCTGTGGTATGTTGTTCAATGGACGAAAAAAAACATCTACATAAGTATCTGGTAGAAAGAATTAAAGAACCTTAGTGAGCGCGCTCACATACCCCACGTCCTCACATTGTCATTGGAGAAATAAAATATGTGTAAGAAAAAAAAATTGAATCATAATTTCCTGTCAATATGCACATCTACATAGTATGTCCTTATTATCTACAAAGTTTCATGAATTTATGTTGTGTGGTTTCAGAGGAGTTGCGATGAAAAACTGTTGCAGAAGACATTGAAGCAAATAAGTTCAAAGGGGCGTAACTCCTAGAAAAAATATTGAAACATAATTTCCTGTCGATATGCACATCTACATAGTATGACCTTATTATCTACAAAGTTTCATGAAATTCTGTTGTGTGGTTTCAGAGGAGTTGTGATGACAAACTGTTGCAGTAGTACATTGAAGCAAATAAGTTCAAAGGGGTGCAACTCCTAGAAAAAAAATTGAACCGTAATTTCCTGTCGATATGCACATCTACATAGTATGTCCTTATTATCTAAAAAGGTTTCATGAAATTCTGTTGTGTGGTATCAGAGGAGTTGCAATGACAAACTGTTGCAGTAGTACATTAAAGTAAATAAGTTCAAAGGGGCGTAACTCCTAGAAAAATAAATTGAACCGTAATTTCCTGTCGATATGCACATCTACATAGTATGTCCTTATTATCTAAAAAGGTTTAATGAAATTCTGTTGTGTGGTTTCAGAGGAGTTGTGATGACAAACTGTTGCAGTAGTACATTGAAGCAAATAAGTTCAAAGGGGTGTAACTCCTAGAAAAAAAATTGAACCGTAATTTCCTGTCGATATGCACATCTACATAGTATGTCCTTATTATCTAAAAAGGTTTCATGAAATTCTGTTGTGTGGTATCAGAGGAGTTGCGATGACAAACTGTTGCAGTAGTACATTAAAGTAAATAAGTTCAAAGGGGCGTAACTCCTAGAAAAAAAATTGAACCGTAATTTCCTGTCGATATGCACATCTACATAGTATGTCCTTATTATCTAAAAAGGTTTCATGAAATTCTGTTGGGTGGTATCAGAGGAGTTGTGATGCAAACTGTTGCATAGTACATTGAAGCAAATAAGTTCAAAGGGGCGTAACTCCTAGAAAAAAAATTGAACCGTAATTTCCTGTCGATATGCACATCTACATAGTATGTCCTTATCATCTAAAAAGGTTTCATGAAATTCTGTTGTGTGGTATCAGAGGAGTTGCTATGACAAACTGTTGCAGTAGTACATTAAAGTTAATAAGTTCAAAGGGGCGTAACTCCTAGAAAAAAATTTGAATTGCAATTTCCTGTCGATATGCACAACTACATAGTATGTCCTTATTATCTAAAAAGGTTTCGTGAAATTCTGTTGTGTGGTTTGAGAGGAGTTGCGATGACAAGAAACAGGACTGACGGACGGACAGACGGACGGACAGGTCAAAAACATTATACCCTCTGCAACTCGTTGCGTGGGGTATAATTACACACCATAATTAATAGCTCATTACCTACAAGTACTAATTATGTAAAAAGAAATAATCTAATCATTATAATTTAATGAACACCTATTTAAAAATTATAACAAGGAAAAACTTTATCAAACAACTGTTTGGTAATCGTTAAGAAAACACATTCAATGTTTACAAAGGCGTAAGAATTAGACGTTTAACTATTCAATGAGGGTCACCAGAGGATGCAACAAATTTATTTCATTTGAAAACATTTTCTTGTCGACTATTATTGGGGAAAGTCGTTTTTGCAACTTTGTAAATTACAGTCTTGCAGACGAAAATATTTGCTCTGATGGTACCGATGTGACGGAATGGCTAAGACGTCATGTTTACTTTAAAGTGTTAGCCTAGCTATACCCCATGTTTTTTCGGCGGCATTTTAAATGACAATTTAGCGCAAGCATTCGAAACATAATGTATTATATTTACTAGTATGATTAATCAGTGATGCCTATTTAATTTTCTGAAAAAGGTCCTCAAGAAAATTAATTTTGTATAAAGTAAAAAGCAATATTCTAACAGGAAACTGATTAGTTGAGTATCGTTTTGGTACTACCGAGCGATACTCGAATACTCAAGTACTCGTTGACATCCCTAATTGTTATGCAATTAAATTACCTTTTCTTTACAAGAGTTTGTTGCTCTTGATGAAATTGTTTCTGTCCTACCAGCAACACTACCTGTAACACAAATTACTTATAATAAACAGCAGTGTAATTCATACTTAAGTTTAAGTTTATCAAACCATTCATACTGAATTTTGCAGAAAGATATGTACAACCATGGATTTTTTTCATGGTGAATTTTCCATAAAAATATGTTAAACCATGGATTTTGTTTTCAACAAAATTGAGAATCAATTTTATGGCTTTCTACTGACTCTATAGATGTGTGTTTATCAAACTGCCTAGTAAATTTGTTCACATATAAAACATCTGGCACCTTAAATGTTCTAAACAAAAATTTGAACCTAAAATAAACTGACATGCAAATGATGTTTTGCAGATTTACAAATGCATTTCAAACAGGACACATTAAAAAGGGAGATAGTTAGCTCCTATCAAGCCAAGATAAATGAAAAAGTGCTGAAAAATATTAAAAGTCATTTGTATATATAAAAGATATATCATGTATATACTAATATTATGAGAGAGAAAATTTACTGCAGTTTCTATGGAATGGAACATGATATATTCTCTTTATCCACATTTTGTTTTTATCTAATTTACCATGTCTTAAATACCATTATTCAATCAATCAAAGTTTTGTGTTTTAAATTCATCTGTGTGGTAAAGTTTTAAAAATGTTGACACCACTCTTATTTTGGTCTATTTTAAAGGGTTTTGTACAATATTTTGACAGTCAGCATAGTTTGCTTAATCAGTTAGTTGAGTTAGACTCCATTGTCATAACATATCCATTCAAAACACTATGTAGCATGCATAGTTTGGTTGAGAAATACAGAAATGTATCATATGACTAACTGTATTGTTAGGTAGATGTAACTTTTCAGCACAATTTATCAAAGTGTCACATATTTATTATTTATTCTCTGATTGGTTAAGTTCCTAAATGTTAGTTTTCATTGGATTGAAGTTACATATAAATGTGTGTTCATTTTAATGTAATTGCATTCTTCTTCCGCACATTTACAAACAGTCTGAACCTTGAGTTTTTTTACCTTTAACTGTGTATTTTCACTATAAGCTTTGAAGACTTTATACACCTGTACTGCTAAATCTCTAACAGGTAAAACTGCAAGAGCTCGTACTTGACAAGTAACTCTTGTCTTTAGTGCCTAAAATAAATAAACTTAAATAGTATTAATGGATATTGACATCAAACAAAAATATATAAAATAACTGATTTTTTTAATTGAATAAGTAAATCAACAAATTGTTGACAAGCTGCAGAATTTCATAAACAAAAGGATGGTGACTTGTCATTGGTACTCTTTGTTGATGTCCTTGTTTGTTTTTATTGTTGATTGCAGATATTTAGTTTGATAATAACTTTTTATAGAGCCTGACATTAGGTTAGACACTTGTCCATAATTGAAGCTATATACAGTAATCCCCCTTGTAGGAAAAAAACTGTTTGTCACTTGTTGAAAACATCTAGTGAAACTCCAGCAATTTCAAATTGTGTGTGATCTTTTGTGGTATTTTCATGGAAAATTCAGTTTCCATCATCAATTAGAAGTTGAAAATGCTAGTATAAAAGGATTCTAGAACACCTAAAATGAGTCAAAACACAATGAAAGCAATTGGAAAAGTTGTGTTTGACATAAACTGGAAATGGGAATAGCATATGTAAATTGCAAAAAAAAACAGTGAGAGTGGTCAGAAAATTCATACTGAACAGATCACTATTAAAAGAATATGACTTTGAAAGAAAAACAGGTATGTCCTCTAGTAAAATACTGTTACATATATTCACCACATTAAGTTTTGAAGGACCCTTAAACAAAATATATGTAGGTGTTTAGCACAATAATATGATCCCTTGTCTATCCCTGTTTACTATTAATGTTATGAGACTTTTACCTGTATAATTGGCAATACAAAAGCCAGTGTTTTACCACTGCCAGTTGGTGCAGAGACACAAATATCACTTGGTCTAAACCCTCCGTTACCGTGTAGAAACCCCATCTTCACTGATTCTAACATCATTGGTATAACTTGTATCTGGACTGAAGATAAATGAACATTTTATAACAAACTGCTTTATGACAGAAAAACTTCCAATGTATATCATATACAATAAACTTTGATCATGTTTTTTATGAACATTATGCAATTTATTCCATAAAACAAATAACCATTTGACTTCTTGCAATTTTAATAAACATTTCAAAAGAAAGGGGAATAATTCATTTCCTTTACTACAACAATTCCAGGAAAGACCATTTGGGCAAAATATTTGTGTTCTAAGAACATTTTTCCTTTTTTTTTTACTTCTGCCCCCTCTCTTTAAATGTCTGAATATTCTGGATATGACACTGTAGACTTAAATATAAATATATGCTAATAAAAATAAAATTCAACAGAATAATAGTTACAACAAACACTGATAATACCCTACTTGCTATTTCCATACTGAATGCTTAATCTGAGATTATAGACAAATTCTCCTTGTCACGTGTATGTTTACCTCTAGATTTTGCAAAAACAATTTTTGTTTTAAAGTACATTGTACTCTATATCTTTTAGAAAAAGAAGATAACGTAATTTTTTTTTTACCATCAATCAATAGTAATCTTTATTTTGTCTAACTTAACAATAAAAACAATAAACGTCTACAGGTTTTAAAAAACATGTTCCCAAACCTTATTTATCGTAAATACTTCTAATATTCACTACTCTGAAAGTAAAATTAAAACCAATGTTCACAGACTATCATACATGTACAATGTCATTAGGCCACACATTTTTATAGTCATTTAAAAACTCCATTTACAGAATTACATAAAATTCAAAATGCAGGTTACCAGGGAAAAATTGTGTTATTCCATTTTTCTGTAAAGAGTCCCTCAAATCTTGATCTAAAGTAGACATAGATGATACTGGCAATGTCTTGGTTTTGAGGTCAGATGTGATAATACTAGGATCTGCTAACCATTCTGGCAAAACTCTTTTAACCTTAAATAAAAATACAAAATAACATTGTAAAGGATTTATATTGACTAAGACTTTTTTTGATGAGGAGGATTGTAAGAATGAATAAAGGCTCTGTTGTTTAAAAGTTTACAGAGGAAGAATGAGGAGGATAAAGGCTCTGTTGTTTAAAAGTTTACAGAGGAAGAATGAGGAGGATAAAGGCTCTGTTGTTTAAAAGTTTACAGAGGAAGAATGACGAGGATAAAGGCTCTGTTGTTTAAAAGTTTACAGAGGAAGAATGAGGAGGATAAAGGCTCTGTTGTTTAAAAGTTTACAGAGGAAGAATGAGGAGGATAAAGGCTCTGTTGTTTAAAAGCTTACAGAGAAAGAATGAGGAGGATAAAGGCTCTGTTGTTTAAAAGTTTACAGAGGAAGAATGAGGAGGATTGTAAGAATGAATAAAGGCTCTGTTGTTTAAAAGTTTACAGAGGAAGAATGAGGAGGATAAAGGCTCTGTTGTTTAAAAGTTTACAGAGGAAGAATGAGGAGGATAAAGGCTCTGTTGTTTAAAAGTTTACAGAGGAAGAATGAGGAGGATTGTAAGAATGAATAAAGGCTCTGTTGTTTAAAAGTTTACAAAGGAAGAATGAGGATAAAGGCTCTGTTGTTTAAAGGTTTACAGAGGAAGAATGAGGAGGATAAAGGCTCTGTTGTTTAAAAGTTTACAGAGGAAGAATGAGGAGGATTGTAAGAATGAATAAAGGCTCTGTGGTTTAAAAGTTTACAGAGGAAGAATGACGAGGATAAAGGCTCTGTTGTTTAAAAGTTTACAGAGGAAGAATGAGGAGGATAAAGGCTCTGTTGTTTAAAAGTTTACAGAGGAAGAATGAGGAGGATAAAGGCTCTGTTGTTTAAAAGCTTACAGAGGAAGAATGAGGAGGATAAAGGCTCTGTTGTTTAAAAGTTTACAGAGGAAGAATGAGGAGGATTGTAAGAATGAATAAAGGCTCTGTGGTTTAAAAGTTTACAGAGGAAGAATGAGGAGGATAAAGGCTCTGTTGTTTAAAAGTTTACAGAGGAAGAATGAGGAGGATAAAGGCTCTGTTGTTTAAAAGTTTACAGAGGAAGAATGAGGAGGATTGTAAGAATGAATAAAGGCTCTGTTGTTTAAAAGTTTACAAAGGAAGAATGAGGAGGATAAAGGCTCTGTTGTTTAAAGGTTTACAAAGAAGAATGAGGAGGATAAAGGCTCTGTTGTTTAAAAGTTTACAGAGGAAGAATGAGGAGGATTGTAAGAATGAATAAAGGCTCTGTGGTTTAAAAGTTTACAGAGGAAGAATGAGGAGGATAAAGGCTCTGTTGTTTAAAAGTTTACAGAGGAAGAATGAGGAGGATAAAGGCTCTGTTGTTTAAAAGTTTACAGAGGAAGAATGAGGAGGATTGTAAGAATGAATAAAGGCTCTGTGGTTTAAAAGTTTACAGAGGAAGAATGAGGAGGATAAAGGCTCTGTTGTTTAAAAGTTTACAGAGGAAGAATGAGGAGGATAAAGGCTCTGTTGTTTAAAAGTTTGCAGGGGAAGAATGAGGAGGATAAAGGCTCTGTTGTTTAAAAGTTTGCAGGGGAAGAATGATAAGGACCATTATATATTTGATGCCTTAAATTGCAAGACTTTTAAATTTGTATTCATTCCTATTGATAATAATTGAAAAAGATGATGTAATCTTGACCCTTTAGTGGATAAATATCACTTGTGATGTCATAAACATGTTTAAATGGACACATTTAACCTTAAACAGTCATACTACACGTGGTTGCTTGGACAAACTAGAAATGATATACCGCCCAACCAAAAAAGAATTTACCCATTGTTAACATCTTTGAAAAAGACATCTTGTAGCAAAATATCTTGTTTGGAAAGGCTTTAGCTAATATCTAACAGATTAATGTCTTATAAACATCTGAAGGCTAACATTTAAATAGCTTTTGATACTTTTTTATTTTCTAATTCAAGGAACCAAAAAGATGACCTTTTCAAGTCCATAACTTTGAATATGTTCAAAGGACAAACTTGAACTTGAATACTTTTAGCAGTAAATCTGATACTTGAATATCATTAAAAGCAGGCTTAATGGTGTGCGCGCCATTTCAAAATTTTCTTTGTGTAACTTTATTATGAAAAAAAAAAACAAGGACTTTTTAGTAACACTTTACTACCGGGGTAAATGATAATAACCTGTTTGTGGCCTTTCCCTTTAACTTCGCCAATCACAGTAAAACCTCCTACATCATTAGGAGCACCACCATCTACAGTCTTTTCAGTAAAGGTGTCTTCGTCAATCCTCTCAGTAACACTTTCGTCAATCTCATCAGATTCATCATGGCCAGTTCCCTCCCCATCTGATGTTATATTTGATTGGACTTTAATTTTCTTATTTGGAGTCCTAAGTTCATTTTTATCTTCTGATAATGATAAATTTTCTAAGCCTTTTTCCTCTAGGTCAAATGTCTTTTCCTTTGTTTCTGTCTTTATTTTCTTTGTCAAAATATCTTCTCTTGTTTCATTGTGAGTTTTATTTTTAGAACTTTTCCTGATGGAAACCCCAAGGGTTTGTTTGGGACTAGATGATTCATGTTCTACTCCTTCTGATTTTCTCTTTTGACCTTTGCCTAACCTTGGGGTTTTGTTTTCATCCTCAAGTAATCTCTGCTGTAAGCAATCTAATTGTTCTGAATCTTCAGTTCCTGACTTGTCAGATATATGTTCTTCTTTTATTTTATTTTTCACTGCTTTTTTATTTGTGGCATCAGATACGAAGTGTTTTTTATTGGGTGTTGATTTCTGAATTTTTCGTTTTTCAGCATCCTTTTTTATTTTCTCTAGTATTTGTTTGGCTGATGTTCCCCTAGATTCTTCAGTAATAACATCATCATCCTCATCACCACCAATATATCTGTGAATGTGTAAAATAAAGTTAAATAACTTATAATGTATCATTAAGATCGAATTGGCAAGGGTTTAGTGTGTTCAATAGCAATTTATCAATTTCTTAATAATTTAATCAAAAGCAAGTACTTCACTTTAATATGAGGTTCAATAATCAAAGAAAACCATATTTACTGAAAAAAAAATGTGCATGTTTTCTAATAGATCAAAAAATATTCCATTCCTGGGGAATATATATTGTAAATTACATTTGTCCAATAAATTACCCACACCTTTATTTTACCATGACAAAATAAATATAAAAAATAATTTCTTTATCTTCACTTTTATGACAGAACAACAATTATTTATATTTATAGAATAACTAATCGAAGAATTCAAATAGAGAAAAATATTCAACGAGTGACCGAACAACACATTAATTCACGAATGCGCGTAGCGCATGAGTTAATTATCAGTGTTGTTCGGTCACGAGTTGAATATTTTTCGATATTTAAATTCTTTGATTAGTTATTCTTTTTATTACATTGGCAAATGGCTTTTTTAATGAAATTAATGTAGAAAATGTAAGGAACTATATGTTTTTCCTACGCATTCACAATTTGTTTTGATCCGACGTTATCGACGTCTTGACAACGCCTATTGTTGTATGACGTCAGAGAGTGAAATAACCACGTTTATTTCACATGTGAAATTATCGGTTTTTATTTGACTGGGAAATCAATGTAATTCATTGCTACCAATGTAATAAATGTATATATACAAAAACATAGTATGTAATAAAAACTGAAATTTAAGTTATTTTTTCTGGAATTTACGTGACGACTTTTACATATTTTTATGATTGATCAGCACTGATTTTCGAACTCATCCAAGACATTGCTGATATAAACCTACAACATAAGTTTTATAAAATAAATCTGGCAAGAATTGTACAAGACCAGACGGACGCCCGGTATTTCTATGTCCCCAGCAACGTGTTGTGCAGGGGACAAAAAGAGGTGGCACCAACATGGTCAAATTTGATCTGGAACCTTGGGGGATTTTGTGTGGGACCTTGCAACCAGGCATCTCATTTAAAAGGACATATGACCTTTAAAATTTTCAAAACGGACTTTCTTAAATTTGCTTTAAAGTGACCTGAGGTATGTACAGCATAGTGCCTTTATAATTGAGTCAACTTTTTTAATGGCACTGGGTGATGATTTTCATTGACCGATTTTAAAGAACGTTATTATTGGTGTTGCATAATGTAAAAGCAGTAAAATATGTTGAAAGGGGGATTACTCAAACCTATCCTTTAAAATTCAGTTTTTTATACCAAAGCGCAATTTAGCCATTATTGATATCAACGAAAATGGTGAAACACAGGAAAGAATTGTCAGACAACACCAAAAAGGCCATCATAAGTTTGAATGAAAGTGGTCATTGAGCAAGCAGTGTTGTGAAAAGCTATGGTTTAAGTAAATCCACAATTTCCAGGCTTTTGAAGCGTGGGCGGATGTGTGGCAATACAGAAAATGTGCCACGAAGCGGAATGAGGAAAACTGTCACCAAACTGGCAGAAAACACTTTGTCAAGGATTGTGAAGAGTCTCGTTATTCTTCTCAAAGGATATTACAAATGAATTTAACACTTGTACACCAGCAAAAGTATCCAGACGAACTGTCCAACGAAAATTACATGCATAAGAGTACACTAGAAGATCTCTATGGAAGAAAATTGGCATTAGGGTTGTAAATCAAAAGAAAAAAGTTGGTTGGTGCAGAAGTTAACTTCATTGGACTGTTAACTAACAGTGTAAAAAGTAATATTTATGAGATTATGATGGTTATCAAACCTGAGGGTACACTTAAAGTTTGGAGGAAGTCAAATGAAATTTGGAGACCGGAATGTTTAGGATATATTGCACAGCTACATTGTTGTACCATCGAGCAATTTTAAAATTATGGTGTTGGGATGTCTCACATAATATGGAGTTGGTACATTAGCTATGATAAATGGTTATATGAATTCTGACAAGTATATAGAAACACTTGAAAATAATTTATGGCAAGTTGTAACCAAACATTTTAGCAATGAACCTTATCTATTTCAAGTTATAATGAACCCTGTCATCAGTCAAGGGTTGTAGAAGAATGGAAAAGGCAAAATCAAACACCACAACTGACATGGCCTGCACAATCTCCAGACCTAAGCCCAATATTTACCTATTATGTCTGTTGGTTTTGTTCACACATTGTTGTCAATATAATGGAATTTTATGTGACTGCCATACAAGTGAGAGGTTTAGCTAGCTATAAAACCAGGTTTAATCCACCATTTTCTACATCCATTGTTATCCATTCATGTGTTTGAGCTTTTGATTTTGCCATTTGATTAGGGACTTTCCCTTTTGAATTTTCCTCAGAGTTCGGTATTTTTGTTATTTTACTTTTTTCAAATATATCTGGCTTCTGATGAAGAATAAAATAAAAAATTGACTTTTTTTAATTTGTAAAGTTGAAGACCTTAAGTCTGAATTATTGTGTGCCTGGTTAGAAATGCCATTATCTTATATTCAGAGACTATATTCAAGCCTTCCACTTAGCTGCAGACAATTTATAGGTTAGAAGGGTGGCATAACAAAATATTAAAAGTATAAAACCTTTATTGTGAGGTTAGTTTTTATTCAAAAGATCATTTAACATTTAGTTCTTTTTTGGCGTCCATTAAAAAAGTTGACTCATTTATGGCACTATGCTGTAATTTTAATAAAATGCTCCGCTGGGGCACAGCTTGATACGACCGCAGAGGTCGAACCCTGAACAGTTGGGGCAAGTATGGACACAACATTCAAGCTTGATACAGCACTGAATTTGGATTGTAATTAAATATTTGACACAGCATAGGTTTCTGACACAGAATGAATATGGTCTAAGAACTTAAAATTTTTTAATTTACCTATTCAAACCATATCATTATTATTTGCTTTTATATTTAAATCAGAAATAACCAATTTAAAATGGAAAATTTTAAAGAAAAAAAAGGAAAAAAAAATTCCCCCCCCAAATTTTTTGAACCCCCTTATGATTCATCACCCCCAAACTCAATCTCAGCCTTCCCTGTGCGGTATTGTACCTTGCAGTACAATTTCAGAGAGATCCATACACTTGAACACAAGTTATTGTCTGGAAACTAGAAAAATGCTTGTTTTTTGGCCCCTTTTTGGCCCCAAATTCCTAAACGTTTAGGGCAAATACCCCCAAACTCAAACCCAGCTTTCCCTTTGTGATATTGAACCTTGAAGTACAATTTCATAAAGATCCATACACTTACACACAAGTTATTGTCCTGAAACTAGGAAAATGCTTGTTTTTTTGCCCCTTTATGGCCCTTTATTCCTAAAATTTTGATGGAATTACCCCCAAAGTCAATCCCAGCCTTCCCTTTGTGGTATGGTACCTTGCAGTACAATTTCAGAGAGATCCATACACTTGAACACAAGTTATTGTCTGGAAACTAGAAAAATGCTTATTTTTTGCCTCTTTTTGGCCCCTTATTCCTTAACATTTTGGGCAATTACCCCCAAACTCAATTCTAGCTTTCCCTTTGTGATATGGAACCTTGTAGTACAATTTCATAAAGATCCATACACTTACACACAAGTTATTGTCATGAAACTAGAAAAATGCTTGTTTTTTGCCCCTTTTTGGCCCCTAATTCCCAAAATTTAGAGGCAAATACCCACAAAATCAATCCCAGCATTCCCTTTGTGATATGGAACCTTGTGGTACAATGTCATTGAGATCCATACACTAACACACAAGCTATGTCTGGAAGTTACAAAAATGCTTATTTTTAGCCCCTAATTCCTTAACTGTTGGTACCATAACCCCCAAAATCAATCCCCACCTTCCTTTTGTGGTATTGAACCTTATGGTAAAATTTCATAGAGATCCATTCACTTAAACTAAAGTTAGAGTGCAAAAACCAATGTGTCTTCGGACGACGACAACGCCAACGTCAATCCAATATTTGACCGCAAAAAATTTTTTTGCAGTCGTATAAAAAGTGACATGGTGACCATGGTGACCTGAGGTACATTAATTTTGAAAAGTTACCTTGTGACCTAAGAGTTTTCATGATGATAAGAGTATTTTGATTTATAATGGTAATAACATAAATTATGATACGTAAGCTACATTTAACTCATTATTGTAATTATGCTCTGATATTAAAGTTCTAATGCATGTTTTCAATTTAGTATGTTTAATTGGTTAGTCTTGGTATTGTAGAATTTATAATTATTCTGTATATCTGTTCATTTTCTTATGCTTATGAAATATAAATTAAATGTAACTTCTTATTTCAACGCCCTTATATACAAATACACAAAAATTATTTCTAAGGTCAATCATGTCCATCTACATGTTTATTTTAACATGATTAAGGTCATGAAGGTAAACATAGACAAAAGTGCATTTAAAAATTAATTTTTGGTGTACTTTAATATATCTCTTATGCATACTAACAATAAGTAACATTATTATAAAAACACAACTTAAATTTCAGCTTTCATTTGACAATTGTCAATGCTCTGTAATTATTTTTTTCCAAAGGCATAGATGATAAACATGTAAATTGTTCTAAAATGATGGAACAAAGTGATAAGCAACAAGTGTTTAGATAAAAGACCACCATTTTATCGGGAAAACATCTTATTTGCCATTGATGTAAAATATATTATTAATATATGTACAAGAGGCTGTCAGAGTGACAGCAAACCGGATTTCCTGCAGAGGTCGAACCTTGAACAGTTGAGCAAGTATGGAGTAGGACACTACATTTAAGCTTAAAACAGCTCTGAATTTGGATTGTGATTGAATATTTGACTAAGCATAGGTTTGTGACACAAAATGAATGTGGTCAAAGAACTGAAAAATTTGAAATTGGACATTTACCTATTATGGTCCAATATCCAAAATCTAAGTACATTGTTAGAATCAGCATATCAAACAACCCCAAGAATTCAATTTTTGATGAAATCAAACAAAAGTTTAATTTAGGACCCTTTGGACCTCAATGTGGACCAATTTGATAAAGGAGCCCTAAATCCAAAATCTCTGAATACGTGGTTAGATTCAGCATTTCAAAGAACCCCATAAATTCAATTTTTGTTGAAATCAAACAAAAAAAAAGTTTAATTTTTTACCCTGATTTGGACCAACTTGAAAACTGGGCCCAAAAATCCAATATTTAAATACAGGTTTAGATTCAGCATTTGAAAGAACCCTATATATATTTAATTTATGTTGAAATGAAACAGTTTAATTTTATCCATATATATATACTTATTAATTTTCTGTTCAAAGGGAAATAACTCAAACTGAATAAATGATATACAAATAGTTCTCTAAAATTAGATATGATTTAACCACTAAAAAATAGTTCTCTAAAATTAGATATGATGTTATATCTATTTTCAAATTATAATCAATAAATTTAGATATGATTTAACCACTAAAACATTGTAAGAATCAGCATATCAAAGAACCCCAAGAATTAAATTTTTGATGAAATTAAACAAAATTTTAATTTCGGACCCTTTGGACCTCAATGTGGTATTATCTAATTAATAATGAAAATAAATACAGGTTTAGATATAGCATTTCAAAGAACCCTATATATATTCAATTTATGTAGAAATCAAACACAGTTTAATTAACACCCCGATTGGACCAACTTGAAAACTGGGCCCAAAATCAGAAATCTAAATACATGTGTATTAATAGAATATAAGCTTAGTTTTTAAAGGAGTTCACTTCATCAAAAAAAATATATATATATATAGCATTCAGAAAATTAGTTTATACAGAATAACAAACAAACCTACCACAAAGTTCTTCAAACAATTTACCAAAGAAAAGAAAAAAAATCCAAAATGTCATTTATCATTAATACAATGTCTTTTAAAAATCTATAAAACTTATCTGTAAGTGTAATCAAACTTTACATATATAATTAACCATTTCTGTTCAAAGGGAAATAACTCAATCACATAATAAGTACCACTTTTGGACTGGAAAGGGCTATAACTCAAAAACAAGAAAAGCTAAAATCGTGAACTTGACTTTCATTTAGTCACAGGAAACAACATATCTAAATTTGAAAAAATTTGGTCAAAGCATTTTCATGTTAATGAACGGACACTGTTTGGCAGCCGCCCGCCATACATCCCCAAATCAATAACCGAATTTTCCTTCGAAAATCTGGTTAAAAATTGTAGCATGTAGACAGAATATAGGTTAACTCAAATGAATGCCAACTCGTACCATTGCAAACTGGTGCCACCACTAAATCTAACCTACTTATTTAAATGCCCCAAATTGATATGGAATTGTGTTAAATGTTGAACTTTTATTTTTAAATATAACTGAATAAATCAAACGTCTTTGAGCGAGCATCTTATAAATTGAATAAAATGATTGGAAAGTCATCAGACCAAATTGTAGCTGATTGTTCCATAACCAGGGATTATAGTTAACCAAAGAGTATGTAAGTATTTTTTTTTTTTGCTAATTTTATTTTACAAGAAATAGAACAAGTTGAAACTCTTTTATGGCTTGTCTAACATTGTTTTTAATTTTATTACACCAATCAAAATTTAAAAGTTTGATTGAATAAAAAAGTTTATTAATCAATTATATCACAGTGTCAGCTCAAAAAAAGATTATTAAAGACATTAATATCACATAATTAATTAATTCTATGGATACTAATTTAGATCAATCCATAAATAAATTCATTAATCTTGAAGAGAATATCAAATTTATAGCCTTTAACTTTAGGTTTCTTTTAAAACACTATCAGTGTATATACATGTAGAGATATACACAAAATTTTCCTTTTTCCTAAACAATCCATATTAAAACATCTCTCATTTTGTCTATTAAAATCTAACCTTAATGTAGAACAAACACTAACATAACCCTAAAGTACAGGGATCAACTTCTTATAAAGTAATTGAAGGACAAAAGTATATTCATATATTCTAAAGACAATGCATAAACTAAAGCAGTAGGGATATTGGCAACTTTTATGTATAGTATGATTTTCCATTGATTTCTCTTTGTATTCTTTATGGTATCCCATTTTACATATTATACTGTGGATTCATTTATTTTTGTGGAACCAATTTTCATGGATATTTTATTTCATGGTTTTGCCAAAGTCCACAAACAACCTTACAGAAAATGTGCCATTCTTTGGAACATTTAAATTTGTGGTTCACCTGTACCAATGAAATCCACGAAAATTGGTATCCAACAAATAATAATGAATCCACAGTATCTGCTTTATATAATATTTTTGTTGCATCTTATAAAATTACGCTACATGTATTTCTTGCGCCCACCAGAAGGATTGACCATAAAACATATGAAGTAGATTAGACTTTGCAGTGCTATGAGTTGACTTTTGATGTTACAAGTTTATAAGGATAGAGTTGACTTTCTTCCATGCCATGCCTGTAGATCTATAAGAGGAGGGGGTGGACAGCTTTTGAGGGAGGTGGGAGAGAAAAGATTCTAAAAGTGGGAGGTGAGAAGTAGGGGGTGGGAGGTGGGAGAAGGGTACCCACCCCCTCATAGAGCTCTACATTGTGCATCTTTCAAAATATATAAGATTTTTTACAATTTTAGAATTATTCCCATCCAACACTCGAAACAGGTATTGTAACTATAAAAAGATAACAGGTGGTCAGCATGAAAGGGGTAAATGATTATAGGACTTGTGTAGTTGTAGAGTATGATACCACTGTCCACACAAATCCTTGATAATTCTTAAACAAATTGAAAATATTTGAAGAACCATATTTCATTTCGATTTTCGTATAGAAAATGTCACTGTATAAAATGAAGCAAAATACAATGGCACTTGGAGTTTGGGGGAATGACTTTCGGCTTTCAGTAAGTATACCTATTGATATGGAATAAGGACATGCTTTTACAAAATGTAAACAAATTCACGTGTTTTACACAGGGCTCTCATTTCCAGTGAGGCATTCTGGATGATTTCCCACCAATCAAAATTTGCCAAATTTCTCTTCCGCTTTATCGACCTTGACATCACGAAACGTCAAACAGAAAGTGCCGTACATTATGAATGAACATGGAAAACAGTGGTTTTATACGATTTTCAAAGAATAATCGTATAAACCTCAGTGAGGTTTTATCGATTTCAATGATTAGAACATCATTTATATTAGTTGTGTTTTTGACGGGCATAGCAGTTGCTTATTTATCGACTTATTTACCGGCAGTCTGGCTGTCTGTTTTCACTTCTCCTGGAAAACCCGAACTTGGAAGCACACTTTCAGCACATGACACTTCAGTTATAGTACGAGTCAGTCAAAGACTGGTTCCACCAAATCCAGGTAATGACACTAAGCAGAACTGTCATAAATTAGGTTAAAGAATTTCTGTAAAAAAAACTATTATGTGATGTACATTTTTACTGTGAGTCATATTAAGGAAGAAGATGTGACGGGACCAAGCAGCTCTGTATACATCAATCTCAAGTTGTTTTTAATGAATGAGTTACAACGATTGGGTCAATCAGTATAAACGACGTCATCCAACAATCAGTTCTTGCAGTCAAGGATATATACGTCCTTTTTACTGTCAATGACTGTGTAGTATATGTAATAACAAAAACATTGCGACATAGGAAAATCTTCTGTTAAAGCCCATATTATTCCTATAAAATTGAGAATGGAAATGGGGAATGTGTCAAAGAGACAACAACCCGACCAAAGAGCAGAAAACAGCTGAAGGCCCCTTGTACATGTAGGTCTTCAACACAGCGAAGAAATCCCGCACCCAGAAGGCTGGCTTCAGCTGGCCCCTAAATAAAAATGTGTACTAGTTCATTGAAAATGGACATCACACTAAACTCCAAAATACATATATATAAATGAACTAAAATTAAAAAAAAACAAACAAGACAAACAAAGGCCAGAGGCTCAAGACTTGGGACAGGCACAAAAATGTGGTAGGGTTAAACATGTTTTGTGAGATCTCAACCCTCCCCCTATACCTCTAGCCAATGTAGAATAAACAAACAAGTTTAAAAGAAGTCCGATGTCAGAATAGGTATCAAAAGAAACTAAGCAAAATGACAATGATAAATTAACAAAGGACTACTAGCAGTTACTGACATGCCAGCTCCAGACCTCAATTAAACTGATTGAAAGATTATGTCTTCATTATCTAAAAATCAAGCACAATCCCTCCTGTTAGGGGTTTAGCATCATACCATCATAAAATATATGAGAAGAACATAACCGGTATCATGCTAACAACTGGTTTTAGAATAAATGTGTTTACTTCCGATGCAAAGACCCTATGAGTGAATCAATATTAATACTAAAATATTCCATCCTTAATGACCTGACAACAGTATAGTAACTATATCCCTTCTGGATAAATCTGTTTAAAAGGTTTGGTTAGCTTTTGAGATGAGTGTCGACATTTTTATACGACCGCAAAAATTAAAAATTTTTTGGTCGTATATTGGTATGACGTTGGCATCGTCGTCGTCGTCCGGCGTCGTCATCCGAAGACACATTGGTTTTCGCACTCTAACTTTAGTTTAAGTGAATGGATCTCCATGAAATTTTACTATAAGGTTCAATACCACAAAAGGAAGGTTGGGATTGATTTTGGGGGTTATGGTACCAACAGTTAAGGAATCAGGGGGCCAAAAAGGGGCCAAAAATAAGCATTTTTGTAACTTCCAGACATAACTTGTGTGTTAGTGTATGGATCTCTCTGACATTGTACCACAAGGTTCCATATCACAAAGGGAATGCTGGGATTGATTTTGGGGGTAATTGCCGCAAAATTTTAGGAATTAGGGGCCAAAAAAGGGGCAAAAAACAAGCATTTTTCTAGTTTCATGATAATAACTTGTGTGTAAGTATATGGATTTTTCTGAAATTGAACTACAAGGTTCCATATCACAAAGGGAAAGCTGGAATTGAGTTTGGGGGTAATTGCCCAAAACGTTAAGGAATAAGGGGCCAAAAAGGGGCCAAAAATAGGATTTTTCTAGCCAGACAATAACTTGTGTTCAAGTGTATGGATCTCTCTGAAATTGTACTGCAAGGTACCATACCACAAAGGGAATGCTGGGATTGATTTTGGGGGTAATTCCCTCAAAATTTTAGGAATTAGGGGCCAAAAAGGGGCAAAAAACAAGCATTTTTCTAGTTTCAGGACAATAACTTGTGTGTAAGTGTATGGATCTTTATGAAATTGTACTACAAGGTTCCATATCACAAAAGGAAAGCTGGGTTTGAGTTTGGGGGTAATTGCCCTAAACATTTAGGAATTTGGGGCCAAAAAGGGGCCTAAAAACAAGCATTTTTCTAGTTTCCAGACAATAACTTGTGTTCAAGTGTATGGATCTCTCTGAAATTGTACTGCAAGGTACCATACCACAAAGGGAAGGCTGGGATTGAGTTTGGGGGTAATTGCCTCAAAATTTTAGGAATTAGGGGCCAAAAAGGGGCAAAAAACAAGCATTTTATTAGTTTCAGGACAATAACTTGTGTGTAAGTGTATGGATCTCTCTGAAATTGTACTACAAGGTTCCATATCACAAAAGGAAAGCTGGGTTTGAGTTTGGGGGTAATTGCCCTAAACGTTTAGGAATTTGGGGCCAAAAAGGGGCCTAAAAACAAGCATTTTTCTAGTTTCCAGACAATAACTTGTATTCAAGTGTATGGATCTCTCTGAAATTGTACTGCAAGGTACCATACCACAAAGGGAAGGCTTGGATTGAGTTTGGGGGTGATGAATCATAATGGGGTTCAAAAAATTTAGTGGAGGGATTTTTTTTTTTCTTTAAAATTTTCCATTCTAAATTGGTTATTTCTGATTTATATATAAAAGCAAATAATAATGATATGGTTTGAATAGGTAAATTAAAAATTTTTAAGTTCTTAGACCACATTCATTCTGTGTCAGAAACCTATGCTGTGTCAAATATTTAATCACAATCCAAATTCAGTGCTGTATCAAGCTTGAATGTTGTGTCCATACTTGCCCCAACTGTTCAGGGTTCGACCTCTGCGGTCGTATCAAGCTGCGCCCCAGCGGAGCATTTTATTGTGCTTTGTATAGAATATTACCATAAAATATTGGATGTGAAATACCTGAACGTATAAGATGTCTGCATGTTGATTTATAAATATGAATGATGTCCTTGTACTGATGATAAAATTTAGTAAATGTTTTGAATAGTTTGTGATATCGAAAACCCTGGTGTAATAATTTTTCAGTAATACAGAGATTTCTTTCGTTAAAATCAAATAAGTTGTTACATACACAAGCGAGTCGAACAAGTTGAGATATATAAACACCATAAGATGGTGACAAGGGAACGTCACCATCTAAAAATGGATAATTAACAATAGGAAATGAAAAATCATCTCTTTTTATCATAAATTTTGGTATTAAGCTTCCCGTTTAAGATATAGATTTCAAGATCCAGGAAAGGGCAGTGTTCATTGTTAGTATTAGCCTTATTTAAAGTCTGTTCAGAAGGATAAATCTCTTTAGTGTACATACTGAAGTCGTCATTATTGAGAGTCAATATATCATCCAAATATCTAAAAGTGTAATTAAATTTTTGTATCAGATGTTGTTTCAATGGGTCCTTGATGATTTTAGTCATAAATTGTAACTTTGTAGTATATGAAATGTAACATACTGACCATTTAAGGTTTCTGTAATTACAGGAGTCAGTAGAGAGGCAGTAACTTCAATGAATCTGGCTTTGGATATGGAAGCTCAAGGCAAAAGAGAAAAGGCATTGAAGCTGTATCTTCATGCAATTAATCTGGATCCTTTGCATGTAGACATTCTCACTGCTTATGGAGAATTCTTAGAGAAAATTGAGCATGATATTACTTTAGCTGACAGTATGTACAATAGAGCCTTGCATATATGCCCAGAGCATTCAAAAGCTTTAGTAGCCAAGCAGAGAATTCAACCACTGGTCGAAGAAATTGATCTGAAAAATTTTAACAGAATTGATAAGAAATTGAAACATTTTATGAAAGTCCCTCATAATCATCCTGGTTTGCGGAGAGCTAAAAAAGAATCTTATTTTCAACATATTTATCATTCCAATGCTATCGAAGGGAATACATTAACGTTAATGCAAACTCGTTCAATTATAGAAACAAGAATTGCTGTTGGAGGGAAAAGTTTACTTGAACAGAATGAAGTGCTAGGACTAGATGCTGCTTTAAGTTTTGTAAATAGTACTTTGTTAGGCAAAATTGGTAATATCTCTTTACTAGATATTCTCGAAATCCATAAAAGAGTGCTAGGATATGTAGATTTAACAGAAGCAGGTCGATTAAGACAGACACAAGTTTTTGTTGGTGATTTTACACCCCCTGCAGCGCAGGATATACCAAGTTTGATGGATGGATTTATAGAATGGATGAATTCAGAAGAAGCTTTACAACTTCACCCAATCGAATATGCTGCATTGGCTCATTATAAACTTGTATATATCCATCCGTTTTATGATGGAAATGGAAGAACATCCAGGTTACTTATGAATCTTATACTCATGCAAGCGGGTTATCCTCCCGTTATAGTGAGAGTAGAAGATAGACAGACTTATTACGATACCTTACAGTTAGTAAACATGGGTGATGTACATCCATTTATAAGATTCATAGCAGAATGTACAGAAAGAACGTTAGACTATTTTCTGGTGGCTACCTCTGATGTACATAGTGGTTTAACAATACAAAAAATCAACACGACTAAAAATGTGATAGTAGGGGGGATTGGGGAAGAATGACCAAAGTTAGATATTTTTACATTGTACTAGAATTTATTAAATTGTTTTGTTGACTAATACCTAGTCTCTTTTACAGTGAAATCCCAGAAAGCACAATTTTTGTAAGTAACATATAACAATTGCATAAAGCATGGTATCAGAATGGCCTTTAAATATGTATTTAGAAATTTCTTCAGTTTACAGAATTTTAAAAATGTTGAATATAATACATTTTGTAGAAAATTGCACTTTTGGTACTGTAAAAATAAGAAAATGTGGTAGGATTACCAGTGAGACAACTATCCATCAGAGACCAAATAACTTTGATAAAATTGAGAATGGAAATGGGGAATGTGTCAAAGAGACAACAACCCGACCACAGAACAGACAACAGCAGAAGGCCACCAACAGGTCTTCAATGCAGCGAGAAATTCCCGCACCCGGAGGCGTCCTTCAGCTGGCCCCTAAACAAATATATATACTAGTTCAGTGATAATGAACGCCATACTAAACTCCAAATTGTACACAAGAAACTAAAATTAAAAATAATACAAGACTAACAAAAGCTAGAGGCTCCTGACTTGGGACAGGCGCAAAAATGTGGCGGGGTTAAACATGTTTATGAGATCTCAACCCTCCCCCTATACCTCTAGCCAATGTAGAAAAGTAAAGGGATAACAATACGCACATTAAAATTCAGTTCAAGAGAAGTCCGAGTCTGATGTCAGAAGATGTAACCAAAGAAAATAAACAAAATGACAATAATACATAAATAACAACAGACTACTAGCAGTTAACTGACATGCCAGCTCCAGACTTCAATTAAACTGATTGAAAGATTATGTCTTCATCATATGAATATCAGGCACAATCCTTCCCGTTAGGGGTTTAGTATCATACCATCATAACATATATGAGAAGAACATAACCCGTGTCATGCCAACAACTGGTTTTTAAATAAATGTGTTTAGTGCCGATGCAAAGACCCTATAAGTGAATCAATATTAACGCCAAAATATGCAATCTTTAATGACCTGACAACAGTATCGTAACTATATCCCTTCTTAATAAGTCTATTTAAAGGTTTTGTTAGTTTCAGAGGTGAATACTGACATTTTTGTGCTTTATAAAGAATATTTCCATAAAAAATTGGATGTGAAATACCTGAACGTATAAGAAGTCTGCATGTTGAGCTATATTTACGAATGATGTCCTTATACCGATGATAAAATTTAGTAAATGTTTTGACTAGTTTGTGATATCGAAAACCCTGGTGTAATAATTTTTCAGTAATACATAAATTTCTCTCGTTAAAATCTAAAACATTGTTACATACACGAGCGAATCGTACAAGTTGAGATATATAAACACCATAAGATGGTGACAAGGGAACGTCACCATCTAAAAATGGATAATTAACGATAGGAAATGAAAAATCATCTCTTTTATCATATATTTTAGTATTAAGCTTTCCGTTAATGATATAGATATCAAGATCGAGGAAAGGGCAGTGGTCATTGTTAGTATTAGCTTTATTTAAAGTAAGTTCAACAGGATAAATTTCTTTAGTATACATACTGAAGTCGTCATTATTGAGAGCCAAAATATCATCCAAATATCTAAAAGTATTATTAAATTTGTGTATCAGATGTTGTTTCGATGGGTCTTTACTGATTTTTGTCATAAATTGTAACTCATAGCAATACAAAAAAAGGTCCGCAATAAGTGGTGCACAGTTAGTCCCCATTGGAATTCCGATAACCTGACGATATACGGAATCTCCAAAGCGAACAAAAATGTTATCTAGTAAAAATTCAAGGGCATATATAGTATCAAAGCATGTCCAATTGACATAGTTTTTTTGTTTATTGCTACTAAAAAATGACCTAAAAGAGTTTGAACATATATATTCACATTCTGACTTTTTAAATGCCCATTTAATTAGGTGTGTGAATTTTTTCTTAATGAGAATGTGAGGCAATGTGGTATATAGGGTAGAAAAATCAAAACTTTGAACAGATTCAAAATCACCAATATATGCATGCAATTTATCAAGTACTTCCAACGAGTTCTTGACACTCCAAAAGTAATTAATTCCACTATTTTCGAAGGCCTTATTTGAACAATTTATTATCAGGTTTTTGATTGTACCAAGTGTACTGGTAAGAAGAATAGACAATTAAGTAGTGGAACAATGGCTTGAAGACGAAATGAATCTATATTTGTAAGGTGTTTTGTGTAGCTTCGGAAGCCAATACATAGTTGGGACTTCCATTGTATTTGGTTCTGCTTGTAAAGCGGTAGCTAAAAGTTTATGTTTGTTACAGATGTCGTTTTCTGAAAATGGAGTCAGTTGGAATGTTGGTGAATTGGTGATTTCTTTTTTCAGAACCTCAATGTAAAATTTACGTCAAACAATAATAATATTATTACCAGCTTTATCGGCCGGGACAAAAACAAATTCCTTGGCTAGTTCTTTTAGTTTATGTTTGATACGAGAAATAGGTTTATTGTGGTTATTGTTAAGAGTAAAATGTTCTTTAAAATGTTGAATACGTATATCAACTATGTTCATTACTGATTTAAAAAAAGAGTCCAAAGATTTTTTGTCAGCTTTTTCCCGTTTTATCCATTTCAAACAGTAAGTATGGAGTGAGTCGTGGATGATATTACTGTATACATGTTACTAAATGTCAATGTCAGGCCTTCAACAATGAGCAAAACCCATACCCTATAGTAAAGCTACAAAAGGCCCCCACATGACAAAATGTAAAATAATTCATACAAAAAACTTAACAGCCTGGTTTGAATACAAACAATGAAAGGAAGACAAAATGATATACAATGACCAACAACAACCACTCACTTTGGACAGGCTCACACAGAATGTAGCGGGGTTGAACATGGTTAGAGAGCGATCAAGTGATTAGGTCAGTTTAATGGTTAATTGTAAGTCAATGATATTTGGTATGGAGTTGTATTAGCATCAGCACATTTCAATTCCATGAAGATTATTTTACTCATCAGACCCTCAGTCTAGCGTGCTTTATTTACTTTGAAAATTTTTCTTTGTAAAAGTTTGTGATAAGGTCCTTTTAAAATAAACCACTAATGGTATTCAATGGTATTTGGTATGCAGTTATATTTGAATTTCTGCATATTTAACAATGGAAACAACTTATGATAAGACAATGACAGTGTATGCAGTTGTATAAGTATTGGCATGGAGATTAGTTTTGCCCTGCACTCTTCAAATATAGTTCATTGACATTGAATGTTTAGTATAGTTTAGTTGTTTAGTATGTATTGACATTTTGATATCAGCATTTGCATTTAACTATCAAAATAACATCCTCTGTTTCAACAATTGATGTTCTGTGGAATTTCCCTTAATACAAGAACATCATATTTAAAATGTCCTCTCGTCCTGAATATGCATGAAATATTTGCCACTGGACAATAAGCAACCAACAATCAATCAAATTGTTCTCAAGACCGACCTCAAATTTATATTCTCTAAAAGCCTTTACACTGAGGTTAATAGAAAACGTTTGGTCATGATAATGGTATTATACATTTTTTATATTAATGAACATTATCAGGGCCAAACACATACCTTCCCCTTTGCTGTAGTTTTCGTGAAACAGAACACTTGCATAGAAAGTGGCTATTTAAACCTGAAAAAGATGCTTTTCTTCACTAAGAAAAAAGTAACAGGATTAGATTGGCTATAGAACAGATTTTTATATTTTTTTCCTGGTTATTTCATCTTGCACTTTCAAGCTACCCCCACCCCCACCCCCCCAAAAACAAAAAAAAAATCGTGTCAAAAACTACATTTTGTGGCCATGATGATTATTTGATATAGTTGCACCTGACCAATACTGAGAAACAAGCAGATTTTTTAAATACTAAATGTCTGAAGATAGATATGTCAACCCTCTAGGCAGATTATTCTGTTTCCAAATTGTCCAGTCTTTGCTCATACTATTTTAATGCTGCACAATTGCTGGAAAAGCAGCAAATGCAAATTTGTATGTATATGGTCTGAATAAAGCCATGGATGGAACCAACACGTCCCCACAATTCACGTGAGCTTGCTGCCACAAAACCACTGACAGTTAGAAATAAATAGAAAATTGTTTATACAATATTAATAATCAAATTTTCCGGACAGAAAATACACCATAGGTAGTTCCATAAGAGAAATAAAAAATAAACTGGCAACGCCATGGCAAAAAAAGAAAAAGGCCAAAAAGACAAACAATTAACAGTATACAAACAGAACATAGAAAACTAAAGACTGAGCAACACGAACTCCACAAAAAAAACCGGGGGTGAATTAAGGTGCTCCGGAGGGTAAGCAGGTCTTGCTCCATATGTTGCACACGTTTTGTTGCTCGTGTACGTACAAACCCGGTGATAAGTCTTAATTATTCGGTAGGTAATATTTGGGGAAAAGGAGGACGGGTTTGTGGTAACGATGACTGGAACATATCCGTCGACATCTGTAAACCAGATATACCATCACGGTAAATAAAAGTTATATAAATCAAGTATTTCATTAACTTGGATTAAAAACTACTAATCCTTATATCTGCCTTGGCCCAAACCAGTATTCTTTCCAATATGGACATTGTTGTTCATTTTTTTAGAAAAGGGGTGTGTAGTCTGATAAGGAATATGTGGGTACTCCTGATAATCAGAAATGTAAAGTTGTCAACATGAAACATAGATTACGATTTGAACATGCATGAACAGAGGATTAAGTACATATATATAGATTTTCGAGACCAGAGATCATCAATTATAAAGCTGCCAGGAGTCATAGGCATGGTCCAAACATCTTACAGACTAAATGTGTTTCATCAATGTTAATCACTCATATGTGTTTAATCCATTCCGATTTCACGACCTAAGTTAAAACTGAAGTCAATGATTCTGGTCAAAACCTTTTAAATATAACATATTTTAACCATTTACCTTATTCCCAAGTGAATGTGGGTTGTCCCTTTGAATTTCGGTGACAAAGAGCTGTAGTCAAAAATTTCAAATGATATAGACTCCTTCTAACCTCTTAGTTATACTTTCACTGGCCGAGTCAATCTTGGTATGGTTAATACCTATGAAAAAAGGATGCTTATATTCATATGTAAAATTATTTAATATGGTATAATGTTTTTGACCCGTCCGTCCATCATTCCGTCAGAATTTCATGAAACTTTGTAGATAATAAGGACATAATATGTAGATGTGCATATCGACAGGAAATTATGATTCAATTTTATACGACCGCAAAAAAATTTTTGTGGTCGTATATTGGTATGACGTTTGCTGGTATGACGTTTGCGTCGTCGTTGTCGTCGTCGTCCGAAGACACATTAGTTTTCGCACTCTAACTTTAGTTTAAGTGAATGGATCTCTATGAAATTTTACCATAAGGTTTAATACCACAAAAGGAAGGTGGGGATTGATTTTGGGGGTTATGGTACCAACAGTTAAGGAATTAGGGGCCAAAAAGGGGCCAAAAATAAGCATTTTTGTAACTTCCAGACATAACTTGTGTGTAAGTGTATGGATCTCTCTGACATTGTACCACAAGGTTCCATATCACAAAGGGAATGCTGGGATTGATTTTGGGGGTAATTGCCTCCAAATTTTAGGTATTAGGGGCCAAAAAGGGGCAAAAAACAAGCATTTTTCTAGTTTCATGACAATAACTTGTGTTCAAGTGTATGGATCTATCTGACATTGTATCACAAGGTTCCAGATCACAAAGTGAATGCTGGGAGTGATTTTGGGGGTAATTGCCTCCAAATTTTAGGAATTAGGGGTCAAAAAGGGACAAAAAACAAGCATTTTTCTACTTTCCAGACAATAACTTGTGTTCAAGTGTATGGATCTCTCTGAAATTGTACTGCAAGGTACCATACCACAAAGGGAAAGCTGGGATTGAGTTTGGGGGTGATGAATCATAAGGGGGTTCAAAAAATTTGGGGGGGGATTTTTTTTTCCTTTTTTTTCTTTAAAATTTTCCATTTTAGATTGGTTATTTCTGATTTATATATAAAAGCAAATAATAATGATATGGTTTGAATAGGTAAATTAAAAATGTTTAAGTTCTTAGACCACTTTCATTCTGTGTGAGAAACCTATGCTGTGTCAAATATTTAATTACAATCCAAATTCAGTGCTGTATCAAGCTTGAATGTTGTGTCCATACTTGCCCCAACTGTTCAGGGTTCGACATCTGCGGTCGTATCAAGCTGCGCCCCAGCGGAGCATTTTATTATTTTAGGAATAATGCCCTTTTGAACTGAGAACTTTGGCCTAAATATACTACTGCAACAGTTTGTCATTGCAACTCCTCTGAAACTACACAACAGAATGTTATGAAACTTTGTAGAAAGTTAGGACATATTAATATGTAGATGTGCATATCCACAAGTAATTTTTATCATTTAACTTTTGTAGGATATATGAGTCTTTGAACTTAAGAATCTGGTGACATTTTGTTTGCCCAGTGACAATTTGTTGAGTGGGGTATGTGAGCGTGCTCACAAAGGTTCTTTAATTTCTAAATGAATGTAACACATTTTCTCTGGTCTGATGGATAACATTGCTACTTTATGCATTTTGTTATTATCGTCGTCGATCTCATTATCGTGGTAGTCGTTTTCGTCATCGTTGTCGCCGCCATCGTCATCACTGATCCTCGTCAACCTCTCATAAAGAACCCACAGAGCCAAGACCTTGATATTAAACCACTACACTACACTGGAATTACATATTTTAAATTGCAGAAATATATATGAGGATGTATCAATGAATTATTTTCTGAAAATGTAGACGTATTAAAAAAACTTAAATGAAGAAAATAAATTAACATTAACATTTTCGAGCTTTTTCATAATAAATGTAATTCTGTCATAAGAAACAAAACAATGAATACACCATAGTAAAAGAACACTTTGAAGGAAAAATCAGCATAGAAAAGGCAGTCGAACCATGACTGAGAACTTTTTTTTCGCATGTTGCTAAATTCGTATGAGATATTTTTTCTTTCAAAATATTAAATCAATAGGAGTATTAAAGGGTACTTTTGTAATGGTTTATTGTATTAATATTTCCTTGTACGGGTACAATATGTCACGTATTGGAGCGTAAAGAACAAACCCATGTATAAGGAATACAGATAGTTATTCTTAGAAGACTTATTTATTGTCAGTCTTGGTAATTGTATATATTTCCTCAAAGGAGACTAAATGAAAGACAGAACTGCAGTTTGTAAGTAAAGAATTTGTAAATTGTTATATCATAACTATTTTTCTCACTCTTATATGAATTTCATAGTCAGTTGTGATGGGTGTTTACAAAGTTTTGACTGCTGGATCCCTATTATTGTCACATAAACCTTTTATATCTCTTTGAGTTGCTCACCCCGTTTTGTCAATCTAACGGAACTAAAAACAACTGCATTACAAGTTTAGCTAGCTATAAAACAAGGCCATAGGCGGATCCAGCCCCCCCCCCCCCCCCTCCCCTTTCGTGGGAAAAAAATGGTTGATTATATAGGGAATCACTGAAGCATGACTGTAGCGGGCCCCCTCCTGTGGCAGTCAGTCCCCCCCTTATAAAATGTTCTGGATCCGCGCCACTGAAGGCTTTAACCCATTTTCTTCCGAAAATGCCTTTCTCAAGTCAGGAATATGACAGTTGTTTTCCGTTCGTTCCGTTGGTTGATAAAGTCTAACGTTTGATTTTGTCCGTTTAAATGCACTAACCTCGTTTTGAATTAACCTATATATATAAGTCTTTGTTTGAAGTTTATCGTTCGTTAACATTAATTTACATGTATCACAGTTTTTTTTTAATTTCATTTCGTGAAGGTGTATGGCAATGTCTTATAAAAACTTGAATATACATCACACATATTAAATTGTTTACCAAATGTGTAGCCATCTATTTTACTTTGTTTAGTTAGTTTTAGATGATTCAAATACTAATAGTGTTACAATTCACAGAAAGGGAACTCATTACCATACTCTAAACACCGATTCTTGTGTCTCACAGTGTCGCACTGTAATTCACAGATAATCTTCCAAAATTCATCCACCTGAGTGTTTTATGATTTGTTGATTGCTTGTAAAAGTACTACAAATGCACAATACGGTTTTAAAGTAACTAGTATTACAGATCTGATGTGATTGATTTTTAAAAAGTACTTTAACCTAGATTTCTTAACAATATATATTTCTGAAGAATATCTATTCACAGGGTGGAAGATATTGAAATGAAAATCTTCCTTGTTTGTATTTTTCATAGACCCTACTTGTGATTCAAGGTAAATGTTGACAGAAAGGTAAATCAATTCTTATACGATATCTAAAATTCGGAAAATAATGATAAATAGTTATAGGCTTCCCCCTTATTACAATTAAATTCGCCAAAAATGATTAATAAATAGTGAAGGGTATAAGTGGCCATTAAAATGTTTCATTACAATGTGTTTAGAAGTGTTATATATCAATTGCTTAGCGTCCAGTGACTAATATTTCATGCATATTCAGGACGAGAATCCAATAGGTAAGTTCTGTGAAGTGGGTCTCAGGACCGAGATGATGACAGGAATTAAAACTATGTGTTATGTTGGATGATTGGCAGATTGCAACAGGCCTTCTACAGATCCTTGAATGGACATTGAAAGGTTTCTGTGCAGTACTTGCAGTAAACGTTTCCTGACAGAGTTGCACATAATATTACAAGTCTATATAGTTCTGAATTTATAAGCTGGGAAGTTACATTAAAAAATCTAATTTTATTTGTATTCATCATTTGAATTTTTCCAATACAGAAAAAACCTCTATATACTGGTTATACGGTGCCCACTATAGCAGCGGTACTGTTTGACCTTGTGATAGGATAAATAACGTATGATACACCTAAACATTTTAAGTTTTGTAGATGTTTACTCTTTTATGCCGTCTCAATAAAATATTCAAAATATCTTTTATCATAATTCTTTTTTTCTTTATGTATACTCACCAGTCTAGAGATTTTAAAAATACAGACACAATCGAATGCATAAGGACAAACAACTTTTAAATGACGTCATAAATCAAACATTGAAATTAGCTGCTTTCGATGAAACTTACGTTTCTTCTGTTTTATTAACTTTCAAAGCCAAAAGTTTGAAAAAAAATATTGATCATAGATGATATTTTGACCTAAGAATGTCTTTTTAATGGCGTTATTTGGTTGCTTTCTTATCGACGTAAATCCTTCAATCCTATTGCGTTTGTCTTAAAAAGTATTAGTCAAAATAACTTAAATGTATAATTGTCTAGATGAGTCGCACTGCAGTCTTAATTGCCTCTCCCCAAATTATCCCATTACAAAGATGACTGCTTCGAACAAAGTCTACGATTTGGTCAAATAGCATAGACATATGTACGTTGTTAATTTTTTTTTTTTCTACATTTTTATGTTGTATGTATACAAAGTTTGTTCTGGGAATTTCACAAGATCGCGTCTTCCTAAACTGTCCACGACGTTGTTGTATAAACAGTCTCGTCTATGAAGTACAGCAACCAAAATTATAGGCATGCTTTTATATCAACATGTAAATCTCTTTGAGCTTACTTTCGTATCTGAGCGTACTATTGCTTTTTACTGTTTTGTTTATACTTGTTTATACTTGTTTTGATATATATTGTACCTCTATATAAGAGTTTTTATGCGTTTCTTGTACTGATTTTTGTTGTAATTTCTGTTATGCACCCTTTGTTATTCCACTAGTTGAGATTAAAAAGGGGAATGGTTGACAAACTAACCCAGCGTAGCTGTCAACAGGATGGACTATCGTCCGCTGTTGTCTTATGTCATATCATAATGTTGGCCATAGTGGAACCATAGATGTATTTTGGTTATTTGTGTCGTTTGGTTGCTGTCAAATATACGCTAACGTTCAAATGACACGTGTTTTGTTTTATAATTCGTCTCTATGCACCTAAGATGTTCACATGCTGATAGAATAATCAGGGTAACAACTTTTGACATTCCCGACGTAAGATGAGTTTGTTCAATGATTTTCTTTTATTACGGACATAATAAAATAACACGCAAATTTAATAGCAACACAATATATTGATGACCCGGATAAGGTTGTGAATATAAAAGTATTGTAACAAGAAGTTGTCATTTAAATATGTAAAGTTTATTTTTGTACCTAAGTTGACGTTTTTTTTCTCAATCATTTTAATCTAATCGAGGAAGCATTGAATACAATATGGAAATCCCATGAAGTGATGCGTTTTGTAATTTTCTGAGGAAAATTGAAGACAGATAAGATCATTTATTTCAATAGTGTTTTTACAAGGAAATTGTCATGTAAAATATTCGTGCCCCAGGAATTAATTTTCAAGTATTGCCCAACAAATTCACATGAAGCTTTTTATTAAAATAAATAATTAGCCACTAATCAGACGCGTTTACACTGTGTACATATTAGAGGGAGGACAGGATAATATTCTTTCTCTTCCCCCTCTGAGTCTCTTATCATCCTTTCTCATACCAGAAATATATTTTCCCCTATGAAAAAAAATTTAAAAAATACAGTTTTGTTCATGCATTTTTAACAAAATATCTTGTAAATGTCTTATTTTATTTTACAATCTTTCTCACCTGGTTCTCTCACACGACAAGACGTTTTATTTGATAAGGTTCGATTATAAATTGCATTACCTTTTGAAAACATATCGAATTATGTTTTTTTTTTGTTTTTTGTTTTCTCAGTTTCTCATTTGATCTCCCTTATCCCACCCTTCTTCTCTTTCTCCCTGTGTCCCTTTACCCTGTCCTCTACCATCACATATAGTGCACAGCGAAAAATAACCCTTCTAGAATTATTCAATATTACATATTCTCATAGCTCGTTACATTTCCAGATGAAGAGATAAACTTGATGAACACCTAAATTATTAAATTTATTGCACAGAAAAAAGTAGGGCTAATTTCCCCTTTATTTATTTCAAATCAGAAATATTTTCAAAAAGTCTCAATCTTTACAAACATTTCATTAGATTATATTTGATTTATATACTAATTATATTATGGCCTTTTCTTAACAGATCACCAAATTACAATCACCTAAAGACAACGCAAAACCGACATCTTATTTTTGTATGTAGCGCTGAATAACGTCTGGATTTAATGTAAATATGGAAAATTTTAAATTGTTGATTGTTTTAGACTATATGATATAGACTCTTTAAGGGCATCCGATACAGTTTCATTGGAGTTAACTCTTGGGTGCGACGTTAAGGATGTTCGCTACTCTGTTTCAAAATAACAAGCTTTTTAAAAGACTATTATAAATTGATAGTATATAAATAAATGAACTGAAAAAGCAGAAAAAAATGTAGGGTCCGTGTGCTTGTTTTCGAGATATAAGCCATTGAAAATTTGGCGGGAAACAATTCTCTCTAGATTTTACATACATTTAACATTGGCACCTTTTTTCTTTAAAAAACAATGAAAAAATAACAAGGATTCTATAAGATTTTCAAATATGGCTTTTAAACTATATGTAATAAAATTATGAAAAGAAAAGTATGGGTTAGTGGACAAATTATTTAATGGCCAAACATGGATAAAACCAGAGGATTCCGAAAATTTGGCAAAAATTAAAAAACAAGAGGAGCGAACATCCTTAAGCGTTCGAATTCCCACAAAACGTAACTTTCGGCGGGACGTCATGCGTGTAGTTTACCGTATTAAAATGTTTCTTTCACACGTTAACTTCTACGCTCTTGCTTCTGTGAGGTCTTCAATAATGAAGTCAACAAAAGATCGTATAGTCAGTATTCTTAAGACGACTGACTCTTTTGATGTTAACATAAAGCATGCCAATTATCATTTTTATTATCATTCATCCCTGATCGAATTTTGATTTGGATCCGATTTTCTGTCAGCCCGTATGTCGGACAGCACACAAAAATAGTTTTACAGCGCACTTGAGTAAAGTCAATATCAATTTATGTCATGATATTTAAAATCTCATACCGAAAGTTCAGATAGCGCAAAAATCCAGTTTTAATCATTGTAATCCCTTGTATGAAAAACATCAACACTTCAAGAAGAAAATTTCCTCCTAAGGCACAATTTATTCCATCTATTTACATCCAATATATGAGAGGACGCGGTAATTATGGTATGCCGCCATTTATTAACGATGATACAACTTTTAAAATCTGTGCAAAAATCATCACAGCTATACATTGAGGTTTCTACAACATTATGTGGTATTTCTGAACATTTACAAGCAGATTATAAATGCTTTAAATGACTTGCTTTAAAATTGTAATTTCGGACGGTATATGTTGACAATTTGGGAGAGGAATAAAAAGGACACAGAAAGCAAAACCAAAGTTATAGGGGATGTATAGGTAACATGTCCAGTCTTCCAGATATCAATTCAATCATTTTTGCCAGATCAAAAATTAAGACAAATTTCAAAATTATTGTTAAATTTTCTTCGTCTGTAATCATTCACCCGCATAACAGTTTGAGTTTATGAATACATGTGAAATTCTTAAAAAGAGATTAAAATGTGAATAAAAGGATGTGTTGTGGGTATGTCAATGAAACAGCAGCCCACCAAACCAATACAAACAAAAAAAAACCCATCTAGAGGTCAACATATGGTCTTAAACAATACACGAGTGTGTACAGTACCGGCATGTCTAGCTCTTAATTGCCACGAGTCTTTAAATTAAGCCTTAAAAATAATTAAACAGTTCGCAATAACTATAACAGAAAAGTTTCTCAGTTGGAACATAAAAAGAATAAAAAGAGAGAGGTATTTATGATACACATAGTTTTTATTTCCGGAAACAATATTATCAGTTTAAGGTAGCTATCTATAAGCAATATATATACCTGAAAAAATATCGCCGATAACCTTACAGGGATAATTAGCGGGTCCAGACGTCGAAATTGTAGCCAGCGACGTCTTGCATTTTCGCGCTAACGTTGAGGTTACCAAGGGGGACGCAATTTTTAGAATAAATCGCGATTTATCTTCGAATCCAGCACGGTGACATATATTTTTTATTTGCTAATTTGAGTAAGCATAACAAAAGACAGTTAATGTAGAAAAATGCGAAAAATGACAATATAAGAACCTCTCGATTTCCACATTTTCAAATAAAAAAAAAAATCTCACTTTGAGCATCTTATCCGTAATTTTAAGCATGGCTTGACTAATTAACTAGTCATTCTTGCAGGGATTTATTTTTCCCTTATTTTTACTTACCACAGCATCAGATTGAATCCAATCATATCAATTTATGACGAAGAATATCTAACCCAAAATTTTTATAACTTTGCTTAATTTTTTTTTTTAGAAAAGTGCAAAAATGCACAATTTTCAGCCTCAATTTTCTCGAAAACAAGCACGGCGACCTATATTTTATTTGGTGATTTCTGTTAAAACTCGCCTAAGCCTACAACATAATTCAAAATTATAAAAATGACAATATAACGTGAAACTGTATCGGATGCCCTTAATATTCAATTTGAAAACATTTAAGTTTTGATCCTGTAATTGAAACAAATACATGAGGAATTCGACTTACCCCTTTCAACATATAGCACGCTAGAAATTCTTCCGGTCTCTTTGTTAATTAACGATTACACACAACCTTAAGTTATTGAATATGCCATATATGAAATGTATACATGTAATTATGTCCTTTTTCATTTTCTCAGTAGAACGATGATGTTTGGTCAACAGGATTGTCTTTTCCAAGCTGTATTTTTGTTGTTTGTTATGTTTTCGGACATTCCAGCTGCACCTATTCGTAAGTTCACAAATTTCAAATTCATAAAGCACCTTAGAATGAACTTTATACTTTTTACCATACCTTAGGTAGCCTACTTAGTCAGCGATAACACTTGAAATAAGGCTTTACATGTACATCTGTACGTCGAGTCTCGAATATGCATACCACTAGAGTTTAAGAAAGTACCAATTTGACCCAATCTATACGGAATGTAGATGAAATCTTCTATTCGACTTTTTGGCGGAAAACCATGCTTCTTTTTAGCCAACATGTAGTCGACTACTTGGCGGAAATTTTGGTGCAAACGCTATTCGAACTTTATCATTATAAAACAGACTAGTCTGCAGGTAGGTATTATTTTCACTCTCAAATAATGACTGCAAACCTGAAATGACATTTCAAGTATGCTAATTCGTTTGCGACACTATTCGATTTATATTTTGCATAACAAGCTGAAAGCAGGGATAATTAATTACTTTCGTCCATGAGATTGTATTGATATTGCTTATATTTGACCTCTGAACTTAATTCAATCAGATGACATAGGAATTTTTGTCGACATTTCAAAAAGGAAAGTACAGTTGAAAGGCTTTCAAAACCACATGGGTTCATTGGTGAAATAGAAACATATATAGTCGCCCGCACTTCTGTCAGGCAATATAACCATTGCTGATTGGGCGTCCGTTTTTCGGCGCGGGATGTATAAATACGCTTCAAACCGTTCAATTAAAGATAGTTTATAAGAAACTTAGAAACGAATGTCGAAACAAATATTTTCTAACCGGTGCCATTTAGTCAAATGTAATTAACAGCAGTTCCGACAATAAGTTGGACACAAAATAGCTGACTGATATATAATATAAAAGACCTCATAAAATTATCCATTCAAACAAAATTTACGTGCATTCGTTTATTTACGAACGAATTCTCGGGTAACATGCACATGCTTGACATTTTACAACTTGACCACCCGGACACTCAACTTTAAAAATATACCTGCATTATAAAAATAAGGAGATGTGGTATGATTGCAAATGAGACAACTATCCACCAAAGTTTAAAAAAAACCCATACCATATAGTCGGCTATAAAAGGCCCCGACATGAAAAATATTGAACTATTCAACTGAGAAAACTAACGGCCTAATTTATGACAAAAAAATTTACGAAAACAAAATTATGACAGACATGAACCAACGACAACCACTGAACTACAGGCCTCTGATAATTTAATCCATAAAAGTTTTGTTTAGTAATCATGTTGTTTAGATGTAGCCCTTGGGTATACATTCACTTTTTATGTTAACGATTTGTACCCTTTTGTAGTTTTAATGCTAATCATAAAGAATTTTATGAAAATCCATAGCCTTTTCGTTTGTACTCTAAGACTTATATTTGACAATTCAGTACTTAATCGACAGAGGATTACTGCATGCATTTCCCTTAAACAAGTACAAATATGGGCTGGATGTGCCACAAAATACTCATTTTCATTAAATGCAATGAAACAATTAATACTATTGCTGTGAACGACTTTTCCCTTTTGGTATATGTACACAATAGCAGGTTTCTTTAATTCAGTATCTTTGTTATTGCAATTTGAAAAATTCGTAAAATTCAGGACTAGAGAAGCGACATTTTCATATTTATTTATATTATCTTATTTCAATTTTATATCCTTTAAAACAAAACCTGACATACAACAGTATCAATGGAGGAATTAGTCGATGGTTTTCGTCGACAACAGATGGTAATGTCGAGTACTATGATAAACGCAAGTCAAAGTTTAGGACTTCCTGACAGGTTGGCTGAGGCAGAGGTGGAGGAAGCAGAGGAACGAAGTACTCAAGGTATGTTTATTCTATCTTCATAATAGACAGGAGTAAAACTGGAGGAATAACATCATTTCATTTATATTAAGTTCAATTGTTTTTTTTTTATATTAAAATGTAATTAGGCAAATGCATTTCTGAAATATTGTCTTGTGCAATGATATAGAAAATTCATATTTAAATTTTAAAACATGTTTTTTATGTTGGCAGTATGTGCAGATTTTTGTGGCGTTTTCGTAAAGTGTTAAGTTGCAGTTTTCAGTATGACAAGTAATCATGAGGTATAATTAAGTTAAACGATATTTTCATTAAGTAAAATTTGAATAATATTTTTTTTAGCTTTCAGAAGAAAAAACGAGGCCAAAACTCCGTTTATAGCCACAAGCTCGCGCCTTGGTTTAGGATACATATGCAGAGGATATGATATATACAAAGGAAACCCAGTGAGTGACGAAGGAGAAGTTGACCAGGGATTTCGTCTTCCGGTCTTAGATTTGCCATTTAACTTCCGTTTTACTGCAGACGGCGAATACAGAATTCCAGACAACGTTGACGTTATTTCTGAGACAAGGTTTGAAATGTTCCTTTTGTCTTCAAAATAACTATCATATAATTTATATAAAGCCAGTGATGGTTATTTAGTTATATGTTTCGTTCTTACCTCTAAATTTTACTGTAGCCATTATATATATATAATATATATAAATATAAATTTTAAGACTAATGTAAAAATAACATGTCAGGCAGTCTGTTCTTAAAAAAATGTGAACAAATTAAACAACTGCAGACGAAATTAGTATATAGTTTGTATGTACTAGTTCTGTGTTTGGTACTTTATGACTCGTAAATCAGATATCTACATTACATTAAAACGAAATATCTATTCAATTCTAATTATATTCCAAATTAGGATGAACTAAGAAAAGTGTCCATAATTTGATATTTGTTTTGTTAGAATTATTACCACTAGTATTGCAATAAATTATGTTTTGTAGTTTTGTCTATGCTTGTTTATTTTAGTTATTTTTTTACACAATAATCATACTTATACATTTTCAACTTTTCATTGATGACCGTGATCAGTGCGTCGTTCGGATCGTCGTATCATCAAGTTAAAACTGAAACAGATTACCAAAGCATGCTGCAGGTCGACGTGTCAGTGAGTATAACGTTTAATACTGTTCTTACTTTTGGAAATTGAACACAATGGACACAGTTTTAGTTGTATCCAATGTAAATATTAATATTAATATTTAAAGTGTATTCGATGCTGTATTGAAGAATATTATTCAATTCAATTGTACAATATTTATGTTAATATGCGTGAACAAGGAGTCACATCTACAGTTTCATCGTATTAAATCTATTTTGAGCTGAAGCAGCCATTTTGATCTGAACAGCTATTAAAAGACTGAATAATAAAATCATGTTTAGTCTTCCAGTCAGTTTAAGTACTTGCGGTATATTCAGTACTGTTCAGACAATAAGCTTGCAGTCAATAAGAATCTGTCCAATCTATGTTCAGACTGTTTAGTTTATGTTCAGACTGTTTAGGAGTTGTTATTTACCTGTTCGAAATAACAACATACTGAATTGTCTGGAAAGCTACTGAACAGTATTGGATTGACTGCAAACCAAATGTCAGAAGAGTACTCAATTTACCAATTTAAAAAACTGAAAACAAACTTAAACTCTTTTCAAGACTTAACATTTATAAATGATGTTAAGATCAAATTGGTCGTTTAAGACTAAAATTGAAATGCTAGTGCGTAATTCTGTACTCGAACACCGATAAAACATTAGCGTTGATATAGTTCTGGAGCCAATGTACCACAAGAAAGATTGGGCACATTTATTATTAATATTTCTGTTTGCAAGTTTGTGAACAAATTAAATATGATGATAGGACAGTGTTCTCATGAATTGTTATTTTAAGAAGTTTTTCAGTGAAATGATTTACTGCAATATTTCAAGGGTACACTATGACTATCCATTTTAAAAAGGTATACTAGTATATCCGTAATAATACATAATCATATTTTGGTATACAAAAAATGTGACAGTAAAAATAATAGTGCAACGAAATAAATCAGTTGTCGTCTAAAAAAAGCACTGAATGCTTCTTGCTCTTCAACTTCGTACTTTATTTGGCCGTTTTGGCTTTTTTGATTCGAGCGTCACTGATGGGTCTCTTGAGGACTCTCTGGCGTACACATTTTCAATCCTGGTATCTATGATATGTTTATTTGACCTAGTTCTTTAATGAACAACTTTCACTCTTTCATTATAATGCGTAACAATCTCACCAAATGAGCAAAACTAAAAATATCTTAAGACTCGTGGGTGTTAAGATATCGGCTTTAACACGAAGCTGATACTAGTACTATAAATAGTATGAAATATGAATCATTTGTTTTTGTATTTCTTTCGTCAGGTCCATGCAGAAGCCAGTGGTTTTGGTTTCAGTGGAAGTTTTATGGCCAGCACTTCTTACCAAAAAACAGTAAAAGAAATGACAAAAGGAGAAACAACGACCTTAGATATTGTTGGTAGAGCTAATGTTTACAAAGCTAGATTGTCTTCAGCTGGAACAATGTCCAAAGTATGTCTAACATTTACGGAACTTAGATGTCCAAATGCAATGTAAAAAGCATAAGGTCCATTGGAACGTTTTATGGAAGTATTTTACTTTTATTGTTAACGTCTTCTTCCATTTTCAGTTGAATTTTGATTGCAAAAATATTCATAATAAGATATCTTTGCAGTTCAGAAAACAGGTTGATGAAGACGGAATTTGAGAAATACGCCGAACACACATTAACTCATGACATTATAAGACCCGATAGAAAGTTTCAAGTAAATATATAATCCACTAAATGATTTTTCCTAATTCGATAAATTTTTAAATTGTTTTTCCCTTTTTTTCAGCTGAGTGATTTTCTGGAAGACAACATCAGAGCCTTGCCGAGTGAGAATTGTGAAGAAGATGCAATACAGCAGAGGTATATTCAACTAGTTGAACAATTCGGAACTCATTACACAACTGAGGTTGTTATGGGAGCAAAAGCGGTACAAGAATTCAGATTCAAAAATTCTGATCTAGATAGATTTCAATCTGTTGGCCTCTCGGTAAAGGTGAGTTGAAATGAATTTGTTTGGTATAGATAGCTATTAATTGACATTCAATTGAAAAACACGCTCAAGGGTAATTGTTTTGATTTGGTCTTAATCGCATTATTTAGATATAACTTTAGTTTATGTTTGAGATGCGGGCCACACGGGCCGACGGTGTTTCTCGCTTACCACTAATTCTTATAACTCACAACTCAAAACACGTAAAGTAAGGCTATAGAAACTTTGGAAAAAGGACTTTCTAACTTATTGAAGTCATGCAATGATTCGTTTGGATGTCACTTTCTGAGAAAATTTGTAAGAATTTAAAAAATGTCCACACATCTTTAAAGTACTACGCTCTAACACAAATATATACTTCTGAAAAAAAGTTTAGAAACACAACTTCTGACTGATGATGTTAAATAAAATCTTGGATTTTTTCTTTCAAGTTTGTGTTTTCTTAATCGTCAATGACCCCATTAATTTCAATGGAAGTGTTGCAAACTGGTATTGAAATATTATAGAACAAATACAACAACATATAGAATATTTGAGTCTTTCTAGGCTGCAGCTGAGCTTTCTACTCCTTTTGGAGTAAGTGGAGGGTTTAGTGTTGGTGTTACCAATAATCAAGAAATGAGGGAAATGGTATCAAACACGGAAAAGGAGCAAAGAGAATATTATATTGGTGGGAGTCCTCCATCCGGGGACTTCACTTTAGGATCAACAGAAAGTTTAAGAGAATGGGCGAGATCTGCAGCTGAAAATCCAGCGCCTATACAATATAAACTGTCATCAATTGATGCACTTATTAAACCAGAGTACTTTAAAAGACCTATTTCGGGTAAACGATTAATTTAAAACTTATTATCTCAAGTATCTTCTTGTATAAAAATAAGGAGATTTAGATATAAGAAGATGTGGTATGAGTGCCAATGAGACAACTCTCCATCCAAGTCAAAATTTATAAAAGTAAACCATTATAGGTCACAGTACGGTCTTCAACACGGAGCCTTGGCTCACACCGAACAGTAAGCTATAAAGGGCCCCAAAAATTACTAGTGTAAAACCATTCAAACGGGAAAAACCAACGGTCTAATCTATATAAAAAACGAGAAACGAGAAACACTTATGAACCACATCAACAAACAACAACTACTGAATATCAGATTATGCTAAGCCAGCAAGATAACTATCCACCAGTAACCAAGGGACAGGAACGTTAACAACTATGGGTATCCGTATGGTCTTCAACCATGATCAAATCCCATGCCGTATGACAAGCTGTAACAGGCTAAGTCATGACAAAATGTGAAACAATTCAAAAGAAAAAACAACGGCCTGATTTAAGTTTTTCTTTACCTTAGTGTACCATACATTTAAAAATGAAATGCATGTAATGAGATTCATAAATAGATTACTGGAAAATGTAAGGAATAAGGCTTAATTCCGGAATTTTTATCTTTGATTAACGGGAAGGGGTTCAGCATTAAGTAAAATGCCTTTGCTTTTAACACAACAAGGACTGTTCTTAGCAACAGGAGCTACACTTTCATTGATGTTCAGTTTACATGATTTCCATCAAGCCATAATTAAATGTAAATGGAAGTAAATAAATAATAAAAATACTTAAAAGCGGCTTATTTTAAAACAGTGGCTGATTTAAGAATCACATAAGAATTTTTTCACAAAGAGAAACAGCAAAAATAAGGTAAACAGTTAAAAAATGCGTATTTCAAGTAAATCTATGAATGTCAACCTCTTCCGAAACAGTTGATGATTTAGATTTGATAAAAAGGGTAAATAAATAAACACATATTTCAAAAATTGAATTCTGATCGAATATTAGTTATTATTTGATCTATGTATAAGATATATTGTCTACATGTCTTTGCAGTACAGTTAAGAATGCCAACACGTTTTCTTGAATGTTTTAGAACTGTATGAAAGAAGAAAATGTTTACGTAAAGCACTTTTTATGTACTGTACGAGGACGATAGAAGCAAACCACTGTGGTCTTTTATCAGAATCATATGGAACCACCAATTCTTTCAAGTATGTATGAAGTTATGACTACACATTACTATCCAGATGTGGGAACACACATTGAGCAAACCAGTTCGAACCAAGGGAAAGATACATATATACGGGGTGGTTTTCCCTCGGTGGTTATAAAGTTTTAATTCGAAAAGGTTGCACTGCCGACAACGATACTTGGTTGGCTGTGAAACGCCCAAACGTAAAAAACCTCTTTCTGATGACAAAAGAAACATCCCATCATAGAAGCTACATATTATTATTATACAATACATTTTATATCTTACATCTGCTCAAAACTATTTCATTTTCTCCCACCACTAACAAATCCATTTCAAATTTCAAAGCTATATTAATTTTTAAAGTGCAAATAAATAATTTGTTGTCATAATACATGTAATCATTTCATTTTTTACAGGTTTGGTGATTTTGTAAAATTCAGAAATGGCGCTTCATTTTTGGCACTATCGCAACATTATGGAATATCACCAGGACTGACAATCAAGCCATTGACTACAGGTATGGTTTCACTCGGTACAGACGCATTTCTCTGAATCTGTAGGCCTTTAAAAAAATTTACAGCGGCTAAAAGTTATCATAAAGTATGAGCCCGAATTGTTCAATATTTACCAACAATTTTTTATTACTTAATTTAAAAAAAAACACAGCAAACACAGCTTTTTTGCATGAAAAGTGTCCCTTTTTTTAAGAGCACAATAAACTTAGAAGAATTCAGTTGATTGGGTGACTGTGGCTAATTTTTGAATAAGGTAATTTTAGGAATTTCATTATTGGTCGCAAACCTGTATTACTCTGTAACATCACAAATATTTCACGAAAATCACAAAAAGACGTTGTCGTGTTACAATTGCAATACGTTTTTGTATAGGCAAATTATTGCAACATATGATTATAACTTTTACGACAAGAAAGTCACAATTTGCATGAATATATTTTACAAATCTTGTAACTGCTGCTTTATGAATACATAATGCAGAATCTTTATTGTTACTTACAAATTATGAACATTAAAAAAAAACATCCCACAAAAATTGTGCTGTAGGAAGCCATATAGTCGAACCATCTCAAGGCATGACATTTAAAACAAAGTTTTAACTGAATCGTAAATGTTTTCTCTGTTTCAGTTTCTGCAATAACAAACTACGACGGATTATTCCAAATGGTTCCACCTGAGGGTATCAACAAATTAGGAATAAATGTTCATTATGGAGAGCCATTTCTCCTGAAGACGATAGAGGTCAGTACAGTTTGTTTTTATCACCGCGAAGAGTCCAGTTTATCATTTGAAATAAGAAGATGTGGTAGGATTGTCAATGAGACAACTTTACACTAGAAACCAAATGACATAGAACTTATCAACTACTTTATTTGTCTACTTAAAAAAATGAAATGGATTTTTAAAAGTAAAGCTGAACAGTTGTGTCCATTTTTATAATAAAAAAATTCAAGCACAGAAAACATTTTAGTAGATAGATATAAGAAGATGTGGTATGAGTGCCAATGAGACAACTCTCCATCCAAGTCAAAATTTATAAAAGTAAACCATTATAGGTCACAGTACAGTCTTCAACACGGAGCCTTGGCTCACACCGAACAGTAAGCTATAAAGGGCCCCAAAAATTACTATTTTAAAACCATTCAAACGGGAAAACCAACGGTCTAATCTATATAAAAAACGAGAAACGAGAAACACTTATGAACCACATCAACAAACGACAACTACTGAACATCAGATTCCTGACTTAGGACAGTATCCAGATATAATTTAATTTTGGAAGTAACGCGTCTTCTGATTGGCTGACGTTGTTTTGTTTATCAGCTCATAGACATAATTTTGTCATGTGACCGTGACGTCATCAACGTTTTTTCATGGTTTACTTAGGTTTAAAATGGAATTTAGAATTAAATTATAAGAAATGACTGTAATATTTTTTCTGTCTATTCGAAATAACATAAAAAATGTGGTGCACACTTTAAAATAACCCGCTACATACGCGGGTTATTCAGTGTGCACCATATTTTTAATGTTATTTCTTCATAGACAGAAAAAATATTACAGTCATTCCTTAAATAAATTTATAATTTGTGCATAACGTTAAAAACGTCAATGTGTAACTCTTACATAAACTACTATGATGAATCAGAAGAACAATAAAACAAACATGATTTTGTTTCCCCAGAAACGTAAGTGTTTGACTACTACTCCTAAAATGTTTTGTCTATGCTCTTCGTACTCACTGTTAAAGCAGATGCCATTGATAGTAATCTTGGGTCACTTTTAAAAACAAATTCATGTCTTCAAATTTGATTCACAAATTATTTGTTTTTAAATAACTACCATTGGTCGGAAGGGTGAACAGGTTATTATTATTATTGTTATCAGTTTCTGTGCTATTTCATTTTGTTTTATGGAAAATAGATGGACTAGTAAGCATTTCACCCTCCAAATATCAAGGATAAGAATAAAAAAAACTTAAAAGAAATTATACTTTTTATATAAAGGGCGATATGTTGCATATGGGAAAAGCGATGATTTTGAATACAGATATGCCGGCAGAAGCAAGATTACTAGATGTCTTAACTAATAAAGACGAAGCAAGGTAACATACATAAATCACATAACTTGCACATCATTATTAAGAATGATTAAAATAAGGATAGTTATTATCAGCAAAATCATTTTTGAGATAGTTTAATAGATTTGAATAAACTGCTATGTAAAACTACCAGTTTATATCCTTTATGTTACTATGAACGAGTTAACGCCAGACAACCAAATCATATTTTGTTGAAAATATTGTGACACTTATAGGTTTTAAATGCAAAGTACAGTTAAATTGTTATTGTTGGGAACCAATTGTGATGAAAACATTAAATTTGGATAATCGCTAAAGCAAAGGGTTTGACAGACTTTTGTGTTGTCATCCTAACACAATATTACTTTTGTTATGCGTAGGTCAGTCAACATTAGCCACAGTCAAATAACTGACTTCTCCATTTTCCTTAAAAGGACAAAAGGTAAGTGACATGTAAGGTTAATCGATGATGTAGTGTACCAGTACAACTACTATTACAGAAAAGCATGTGGTACCAAGGGGTGTATTAATACACAACCACGTCCGGTATGATCATCATGTAGTTTACCGGTATTAAGGAGAGCTTTACTCTGTGGGATGTACAAATATACAGCCACGTCCCCATGATGGTATGTACCAGTAAAAATACTTTTGCCAAATACAGTTTGGATGTAAAGGATGTACAAATACGCAACCACCAGAACAATTTCTTTTACCAACTAACGCTGGACCGTTAAATATAAATATAAATTCAATTACCAAGGACTTCTTGCCTGTTAGGAATGTATGAATACACAGCCACGTCCATTATGATTTCGGACTTTAAATACTAATTATATACACAGGTATATATAATACATCTATTGTTTATATTGGCTTTTGTTATTCCTGTTTATAACATTTTATCTTATATTTTTTTCTGTTTCTGTTTCATAAATGTTAAAATTATATATTAGAGCTAATATGTGTTTTGTATATAAAAATACTGAAGCGATTCCCATGTTCTTTTATCACAGTGTTTGACAGTAAATTGTAACTCTGATCGGTTGTTTTAGTTGATAACTTTTCCTGTTCCTTTTATATAATTTTGGAAAATGATGGGAGGAGAAGACTAGGATTTCGATAAGGCAAAAAAGAAAAAAATAAGGGGATGCCAGATGTGATTTTAAGGACAAAAAGATTTAAAAAAAAACTTGGTTTTGTTAATTGCTGCCGCTAGACTTCTCGTGAAAATGTTTATTTCACGACATTCACATATCAACCGGTTTCTAATCGACACAGATGTCGTTTATTACTTTTGAATTTATTCATTGTCTTAAGGGTTTTGATAATGAGTAAAATGATAAAGACGGAAAATAGCTTTTCGAAGTGAAATAGCTAGCTAAAGGAATTTACCCTTTATGTTTATGCGTGTAACAAGTACGAGTAGCAATAGTCTCAAACTTTTAGCACAAAAGATGAAACGCTGATATATTATTGGCGGACGGAGAAGAGACCAAATAAAGTAGACATATACAAATGTTAAACAACCTCATGTTTAAATCATGTATGCTGCAAAGAAAAGATACCATAGAAAAAATAAGTTCACAACTGTATTGACGCGACTCAAATACACCATCATAATTTTGTCAACTTTATGTACTAGTATGAAATTCGGAATGACACCACGCAAAATCGATTACTTGGTATAAACTTCGATTCCCTTCAGAGTTATGTATATATCCTCAGAAATCACCAAAAAAATGCGACACTTTTGTCAATTTTGAATTAAAAATCTTTCACTGCACGACCCAGGGGGTTGGGTATAACATAAATTATTTAAGATATCTGGGACATGAAAAAGATCCCTGAAATACGATAGTCGATCAGTTCCTGTCATACATCTATTAATCATGCCAATTGGTTCTTTTCAAGTTTTAAATTTGTATGAAAACAAAATATCAAAGACACTTCTTGTAATAGAATATAAGTGATATCACTAAGGTGTGTTATACGACTTGAAATCCCTTAAAATATGCATTATCTGACATGTGTACTACAAAAAACATATTATTTTCTGCAAATATTTGCTGGAAATTGTATCCTATTATACAGATCAAATTAAAGTGGGATTATCTTTTCTATTCCGATTATGAATGGCTCAATTATAAGGTGAAATAAAATTCACTAATTTAGATATATACAGATTCTACCACTGTATCGAGTGTGATACAATATTTATTCACTCTCGACAGTTAAATTTTCAAATTTTAAAACGCGAGGCTTGCCGAGCGTTTTAAATATTTAAAATTTAACTGTCGAGAGTGGATAAATATCGTATTGCACAAGATTTGGTAGTGGAACCTGTTTCTCTAATGATTTTTAAACGATTCGCAGACAAACTCAATCCATCTTTTTTGAATGATCTGCAAAAAGATGTGTTATTTCTATGTGGCGTCATCAGGCAGGGTCGCCTTTTTTCATGACGTCACAATAGGAAATTCAGAGGAAAGAAAGAAAATTTGACATCATAATCGAATTTTGACCAATGAAGAACTGAAATCAAACGAATCACACATTGATTAAATAAAAATAATCAACACGTCAGGAAAAAGATAAATCGTGTAAGAATTAGAGAAAATCATTTATAATCACTGTCCAGATAAATCTAAAATGTTACTGTAAATGCATGAAGCAAGAAACAAATATGAATGTAATGCTGCGCCATTCAAGGTAATGTAACATGTTACCAACGCTTGAGGTGTTTCTGTATTTTTTGGTTACAAAACAGGCAGCCCTCCTTTGAACTTTTTCAATTCTATCTATGTCTTGTTGTAAGTAAGGGTCCCAAACAGAGCAAGCATACTCTAGTGATGGTCTTACTAGGGACTTGTATGCCTGCTCTTTAATGTTGAGCTAATATTCAGGTTCCTGCTTAGACAGCCTAGTGTGCTATTAGCTTTCTTGCATATGATGTCAATGTGCACGTCCCATTTTAAGGTTTGAACTGATGGTTACCCCACATATTTTGCTGTTGTAACATAAGTCATGTTCTAAAATTGATTATGTAATGTGTAGTTAAATGTGATTGGTTTTTTTGTTTGTTTCTGGTGACTGAGATAACGGTACACTTATCTGGGTGGAATGCCTTTTTCCACGTAGTTTCCCATGATGCCTATTTGTTAAGATCTTTTTGTAATGTAGATGCATCAGAATTTGATTTAATTGACAAATAAACTATGGTGTCATCTGCAAATAAACGCACTGTAGATGTAAGACCAGTTGGAATGTCGTTTATGTAGTACAGGAAAAGACTTGGTCCAAGAACTGACCCCTGTGGAAGCCCTGACTCAACTGTTACATACTCAGATCCCCCCCCCCCCCGCCACCCCCCCCCCCCCCCCCCCATCCCCTCAAATACTACTGCCTGCTTCCGATTTCTTAAGAAATTTTGTATCCAGAAATTTAATTCCCCCTGTATCCCGTAATGGCGAAGTTTGTCAATAAGAAGTGAATGCGAAACTTTATCAAATGCTTTTCAGAAATCCATGACCAAAACATCTGTTTGTTTTCCATTTTCCATGTCGTGTGAAACATCGTCTATAAATTCAAGTAATTGTGATTTACAGGATCGACCTCTGCGAAATCCATGCTGTAGGGGATGTTTGTTTGGATTTAAGTTTTGTAAGAGTTTTTGTACACCTTCTGTTTTTATGAATAATTTTGATATTCTTGATCTCTCAATCTTTATGATATTATGCATATAGTTGGTTAATTTACAGATACAAATGACGTCAAGAGGAATTTAGGTAAATGTCTTGTCTTCAATGTTTATGGAATGCTCAAAATGCCAGTTTGATATTCATAATATAGAGCGAAAACCTACCGGATACAGATTACAAGACATCCCCCTGGTCTTTCAATGTCCATAAAATTCTACTATCTATTAGACTATGTATACATACAGACCTAAATTTCATAGACTGTGAAAGATCAGGAAACTTTAAGCCTCACTGTCATTTTAGCGGCCCGGTAGTCTTTCGAAATATGTTTTTAATATCAAACTGTCACTTTGAGCCCTCTGTGCATATATTAAAGACAAAAAGAAGATTCCATAAATTCCTCTTATGGGGCATAAGCTACGATTTAGATAGAAATTGAAAATACAAATCGTTTTGTTTCAAGTATTTATAAAAGCGGAATTTTAAAATAATATTTCTTTATAAGCAATTGGTTTGGCCCAAATTTGTCACAATAAGCTAAAAACATCGCTGATTTATTATTGACTTGCAAGTGAATTTATGTAAATTCGTATTCATGTGAACTTCAATTTAACCCCTTACCTGGAGATTGGTTATGCATGTACTAGGCGTGTTCAGTTATTCAAAGGAAAGGAATGTCAATATTGAAAGTGAAACAAGTGTGAACCCTTTCGTTGACTGATTCGATCCACAAAAATAATTCTTATACAGCTGAATGCAATGATTAACTTATTTTTTTAACCTATAACATTATATCAAACAGACCTAGAAAAAACTTGACCAATTGCACTAGGTCGCTATCTATTTATATTTATGTTTATGTTTATATCGGGTTATACGACCGTCGGCAGTCTTCGGAGGTCATATCGATGGTTAATTAGATGGTGTCTAGACTAAAATACACACGAAATGCTGATATATATTATCGAGTTCATGCATTTTTAATTGTTTATTTTAGACTGATTGTAATTTGAATGTACGTTTAAGTATAAATCAAATATGAGAATTTGAATCAAATCGGTTAACATTAATTTGATATATAATGCCCCTTTAACAGTATATCTGTATTTACATATTAACTTATTTTTTGCTAAATGTCATAACGATTGAAGGCCATGTACTTATCGAAAACGATTTTTTTAAGAGATATTCTTTTGATAGTAGCTGTTGGAGACAGAAAATGATTTCTGTCGTATTTTTTCTACGTATCTTCTTTTTTTTAACATGGTTATCACTGTAAGAATTCTTTTAAATACCCAGTTTTTACTAGTATTTTTATTGAAAAATTTTAAATATCGAACCGGCTGCTGGCGGCCGGTTGGATATTGAATATCGAATAAATAAACGACCGCTAACTTCGCATACATGAAACATGTGAAGTGTTACGGTGTATGAAAAGTACAAGTCAATTTGTAAGTAATTTATTATATGAACTTTATAGAAGGGGGCCCTTAGTAATAATGTTTCAACTGTTTTTTCCTCAAATATTTAGAAACAAGATAAACTATTAACCCCTCATTCCCCCAAAAAAATCAATTGACGTGGCTGTTCGCCTACATAAAATTTAAATATTTGGTAATTTGATAGTGTAAAAGAAAGGTATACAATTATTATTATAAAAAATCACGGACTGGCACGAAGAGAACACAATATCGTAATGCACATGTAACTCGAAAAACGGACATCCATAGTTCATAGTAAGATTTTCAATACGATGTGAATCAACAATATAAAATAAGAAGAACCATAAGAGACCAAATGATGTGATTGTATTCTTCTGGGTTTTTATTAATCCTAAAAATAAATGTAATACAATTTGGCTTGTTTTAAAGTGTACATAAAAGTTTTGGATTATTAAATTTATCTCTCATAACGTTTCTTCATAGTAGCGATCAATTAAAAAAGCATTTTATTTGTTTCGAAAATAGTACGACGTTATGTGTGGGTTATTCCAGTCTAATAAACGGAGAAAAGGTTTGTTTCTGTCTAAACCGTTAAAGACTATTAAAGATTGAAAATTCTACAGTAAAACCCCACTGAATTTGCAACAACACACGAGTACTATCAAATGAATTAAAAATGTTAAAAAAACTGTAGCATGCATTTTAATGAACTAAAACAGGTCATTATGTTATGTCTTGAAGCACATTTCATTGAAACTTGGTATAGTCCGGGTTGATTCTTCTAAAGAAAGACCTGTCGTTCTGAAAGAAAATAACTCCCTACATAGGTATATAAATAGAAATAACAAGCAAAACAGCAAATTCAAACTTATCCTATGATTAGGAACAACAGTGTTAAAGGCGACGTCAAATGGAATTCAATGTTTCATTAGACACATAATTATACATTTGTAGCTTTAAAAAAAACACGCTTGCTTAGGCTTTTTTGGCCATTCGATTCCTTTGTTATTTTTTATCATAAATAATTTTTTGAAAAATTCATTAGAAATGATTTTTTGAAAAGTCGGGTAACGTAAAAAAAAAACTTCTGTTGATTTCCATGATTTCACTTTTGATGCTTTGAGATCCTGGTGCATCAGGCAATACATTTCAAATTGAAACAGCAAATATCTCACAAACTCAAATGGTAACCTCATTTTTTTGTTAGATATTTGCCGTTTTTACCAGCACTGTTCATTTATGAGATTGAGTATATAAAAAAGTAGATGTTAGTACGACATTGTGCCTTACTTTACTTGATTGATAATTGAATCATCATAATGTTTTCTTAACGCCATATTAGTACTTAAAGGATATATCGTGTCGACTTCTTTATTTTGAAACATTGTTCTTTGCTAATGGTAATATGGATTTTATTATGTTTTATTATAATTTTAGCTTGTTCGTACGTAATATTTTTGTATTACTACTGTTATTTGCGAGAAACTCCCACTTTCCAAGTACAAATGATGGGAAAGGAAGGAACACTCAGCGGTTTTGTGAAAATTAACTGTACATGTTCCAAGCATAGATGTGGTGGATATTGGTTCCATGGTATTATCATCGATTATGACATAGGATATATAAGCTCAGTAAGAATTATGGTAAGTGCCAACGCCTCTTGATCAGGTGAATATTGATGTACTTCGGATTACCATCGCATGTTATATATAGTAGCTTTATGTTTTATTACCTTCCATACTGAGACGAGTGTCGACGTCACATTATTTGACCAAAAACTCAGCGCATTCAAAAACCTAATCCTCGCCGTATAGCTTATGTTGCCCATGAGTTTTTGTTTTTGATTTTTGGTTTTATACTAATCTGTTTATATTTTGTACACTGAATATTTTATATAAACTTAATTATTACCTTCATTTTGAATTAAAAGATAAAGATCCCTTTTGCTCTACTACAAATGTATATCACGAAGTTTCATTTTAATCAGTAAATTTTGAACATGCCATCGAATACATAAGACATTCTAAAAAATGCTGCATATACGTAAGGCTTGTGCTTAAATGTATATTGGATATTTTTACCAAAAGGAAGCTTACTTGTGTATTCATATCGGATATCAATTGTTAGTCTGATAAAAGATTAATATACGTACACAAGTTTGTGCCACCTCATTCTGCTAACTGTGACATTTTAAAATTAATGTTCACATATTGATTGATTATTGGTTGCTTAACGTCCAGTGGAAAATATTTTATGCATGTTCAGGACGAGAACAAATTAACAATAAATACAATAGGTAGGTCCTGCAATAGAGGTCGCCCGGGATGAAGGTCGGGGAAATTTGGACTGCCACTTAAAAATGAGGGTATATCGGATAGGGACAGAAATTTTGCCTTGCAACAGGCCACATACGGACCAATCATAGAGTTGTTGCAAGGGTTATTAACGTGCAGAGAGTGTGGTACTCTCTCTTCACGAGGCGTTGGATTTAACGTCCCCATTCTGACCGGACGTGGCTGTGCATTTGTACATCCCGCACAGCCAAACGGACGCCACACTTCGGCGAGGGTTTTACTTCCGGTCGGAAGAAAACCAGAGTGACCATATTTTTTCCCCAGTCACCTTTGGGGAATGTTCACATATTGATAGATTATTGACCATAATATGAAATAACAGGTCCGCTCCAGCTCCCTCAAGGACCCCTATTTTCAACAAAATAAATTTCCGAAAGAACTACAGTAACTATTAAATTATTAATTTCCGTTGAACTAACATATCTTTTTACTGTTCTTTAATAATGAGCGTTCTCAAAGCACATCGAAAGCTTATATGTATTTTTGTGTAGGTTTAATGATCATCCTTATCTAGCTTAATAAACTGATGTACAGTATTTCTATTTTTGTCGAAAGCCACTTTGATATAAAATAAAAGTTTTGTTCCTTTCGATGGAATTTAATCTTTTTTCCACTTTCTTAAATCAGACGATGACTTAAATCTTTTCCTTGTGTTAAAAATGGTGTTTCCTTTTATTACGTGTCATAAAAACGGAATACCGACCAAATGTTTCCAGTCTTTGTAAAAAATGAAAAAAGAAAAAAAAAAAACTGAAAAATCTTGTCACTTTGATATCTAAACATGCATACACATAGTCGATCTTAACAAGAAATGTTATTTGTACAGTGGAGATCACTTCTAGCCTCTCATTAGAACTGTCAGAATAATCTGTCATAGAACTGTTCTAAACTGTCCTAGAACAGTTCTACCTAGAACAGTTCTACCCTAGAAATGTTCTAAGTAGAACTGTCAGAATCAGTTCTAGGTAGAACTGACCAAATCAGTTCTAGGTAGAACTGTCAGGATCAGTTCTAGGGTAGAACTGTCTAAAACTGTTCTAGGTAGAACTGTCCAAATCAGTTCTAGTCGTAGAACTGTCAGCAGAACTGTTCTTGCCGTAGAACTGACCAAACCTGTCAGGATTGTAGAACAGTTGTAAATGACGTCACCATTCAGTGTTATTATTATCGTTGATAAAGCCACAGGCAATTTTATTATATTCTTTTGACTTATTTATATTTCAAACAAAGAGTTCTTAAAACTGTTCTATGGATAGAACTGACTAAAACAATTCTAGCCGTAGAACTGACCAAATCAGTTCTAATCATAGAACTGTTCTAGCCGTAGAACTGTTCTAGTCGTAGAACTGACCAAAGATTTTCTAGATAGAACTGTCTAAAACTGTTCTAGGGTAGAACTGTCAGGATCAGTTCTAGGTAGAACTGTCTAAATCAGTTCTAGGTTAGAACTGTTCTAGCTAGAACTGTCTTTAAGGTGTCAGGATGACAGTTCTACATACTGTCCTAGAACAGTTCAACTGACAGATTCTGACAGATTTGATGAGAGGTTAGAAGTGATCTCCACTGTATGCGAAATAACACGAAAAGTAAACTGTTCATTAATACAATCTCTGTTTGTTATGCTATAAAAAGAAACACTTATTGTTCATCAATGAATAATTTGTGGTCTATGAACGCATAATCATAGCTTTCTGACAAACTAACTTCTTCATTTTATGGGACAAAATAATTTGAATTACCTTTATATTACTATCTTAATACAAATCTGTAGGCAAAATGATAGTGCTCAATATAAATACATATATGTGTAAGGATAACTGGACTCACAACTACTTAATTCCTCTCATAAACACATGGTTGTGAAGGTTTAGGCGGTGGCTTTTGACGTGGAAATTGCGCATTATATATAATAACGTTTTATAAACAAGTCTAAATTGAAGATAACGTACAAACCTGATTGCGTTGGATGAAAACCGCAATTTTTATACGTGTGCATGCAAAACAAATTTCTTGGTAGAGGGGTCTAAATACAGCACAAACAACATTTTCCAAAAGACCAAAAAAAGTGAAAAAGTTTATTATAACAAAACGAATTTGACTAGCATGTCGAACAACGGATGTTCTTAAACCCTGCTGACTGCCATTGGCGATTGCCAAATAAACGGATCACCAGATGTAACAAAATGGATCTTAACTATTAATTTAATACCAAACAGAAAACAATAAACTTGCGGAAAAGATGGTATACCGCAAACAAAAGGTGCAAAAGTTAGTACACCATATCCGGATTTCGACAATTAATGTCTCATCAGTGATGTTAGGAATCGAAACGTTATTTGGAAGGCCATATAATTTACCTCAATTTAGGATAGACTCTTGAATTTTAAAGAGTCTAAATAGGATGAACGGATCATATAAACCCGAGGGCAAATATAAAACAAGCCCAAACAAAAAAATATAAACAAGTCTAAATTGAAAACAACGTTCAAACCTATGATTGCGTTTGATAAAAACCGCAATTTTTATACGTGTGCATGCAAAACAAATTTAATGGTAGAGGGGTCTAAATACAGCACAACCAACATTTTCTAAAAGACCAAAAAAAGTGAAAAAGTATATTTTAACAAAATGCATTTGACTAGCAGGTCGAACAACGGATGTTCTTAAACCCTGCTGACTGCCATTGGCGATTGCCAAATAAACGAATCACCAGATGTAATAAAAAGAATCATAACTATTAATTTAATACCAAACAGAAAACAATAAACTTGCGGTAAAGATGGTATACCGCAAACAAAAGGTGCAAAAGTTAGTACACCATATCCGGATTTCGACAATTAATGTCTCTTCAGTGATGTTAGGTATCACATTTTATGTACATAAATAAAAGTCTTAAAAGTATCTGATTGGCGGTTGTTGTTAGGTTTGTGTCTCTAACATAAGATTTGTCTGATTTTGAAAATTGTTAGATTCTTGTTTACGATGATCACTTACGTCTATGGAATGAAGACCGTTTTACAGGTGTTCCAGATAAAAACATGTGTAGTGTAGATCGATTGCACCCTGGACACAAACTTGTTCATGTTTCCTGTCTAGGGATCAGTCAGGCAGCAAACATGATCAAAAACATGTCCCATGCAGATGCAACCGATTTTTCTTGATATAGACCAACAATGCCAAAATGTAATTAGAATAAATCTAAGAAAATAAATAAACATTAACTCATACTGATAGAAGCCTCACATTGGGGATAATCTCAACAATTAAAAAAGTACTAAGTTCCCGGAATTCTAAATAAGTACCTATATAAAACTATTATTTACATACTTTTTAGTGTGAGTCAAATGCTTGTAAAAAAATTGTAAATTTTGGAGACAATTACGCTTAACGAATTGTTGTTTGCGTTAAGTCCAGTGGCAAATATTTCATACATATTAAAGACGAGAAGGTTTCCGTAAAATCAGAGTGATTTTGGATGTAAGGCAGCTTGGTTAAATCATATTGCAGCAGTAGTGTCTGTGAAGGATTTTTTTTATGCATATTTGTCATTTTTTTAAGTGTCAATCAATAACTTGACACAGTATGATATAATTGACCTTAACCATTTTTTTAATTAATCAGTGACATTATAGTGATAAGGTTATAAACTGAATACAATTTAAAATGTGAAAGTCATATTAAAAGAAATGAAATGATTACATACTGCACTGCCCCTACGAGTCTTGGATAAAAAAAGGGGATTTTCTTTTTCTTTTTAAAATTTTTTAGACACCATCCTGATGGGGTTGTATGTTCTGCGCATAAGAACGAGTTAAAGTCTATGAACTCGGCGTTTAATTCCATTGCTGAATGAAAAAAGAAGGGAAATATGGGATAAACCATCTAATGTTTCATCGGTCCTGCTGATATATAAATGTCAATAATTGTTTGAGTTCTGGAGAAAAAAATACAAATAACATTAACTGTTAAAATACTATAAGATATGTTGGTCCCCCTACTCAGAAACCCGATGTCTTGCTGGAACTGAATAATGGACCAAGAACATGTCTAGGTGGACGAATTGCTTTGTACATTTATCAATCTTTCCAGCCATCGTACATGTAATATTATAATTGCTAATACAAGATCATACATTTATCTCGAATTATCATAATACTAATTAGATATTTACTTGCTCCCCCCCCCCCCCCAAAAAAAAACCCAAACTTTTATATTAATAGAAAACAAAACCCAATATATTATATGTGAAATTCTAAGAAAGGTAAATATACTGTTTAATTTTGATTATCTCTGATTTCATTATATTGTCCAGTAATAACCAAAAGAAAAATGAAAACTTTCAAAAACTAATAGTTACCAATGAATCTTCAAATCTAGCTTGTTTTCTCTAGCATATTATGTCAAATCATTTAATGTGTTACACTGAAACTAATATTTAAACACAAAATCACAAATGTTTACTTTGATCTCCATGTGTTGTACTGAAAATTGCTTTATTCCTCGGATTTGTTTTAAATTCAAATTTCATTTCCTATTGTTATTCGAATTTAAAATTTCAGCAAAACTTTGGCACATGTTGTTTAGAATTTTGTTTTCTTCTAAGAGATCCAAAGTTTTCACAATATCATATATAGTTCGAACATTTCGTTATATTTGTTTATCTGCACCACAGACAAGTGATTTCTCCTTTTCTGTTTCTTTTGTATTTCTGATTTCTATTGTGTTTAATAAAGCTATTACTTCCCAGTAATTGTAATCATGTAAAAAGAGTTTTGTAGGATTTATATGCATATATCACCATGAGGTACGCTCAAGATTAAAAGTGAAAAATTTAGAATGTAAAACATCTGAGAGCTTTGAAAATGGCTAAACTTACTCAGGTCAAGGTAGCCTGTGGGAGTTGTAACCTAAGTTTTATTATAAATGGACATAAAATAAAAAATAACATAATTTTGTATAAAAGTGACACCTAACATCCACGTATTCCAACATCAATCCGAATTCCGATAGCAAAAAATCTTATTCGGAAAAACCCGTATACATACTATTAGTATTTTATTGTAATTATATTACAAAATAATGATCACATGATACTAGTATTACTAGACTTGCAATTGCTTTACACCAATCCGACACTAATTGAGTGTTTCGGCGATTTATGTATTATATGCTAATGATAAATGTATAACATTTATGGAGGGTTTAAGCATAGATGTATAAACCCATAGCTATGGGTTTATACATCTATGGTTTAAGCATTGTATGCCCGCCATCATCAGGGATTTACCTATCAGTTTATTTTAATCTTGTCGTTGTCAATAAATCTGCTATATTTTTATGCTTTTTATAAGCTATTATTGGTTTGCTTGGAAATATTTCGTTGCATACCACATCCTGTTTAAGAAGATCCCAATGTTTACTAATGCATTGTTTTAATTTATGAATGCATGGATTGAATTTCGTTGCCAATACTAAAGGAATTTCCATTGTGTGTGGTTTTTTTTGCCTTTTTTCTGATTTAATTAGACCTATCACATGATAATGCTTCATTTATATACTGTTCGATTTCAATCTCCTTGTATCCTCTTTTTATTAAGTTCAATCTGAAGTGTAACAAAATATGTTGTAAATCATCAGCATTATTTGTTGTTCTAATGTATCTGATAACTTCGCCCTTGATAAAACCTGCAAACACGTGTCGACTGTGACAGCTTTTACGATGTAGATAAAGGAATGCATTTGTTGGTTTAAAATGAGTTTTCACATCCAAGATGTTTTCATTAGAAAATCTCGTTCCTTTGAAAATATTAACATCAAGAAATATTATTTCTTATGATGAAAATTCTAGTGGGTATTTTAGGAACGGATGATGATTATTTGCTAAATCTAACAAATCCTTTATTTCCTTCATGTCGCCGTGATATATTAATATAATATCATGACGATACCTAACATAGAAAAAGATATTTTTTCTATGTTCAAACTATTTCTTTCATAATTTCATAATTTTATACATGAGTATATCACAGATTTCCGGGCTTGGCACTGCTCCCCGGCGCCTATTTTTTGCTTATAAAGATGTCCATTAAAATCAAATATATTGTTCTGTAAAATTGATCTGAGGAGATAGATTAAATCATCCGTAGATGGGCATTTGATTTTGTAATCTGATTTATCAAACTGATCATACGAAATTCTAACTGCCGATAATAATTTATTAATCGGGCAATTAGTGTACATTGATACTACATCAAAGCTACAAAGCCAGCAATCTGCAATAGGCTTAATCCTTTTCAACATTTTCCTGGCTAATTCAGCTAGAAAACAGGTTGTTAATCTTTTGCATAGAAAATTAACTGATGACGAGTATTTGGTATTATCCAGAGGTTTGAAATTCATTCCTTCACCGTCAGTCAAAAAGGCAAAGCAGGATTTATCACATGATTTCGATGAATTAGCCAGGAAAATGAGATGTCGTTACGTATATCATGGTAACTTGGATGAAATTCATCCCTTCAGAGTTTAATCTGGACACACACCACCTTTAACCTGCAACACCCTTGAAAATTACCTGTTTAATACAAAGTATGAATTATCTTGAATGCAAATTCGAAAATTTCGAAACAATTTAAGTGTTTCACAGGGGTCCGGCATTTCTTCTCTGTTAAATGATGAATTATTAATCATTAAGAAAGCCGATAAAAGTAATAATGTTATTTCAGATAAGGTCAATTACCTACTTGAAGGCGATTGCCAATTAGATACACAACATTACACCAAATTGGAAAATGTTGACCTAAAAGCACTTGGATGTAATATCAATACCAAAGGTGTTATAGATTACTCCACATTTAATTACCTTAATAATGGTAATCAAATCAATTATGGGCCTGGGTATATGCATATCTTGCCTAAATACACCGATTAAATGAATCGGAACTAGTAAAAATCAATAAATATGGGTTTAACATTGACAAAATAATGCCGCCATGTCGGCCAATCATATCTCAGATTGGTACTGTCACGGAATTTATTGGACGCTATATCGATAATTTACTAGTACCTATAGTACAGAAACAACACACTTATATAAAAGATACGTCTGATCTAATATACAAATTGGAAAGGATTAAGCCTATTGCAGATTGCTGGCTTTGTAGCTTTGGTGTAGTATAAATGTACACTAATTGCCCGATTAATAAATTATTATCGGCAGTTAGAATTTCGTATGATCAGTTTGATAAATGAGATTACAAAATCAAATGCCCACCTACGGATGATTTAATCTATCTCCTCAGATCAATTTTACAGAACAACATATTTGATTTTAATGGACAGCTTTATAAGCAAAAAATAGGCGCCACGATAGAAGCAGTGCCAAGCCCGGAAATCTGTGATATACTCATGTATAAAATTATGAAAGAAATTCATTCTAAGTTTGAACATAGAAAAAATATCTTCTTCTATGTTAGGTATCGTGATGATATTATATTAATATATTACGGCGACATGAAGGAAATAAAGGATTTGTTAGATTAAGCAAATAATCATCATCCGTTCCTAAAATTCACACTAGAATTTTCATCTAAAGAAACACTATTTCTTGATGTTAATATTTTCAAAGGAACGAGATTTTCTAATGAAAACATCTTGGATGTGAAAACACACTATAAACCAACATATGCTTTCCTTTATATACATCGTAAAAGCTGTCACAGTCGACACGTGTTTGCAGGTTTTATCAAGGGCGAAGTTATCAGATACATTAGAACAACAAATAATGCTGATGATTTACAACATATTTTGTTACACTTCAGATTGAACTTAATAAAAAGAGGATACAAGGAGATTGAAATCGAACAGTACATAAATGAGGCATTATCATGTAATAGATCTGATTTAATCAGAAAAAAAGGCCAAAAAAACACACAAAGGAAATTCCTTTAGTATTGGCAACGAAATTCAATCCATGCATTCATAAATTAAAACAATGCATTAGTAAACATTGGGATCTACTAAAAAAGGATGCGGTATGCAACGAAATATTCTCAAGCAAACCAATAATAGCTTATAAAAAGCATAAAAATATAGCAGATCTATTGACAACGACACAATTAAAATAAACTGATAGGTAAATCCCTGATGATGGCTGGCCGACAATGCTTAAACCCATGCATACATGTTATACATTTATCATTAGCATATAATACAAAAACCGCTGAAACACTAAATTATTGTCGGATTGATGTAAAACAATTGCAAGTCTAGTAATACTAGAATCATATGATCATTATTTTGTAATATAGTTACAATAAAATACTAATAGTATGTATACGGAGTCTCCCGAATAAGATTTTTTTGCTATTGGAATTCAGATTGATGTTGGAATGCGTTGATGTTAGGTATCACTTTTATACAAAATTAAAGTGTTGTACAGAGAGATTGTATTATTATTAATTTAGTCCATACCGAAAGCATTGGGTACTCGGAGGATGGTGACTACGATGACTGAAATCCCATCATCAGCTGTAGCGACCAATCGATAGTGAAACGCCTTTAGGTTGATGCAAATATATTGACCCCAATTGTAAATTCAATCTTAACACCATTTAATGAATGTCATCTATAATACATTTCGATTGAAAAAAAAACTAAGTAAATTTCAATCAAAATGTATTACAGATGACACCAAAGCCATTTATGTAACAATAACTGTTGAGCGTCAAATATCCTGTTATTAGTGTGAATGTCACATCATGTTTTACAGGGTCTTTATGGAGCAACGACAGACAGAATAAATAAACTAAGAATTAAAAATTTCATAAATGGTGTAAAAAGAGAACTCAGCTGGAACCTGGGTCACTGCAGCGGTCGTGTATTCGAAATCAGAACAAGTCTCTCGAGAAGAACAGTACAAACTGGTAAATTTTATTATTTGTATTCCTGGAAATAACAATGGTTCTGATTATAAAATCTCGAACCATTTTTTTCCATTCTGTAAAGTCTGTTTACATCTATATGTAAAGTGCCAATAGCTAATGAGTAATCTTTCAAATATCTATTTCAAATATACTTTTATTGATCAAAATTCATTTGAAACTTTCAATTAATATTTTCAAACGTATATAATGTTTTTAATTGTACTAAGAAAATAGCAGATTTCATTCCATTTCAACTGAATGGATTACAAAAACAGGAATTGAAAACTGAATAGTATCTTCTAGGGCTAAGATTATTCAAATTTATGTTAGCACACAATACACTAAAACACAATCAAAGCTATAAATTGTATTTAGTCAAGCTTTATCATCAAGATGTAAAATTATGAATAATATTAGGATGACTTTGTGATTAATTATTTATAATGATTGTTTCACTAATTATTCTTGTGGAGCGGTAATTTTGATACCTAACGCAAATGCAATAAAAAAGCACTCCTCCAAGAAAAAAAAAATACCGATGAAAATAATACTCAGTCTTGCATCCAAACCCTACAGAGTGTGTAATTTTCATATCTTCTCTCAATTATAAAATGGTTAACTAAAGCTGTAAATCTGTCACCTGATGCTGATAAAGGGTCAGATAATAATACTAAACAAACAGATGTTTAAAACAAAAAACTGAGTTTGTAATAACAGTAAAGATGATAATACAGAAAATGTCCAGTTTCTGATATTACCATTCCAGAACAGGAACAATGAAATTAATTGAAATTTTGATTATTTTAACATTTTATAATAACTACTCATGGAAATTAAATATTAAAAAGGATGAAGGAAAGTTTGTGATGTTATATTTCCCTACACATTAAAAAAAAAATTGAAATTTTTATTTGTCTACCTATAATTTTTAATTTGTATTACATGTTTACATTTGTAATTAACTAAATATTCACATTTGTATTTACTATTAATTCATGCATGCAACAACTACCACCAACTATCAAGAAAACAAAACATGTGGTATTCATCAACTAACAAACTTATAATTGGAGTGACAAATTTATTTGAAAATTTTGTGTTTTCTAAGTGGTGTTGGTGATAAGCTGATTTTCCATCCAACATCATTTTGATGCAAAATCTTGGGCATAGTTGTAGGACTGATACTGTAGAGAATCAATCTGAAAAATGAAATTATGAAATAACTAAATAAACTTATCATAGATACCAGAATTAAAATGTTTGTACGTCAGACGCGCGTTTCGTCTACAAAAGTATAATCAGTGACGCTCGAAAATAAAAAAAATTAAAAGGCGAAATAAAAGAGAGCTTTAAGGACCCAAAGGTTTTGCCAAATACTGCTAACGTACATTATTATCTATTTCTGGGGTAGAAAATTCAAAGTTTTGCTAACATACTTTAAAATCTGGACATGATTATCACAAAATATATAAATGCTTAAATGGGGATAGTTTGGGTCGATTTTAACGAAAGGGCTAGTAAAAACAGATATGACATATAACATTTTTAATCAGCTGTTTAAATTTGATACTAAATTTTATTTCCTTGTTCAAGTTAGTGGTCATCCTGTTGGTAGCCGCACTTTGCAGGGTTTTGTATTATATGTTTCGCTTTACAATATACGTTCTTGATAAACAAAAGGGGAGTATAGGATATGCACACGTAAAACTGGTTTAATCCCATCCTTTTTGTCCTTGTGTGCACCTTTAATTTGTAGGAGGAGTAGGGTGTTGTTTTGTTGTGGTTATGGTGGTTGACTGTCTGATATTTGTGGTGGTTCCTGTTATCCTTTTTGTAGCATTGAATAACTTTTGGTATTTACGTTGGTGATACTTGTTGATTCTATCTTTATCATTCCATTTCATGTGTGTATAAATAGTCCAATGAGACAGTAATTACTGGTTTTCCCATAATTATTTGCACTGATGATAATAAGAAGAAAACATGTTGAAGATATTAAATATAAAATATTTCAGACAAAGATATGCATGTTTATTTTGAATACTTGTTGATTTCACTTTTAATATTCAAGGTTTATGTCTGTTGGATTACCAAAAAATACTTTATTGTTTTCATTTGTCGTATTCGTTTATTTTTATGCAGGTAAATGCTTCATTATCTTTAAAACCTATTATTGCGAGCCAAATGAATCTTTTCCTCAGAGTCATCTCCTATTGGACAATCTATTTAAACTTTTGTCAGTTCTATTGTCCCATTGAATAAATACAATTATATAGCTATTTTTCTCTGTTTAGTTTATTCACTGAGACCTTTAAATTTCTTCTAAGAGAAATCCATCACTCATTGATTAATTTACCTGAGTTAAACAATTATCTTCTAAAAGATGAGAATACATGCTTTTACCTACAAAACTGCATGTGATGTTGTATTTATTCAATATAAATAATATATTTTCCATCTGTTCGATATAAACACTGATTTAATCATAAAAAGTTGATTTCTGACAAAAATTTTAACATTGTTCCTATTTTTTTTTTGTTACAGAATACATTTAAGCTCTAGTTTCCCAAAAAAAATTCATTAGAAACAATGTTGAAAATTTGTCAGAAATCAACTTTAAATGTTTAAATCACTGTTTATATTGAACAGATTGATAATATATTATTGATATTGAATAAATACAACATCACATACAGTTTGACCTATAATGGTTTACTTTTATAAATTGTTACTTGGATGGAGAGTTGTCTCATTGGCACTCATACCACATCTTCCTATATCTATTGTGAGTAAAAACATGTATTTTCATCTTTTAGAAGATTTGTTTTTACTAAGGTAAATTAATCAATGAGTGATGGATTTCTCTTAGAAGAAATTTAAAGCTCCCAGTGAATAAACTACACAGAGAACAACAGCTATTGTATTTATTCAATGGGACAATAGAATAGACAAAAGTTTAAATGGATTGACCAATAGATGATTCTGTGGAAAAGTTTCATTTGGTTCGCAATAAGATAAATGAATTATTCATAACTCCAAATAATAATGGTTTTTTTTTAATTCTAGATTTAGACTTATATCCAGTTCAGTTCACATTCCACAGTACAGATAAGGCTAACTTACAAGGACAACCTGTAAAATTGGGCGACACTGGTTTTATTCATGTTTTATCATCAATGCCAAGAAAATCTTTCTGGGACCAGGGAATTACACAGTTAATGAGTGTACAAAATATGGGTAAAGTAGGAATTAAAGAAATAGGACCAGGGTCACATCAACCTATTTCAACAGGTATATTCATTATTTTTACCGTATCCAATTCATACACTTTTGGTGGATTAAATTCGTTATTCTCTGATATATTGAAAACGACAAATAATTTGTGTCAGATTCTAAATAGAGATCATTAAATTAAAGGCAACTGTAGATTCACAATGTGTGTTTAATGCTAAAAAATAACCATTACATAAAAATTAAGGCTAAAAAAGAAACAGCGAGGGAATCACACGAACTCCAAAGGGAGTGATAACGGTTGCGTTTAAACAACATTCTTGTCGAGTAACATTTTCATTTGATATTGTGTTAGAAAAAGCTATGCAAAAATCAATGCACGATGGCGGGATCAATGCCCCTCTATTAACCATGTCCGTCAAAACAACAGAAAACAGCGGCGTTTAATTTATGAAACAAATGAGACAAAAAAATGCGAGGCAACTAGAAGTAAAATAGTTCTTTATAGTCAGCAGAACGGACTTATATACGGAGATATTATATTATTATCACACATGTATATTCGTAAATTATATCTATTACTTACAAACTACACATGTACTGAGAGAAAACAGTCAGTGTTGACAAAACGAAAATGTTTACTTCAGAATTTGTATGTTTTAAATTCATTTTGATCCAATTATTGAAATACGAAAACTTAATTTAAAAGCAAATCAAGACAATAGATTGCAGCTTTTTCTTTTATTCATTTTGAAGAATATAGATATTTTACAATTGCGCTATAAGGCGTACATTTTAAGGTTTTTTTCAAATCACGTTCTATAGAAATAGCGTGCAGCTTGCGCGACATGTTGGGTGAATGTGTTTGCAAAGAAAAAAATATGATTAAAAACTCAAAATAGGAATAATGTACTTGTAAAATCAAAACAATCATTTGTAGATATTTTGTTTTCTGATGATTAGTTTGAGGTTTAAGTGAACTTTTACGTGAAAAAATGCGTATATTATGAATTTCAAAAATCATTTATTTATTGATATAATTATAATATTATTTGTTTTTCTTTTTTCAGTTTGTAGTGGTTTTATATATCCCAGCCCTTCAGATTTTAGCCATCGTCATGACTTTTCTGATCGTATCTTAATTTCGTTTGATGTCAACGTCATGGTTAACTATGTTGAGATAGAATCTGACTCTGAAATTAACACTACTGACTTTAATATTCAATATGTAAATGAGGAAAACGAAGCATTCATGGATATACATGATCTTGAAAGAACAGTGACTAATAACACACTGAATCTGACATTGAAATCGCCGATGTACACTACTGCTATTAATGTTTATTATACCAAGGACATTCCTGACGACACAAACATAACTCAGATTATCACAATGATCGTTGTGAGTGGCTGTCCCAAGGCAGCTATAGATACCGACAATACAAATACCAGTAAACAAGAATGGAAAGTAACACTCAGCGAAAATCTGATTCAAAAATCCCCCTATCTCAAGGTGATCACGAGGTCGAGTAACACTATAGATCCGGTAGAGTTATTTAAGCGGACCGAATTACCCGTTTCGGGATCATTTTCGATAACGGTTCCTTTATTGGAAAGCCAATTCGATTGTAATTTTACTGCAGAATCTTTACAAAGTTATCTAGAAAAGGCAAGCAGTGTCTCGGAACTGAAATTTGAAAATTTAAAACTTACAAGAAGATCTCATAATAACGGAGAAGAAGTACTTGTTTCGGTGAATTTAATAGGTATCAACCTCATTGAATATAACCAAGGATTTATGTCATTGAACAGCACCGTGAAGTCAGCAATTAAAAGTATGACCTGTAACACTGACACTGGTCAAACGTTACCACCACAAAGCGAATCATCCAAAATTACAAATCAATCGTCTTCATCTTCAACATCTACTGGCAGCATCGTTGGCTTCACTATTATAAGTCTTCTCCTTTTTACCATCTTGCTGTTTTTAGTTTGTAAAACATACCGAGAATCAACCGATAAGAAAGGTAATCAGTGATGATATAGTATAAACTCTATTTATTTATTTATGTCAAATAATTTAAAGTGTAAATATGATTGGTAACTTTATCTAAAGTACTATTAAGGGTGTTCGCTGCCTTGTTTCAAAATAACAAGCTTTTTAAAAAAAAAATCATAAATTGATATTATCTTAATAATTAAACTAAAAAAGCAGCAAACATGAAATGTCCGTGTCCTTGTTTTTGAGATATAAGCCATTGCAAATTTTGTGGGAAATGATTCTCTTTCGATTTTACATACATTTATCATTGGCATCTTTTTTCCTTCAAAAGTTATGAAAAAATAACAAGGATTTAATGAAATTTTTAAATATGGCTTTTTAAACGATATGTAATAAAATTATGAAAAGTAAATTAGGGGTTAGCTGTCAAAATCAATTTAATTGTGCGCTACATGCATAAAACTAGAAGATTCCTAATATCTGACAAAAAGTTAAAAACAAGGTCAACTAAAATCCTAAAGGCAGATCCAATAAAGCAAGATAATCTGCAATTTAAATTTTTTTTGGAAGAACCTTAGTGTTATATTTGTTTTTTTCAAGATATTTGTTTTTGCTTGAGCCTTTTCTTCTTCATATTCATTAACATTTATCTAATTTCCTAAATGCATATAAAATAAATTATTTTCACATAAACGTGTTTACTTTTGCCCAGAAATTTCTTAGCAATAAGCAGCGAATGAAGCATGAAACTAAGCATAGTTCATTCAAAGAACGACGTCACATTTTGAAACTTGTAAAAAGAGAATAATGAATAAAACAAGACAATTCTGCATCGAAGAGGCAGTAGATACAAAAAAAAACAATAAGAAATCACAAGTCGAAGAGAAACCGATAATACAAGGGTAAACAAAAACGACGGAAATAAAGGCAACAGTAGTATACCGCTGTTCAATAGTCACCAATCGATTTAACTGAAACAAATCCGGGTCACAAACCAAAACCGAGGGCAACACATCAACTATAAGAGGAAAACAACGGAACAACATAAACACTGAACCGCTACAAAAACAAACGCCAAATACATACAACAATCTACAAATCGCTGCCTAGTCTCATTCTGCAAACTAACAATTTCTAAAGTCTCAATACCTTCAATGGTTAAAATTAAATTTAAATTTGAGGTCACATTAAACAAAAGCTAATACCATATATTTTTTCGTAATTTATCTTCCTCATAAAAAGGGTCTTAGTCCCCAAGTAGTCTAACAGATTGTCATTGAACATTCGATTATTAATAATCTGTATACATATGCGATTTACCGTTTGAAAATCATTTCATGTCAACCAGTGAATAGTGAATATGTTTTCAACTTAAAATAGTGAGAGGTAGATCATATAATCACCATATAACATATCAAATCATATAGGTCCTAACGGCCAATACACATCGGAACGTATCACTATATCTTTTTGTATTGTTGAGCATGCAAGTTGGAACAAAATTGTTTTGTAATGAGGTACATATATTGGACAAAAACAGCTCGGAACATTAAATGTATGAACTTTAACGAAAAAAGCATCCATAAAGTAAGTTAAATCGTTAGAACTAAAAATTATTAAATTCAAAATAGATTTTTGTCGCGTAACGCATACACCACTAGGCTCGGGGTGGTTCTAGTTTGATGAAAGGAAAGAACATATCTTTTATCTATCAAAAATAGATTTGTAAATTTGTATTTACTTGTAATCTTTTCAAAATGTTTTAATAAATTTAACATATGACGGAAAAGTTTTAAAAAAGTAACTTCAAAGAAGTAAAAGGCAGTGATATACATCATGCACGCGTGTAGTGTTTTATGTGGACGTTTAAAATTTCAGGAATAATACGACGAGAATACATTGAACAGCCACACGTAAATAGAAGTTACAACGAGTATGACACTGAAGATGCTAGCAATGAACACGAGCTTTATATAAATGAACAAAGATGAGGAGAGAATCTTATATACTGTTATGTAATAACATATTATTGTATAAATGTAACTTATCTATTTCTCTCGTCCTTGCTATTCTTATTGAATGAACTAATCTTCCTAACCATGCTAAAAAAGTACAAGTATAAACGCATTTCCCTGTTATTTATATTTTGCTTTAAAATAATCGACCTGAAAGTATTTTTATGTTGTTTTTTTAAATTTTATTCACGAAATTACCTTGGTAGTTTAAAGTCTATAATACTGAGCATATATTTTATGCCACAGTACGAATGGGATATTAGTAGGACCCAGAATCCTATTTGTATATCTTAAAATAAATTGGTTCTGTTATTTTGTTAAGTAATAATTAGAACACACCCGCGACATCGCGGATCCGTGACCGAATTAAAGTACCTACGCCTAATTTTAGTATTTTTTAGTATTTGTATTGTCATCTGATAAAGTCATGCTGATTATAAGGTGCACAGTTGTCGCTGCTTTCAAAATCTTTCTTTTGGTAATATAAATTATGTTGAAAACAAAAGGGTCTGGAATGGTGTAAGTTTTAATCTACACCATTGTCGTATATTAGTTATATATAAAGTTGAATTCTTTGATTCGTCGTTTTTACTTCATGTCATCTAACAAATTGGACCTCGTTATTTTAGTAGTGTAGATACGACATGAATAATACGCACATTTTCTTGCAAAGTTAAAGGACTGAACCCAAATGTCAGTAAGGATCCTTTTTTACATTCATATATTGTAGTTTTCGAGAACGACGAGAAGTCAATCGAGTATATAATCTTCTGTATAATGATTTTGTAATACATGTAACATTAACGGTATCAATCGTGTTGCAGCAGATGTGTATTTCGACAAATGATCGCCAAAATCTGTATAGTTTTCAGTAACTCTGGGTAATAGGTGAACTTTGGTATATGGAATTATTGGAGGGTAAACATATCTGTCAGACAGGGTTCACCTGAACTTAACAATATTTCATCGTTCCAGTGATCAACGTTAAGTCTTTTAGTGATAAAATTAGTTTCCCGGAAACTATATTGTGAAACTGTATTCGTTGTATAGAATTCATCTGAATCTGTCAGTGACATGTATCATTGATAATTTTACGTTTTAGTGATAAATATAATAGGACCTTGATCTCAGCTTTTTGCTATAAAATTAAATCAAATCAGTAATGCAGGCGAGACATACCAGTGTATGATAAGTTTAGAATGGTAAATAATATATTGAATTGGTGTTTCGTTTCGGATGTCCTACCTTTACCCCTGGATAATTGGATTTAATGAAAAATGTACATTCTTACGGCTGTAGATACTGAACTTATTTTTTGTTCATAAGTCTACATGGTGACACAGATAGATTTCTCGTTTTTTTCCCGGTTGACATAGTTTTTACGACACTTACAAAGTCCTTTCTCCCTTTCATAGGGGGGTTCATGTCGTCTCGGCACATCTACTTGCAGCTCTATCTTTTATTGATGTTGGTTCCTAATAATCATGATGATTTTTCAATTTCTGGAAGTACACCACTTATTCATGGCCCCATTGCTTTCTATGTTAAATTCTTCAATTTCAAGCGGACACAGCTCTTTTGTTTCAAGTTCAAATAAAGTGACAATCATTGCATGTCAAAGCAACACTTTATGGTGCCTTGTACTGGAAAAATCAACATACCTTTAATGGCATATAAGAAAGAACTGGTTCCCGGAACTTCGGATGTACCAAAACAGGTACTTCAGATCTGATATACAGACAAAAAGTACCCTCTTTATAAAATTTGGTGCAGTTTTTTTAATATTCAAAATTATAAGTCAAAAAGTGTTCTACAATGATCACCAGTCATTCAGCTTTCATTTGATACCAACAATACCTAAATATTCTACATATTTTGAAAGTTACACTCATGCGTAGGAACTATTTTGTGTTAAATATGTACTACTTTCTGGAATGTGCTTTCTGGCCGGGCCGAATTAGTGGTGTTACACCTTCTAACTTTTTTTAGTATTAAAACGCATCAAAAATCATTTCAAAAAAAATATTTCCCATTTCTAGAGTTGTTTTTGTGTATCAAAATACTTAGAGCAACAAAACTACCTACTGTAGCCTTTTTTCTGCTATAATATTTTTTTAATTATTTAAAGCACTAAGGGTTTTCAATACCCAGGCATAGATTGTTCAAGCCTTATTTTTGGATTTTTTATCTACAATGCTCTTCAACTTCATATACGATAGATCTTCCAACTGTTTTGATTCGAGTGTCGCTGATGAGTTTATGTAGTCGAAATACGCGTCTAGGCGTGACATATTAATAGTCTGGTAACTTTGATAATTTTTACAACCTTTGGATAGTTGACAATGCTTTTTGGAAGTTTCTTCCCCGATAGTTTAACCTGTAGTCAGCACTTCTTTTTTACATGACGAACTCAATGTTCCATTGATTTTTGTTAATTTTCTGTTGATAAAATTATTTGAAGTACTAAGATTTTGCTACAGCAATAAATTAAATTGTTTTAGCCACATTTTCGGAAATTTTGGTTTTCGATGTTCTTTCACTTCGCCTTTCTCATCATTTGGGTAATTTAATTTTATTGTGTTTCATAGAAGATATGAATAAGTCAGAAACCTGAAATATTCATTTTTAACTTACACACTAACTATAAGACCATGTTATCATGTATTGGCACACTGCACCTGTCACCTGACATCGCAAAGTAAATAAATGACCAACTAAGAAATTACTATCATTATTTATAATATTACATTAAAAAAATCAGACAAATCTATCTTAAAATCAAAAGACATCTAAAGATCAGCATACGATTTTCATAATTTGAATTGACTGTACAACATGTGAATGACAAAACTGCCCCTAGTCTTGTAAAGTTGTGAACTTTTCAAACCGATATCATAAAAATCTGTCAAAATAAAATTTGGTCATACCAAATCAAAATCCGTCATATTTTGTTTTTGAATTCGCTTCGTCCCCAAGAAAATCTCCATCCCGGTAGTCAGCCTTTTTATGTTGACATATAGTTATGTTCTGTAAATTATCTGTTATAAAATGTTAAGTTATTCGAAACACTGAGGTTTTTCTACCCCTAGGCATAGATTTCCTTAGCTGTTTATGTTCTTCAATTTCGTGTTTGATTTGACCTTCAAACTGTTTTGATTCGAGTGCCCCTGATGAGTCATATGTAGACGAAGCGTCCCTCTTTTGTACCAAATTATAAGCCTGGTATTTGATGCGGTTCTACAACCACTTATAGTCTATGCCACCCAGTCCATTGTCATCATATTCGTGTTGACATGAAATGTCATTAACATGTTGATTTCTGTATATTTACTATTTTTTTTAAAAGTTAAATTATTAGAAACACTAAGGTTTTCTCTCCTGGGCATAAATCGGCTTAATCCGTATTAGCAAAACTTTTCGGGTTTATCGTTTTTCTAATGCTCTTTAAATTTGTATTCGATTCGGCAATCCAACAGTTTTGATTCGAGCGCTACTGGTGTCTGGTCGTACCATATATAAAGCCGTTTATCTTTTTAATCTTCATTCATGACTGCGCATGCGCCCATTTGAGCCACCGGTAGTAGCAAAAATAGTAACAGTAAAATCTATTGTCAAATGAAATCCTCTATGAACCCGCTAGCTCTGTGTAAGAAATAAAAAAGTGTAGGAAGCTTTCTAATGAATAATTATATATATTTACTAAATTTTTGCATGTTAGTTTGAAGTTTTCAATAAAAAAAAATCCAAGCCGAACATTTTTACCAGCACAATGTGTTGACACTCGAAATTTAAGTCACTCAGTACGTGATTTATGTTTATGTTTTTAATTATTTCTACGAAGAAAAACGAGTCTGAATTAAGTATTTATTATGCATTTATTCAGTTTCAGTTTCAACAAGAACCGGTCATTTGATATTTATAACACACTTTCATAAATTATCTAAAAAGTGAATGTATCAGTATTAGAATGAACTGTTTTGATATGTGTTAATGAATTCTGTAAATTTTTTATAAAAGTCCCCAATAAATCTCGGGTCATTTAAAACTCACACCTAAATATCTATCATCAGACATTCAAAATATATTTAAATGACCTTCTCATATAATAATATATTGACCTATAAAACGTGTATAAAATACTCTATATCGAAAAACAACAAAAGGGCAAACAGCACATTTATAAATACATAAAAAAATAAAAATGAGCAACATAAACTTCACAAATAAACCGAGAGGGGAATTCAGGTGCTCCGGAAGGGTAAGCAGATGCTGCTTTACATGTGATATTGGTCGTGTTGCTCATGGCAACTAAAACTTAGGTGATAAGTCACATGCTTTGATGTCACAATCGGGGGAAGGATGCCGGGGTTGTGGCGACATCATCAACTTATCTGTGGTCATATGTTATAGATATACCATAACGGTCAACAAAATAATGAAGGCGCTCCTAAACTTTGGAAGGAATGATTCAATCTCATTACTTGAAACCTCTGGTTAATAAGCTACCTACTAAGCAACAGTCCTCTTTTGAGAAAATCATGATAGGAAACTAAAGCTCTGGAATATGGTAGCAGTTGGGATACAAATGTTCCATATACAGGCGCTGTTGGAATGTTGCTACATACAAATAAAAAGTTTAAACAATTGGAAAGCTAAAATCATTTTGTATGTCGTAAAGTTTAGTTCTCAACCGACCCTCATTTTCATTATTAGGTGCAAGTCAAGATATGTCGAGTGTAATACATCCATGTATATCTGTGACACAAATATTCTATCACGGTCAACGGAAGCATGATGGCGTTCGTAAAACTTTTGAAAAGATTAGTTGAACAAACAAGGAAACTATATGCGAGGCAAATATCGTGTAATTAAAAGTAGAATTCTAATTTTGTCCGTATAAATAATAATTCTTCATTGAAATTCATATCTCTCAAAAATCATTATAGTTGGAAAGACAATTAAAGGCTCTATTGAATTCAACATTTGGTGTAGAAGAAATTTATACAGTTAGATTGTATATTTTTTTTCGTTATCATGTTCATAAACTAATTTCAAATCTTGATAAAAAAAAAAACGAAGAGGGACCATCATATTATCATTACTGTTTAATAAAATTTCATTTGTAAAAATGTTTCCAGACGAAGCTGTTTACATAAGATTAACTATGTTAAAAGATGTTTCTCAAAGCATACATGCTGTAGGTCTGATATGCACAAAATTTTAAAATGTTCAAGAGCAACATTATAGATGTATCATAAAAATAGTGAAAATTTACTGAATTCAAAAGTAAATTCAAACAGAGGGAAGTTCATAAAAGCTGACAAGACTACATTCTCGACTATATCAACCAACGGAACGAATTGAAAACAAAGGTCATATTTCTGACTTGGTACAGGTATTTTCTGAAAAAAAACCCGGTGGATTAAACCTGGTTTTATAGCTAGCTAAACCTTCAATTTGTATGACAGTTGTTGACAAATCCATTATCAATAGACAATATATGTTTGACCCATGAAAACTTGTAGTATAATAATAATCTGTAAATCGTGTTGGTGACGATTAAAAGTTATATTCAGCATCCATCCCAAATGTTCTATGTGATGTGTGTCTACTTTTTTTTCGGTAGACATCTTACAAGAAATTTACGCTACAAAAACATTCCAATGTTCACCTAAATTCATTGTTAACGGCCATGACACGCGAATAATGAACACAGCGAAAATTTAACTGCCTGATCTTAGACAAAATTCAGCGCTAAAATAATCCGATATAGGGTCTTTCGTACTGATATCAATTGTGTTACAATCCTTGTCCCTGCCATAAAAAATGAAAACAACATGTTATAAATTTCATGCGTCCGAAGCGCTTTTCTAGATTTACCTTCATCAGGAACGTCCAATGCCGAAAATTTGAAAGCCAATGATGTATAAGAACCGAAACAGTTGAAGAGCTATTTGAACAAAAAGGTCATTAAAAATAGCCAAAAACAATCTAAGGTCAATTTGTCTGAGGGAGTTGAAACCTCAGTTTCTTCATAATTAAAAAAATTATAAACGGACAATTTTAGAAAGGTTTGTTATAAATCATGTCAGTATCGAAGTACTGACTACTTAGATGATGATACCCTTGGGGACTTTGACATAAACATAAAAATAATCATAAAGTTATTTAAATCACCAACAACATATTCAAACATCAATGCTTGTCATGTTGAATTTTAGATTATTCAAATAAAAGAAAAGATACCGAACCTACTTCGCTAAAAGGAAAATAAAGTACCGAAATTCAGAAGATAATACACGAATCAATGATGGATGATCATAATTATAAAGACAATTTGCGTCATACAGTAACTTTTATTGGCCTGATTTTATTGATTGTTGGTTGCTTAACGTCCAGTGGAGTTTGATTTTAAAGTTGCAATCTATTTAAAAGCTACAAATTATAAAGCAACATTTTCATTCATAATTCAAAGGATTTATACTTTTATTGCAATTTTTAAAAATAAATCTCGGTTTCAATAGTGTATTTCCGAATGGTTCTCATGAATATTACAATATGACAATAGATATAACTCAATGATTCATTTATAATTAAAAGAAAACAATTTAAGGCTTTGTAGAAAAAGTTCCTTATATGGTGATGAAAGTTCTTCTGTCAAGCATTTAATAATCATACAAAGAATTTAAAGGAATATAAAATAGCTACCAATTATTTGAATTTTCAATTCTCATGTCACGACCTGCTATTGGTGCTAAGTATTTATTTGAATGTGTGTATTTGGTTTAACAAAATCCGAATAGAAGGGACAATTAAAAGTAAGTGATTATAAAGCAGTTTTTGTATATGGTACATAGGCTGATTTTAATTAAGAAAGCAAAATATGTTTGAATTCTAAGGTATAGTCTCGGCTTTAATTTGTTTTGACACATGCATTTTATTACTTAGGTTCTTAGATCTAAAAGACATATAGGACATATATCTCTGTCATCTGACCTGTTTTATGTTATTTTTGACCTTAAAATAAAGAGAAATTATTGAATACTTATGCAAATATAGTTTAAGACAGAATAAAGCTTAATCTGCACATTTAAAATAAATAGTTTAACGAGAAAATTTACCTTGAATGTGTATTCAAATGCAATGTAATATAGTCTTTTCATATAGTGTCGCAAGTTTATGATTTACTGTATTCCATTTATATCCATTAACGAACCATTGCAACAAACAATGGCTTCGCGTCAAAATGATTCTAGGTAAATTAAAAAAATTCAATAAAGAAAATTGATAACCTTGGAAAATAAAACAACTTCAAAATATTGTAAGCCAGTATTACAGCATTTTTTTTTTTGTGATAATGTTAGATCTGTATACACAACTTGCCATACAGATGTGTCTGTTGAAGAGCGCGATGAATTACAAAGTCCATTGTTCAATTTGTTAACTTATTCACGACGAAAGGAGAATTACCATAGCTCATTGGTAGCTTAATTCTGTGAATTTAATCATTTAAAAAGACTTCATTTATATATACTATTTCCCTATTATCAGAAATTTTAGAGATTATGCTTACATCGAGTGCATTAAAAAAACAAAAGAAACTCATATTGACACTGGAAATGGCCGTGCTTTTACATTTTAAACAAATGGAATGGTGTTTCTTGCCACGAATGCAATCACGGGATTATCACGATCCTTAATACTTCTGCAGCTAGCCAGCATAACTTTGCTTCAGATCATTTTACCAGCGTTAAAAACGCATAAAATCAAACATATGGGCGTTTTCAAGCTGTTTTGGTTGCTGTAAAGCAGTTAGTATGTTACTCTTACCGGTACACCGACCATTTTACGACCTGATAAACAGAGGGGATTTTTTTCTATTTTACATATATTATTTTGTCAACAAGGAAGTTAACATTAATATCATATAATTCAGAACATAACATAACGTGCTTTAACGAAAAACGAAACTATTTATGATAAACATATGCAAATGTGTAATATTGTATCATTTTCGTTTGTTTAGTACCGAGAATAAGGAAAATTGAAAGTTTGCGGAAAAAATGTCCAAATTGAATGACAAAATTTAAAACAATAATTAGAATACATATTCAATACACTAACACGGCGTAAACATTTGCTTTATTTGTTATGCTTGGATGTAGATATCGTGAACTTTAATAACCAACAACTAACTATGGCTAAAGCAATCTTCATACTGACACCAAAAGTTGCAAAACGGGTGAAAAAAATAAAAAAAATAGAAAAAGGCAAGACTAAATTTTAAACAATACTTCCGTACCGATATAATACAAGTGTTAAACCGGCTTACTTTTAGGTCGAAAATAATTCACCACTGGAGACAATAATAAAATAATTCACCACTGGAGACAATAATAAAATAATTCACCACTGGAGACAATAATAAAATGATTCACCACTGGAGACAATAACAATATAATTCACATTGGAGACGATAACAAAATAATTCACCACTGGAGACAATGATAAAATGATTCACCACTGGAGACCATAATAAAATAATTCACCACTGGAGACAATAACAAAATAATTCACATTGGAGACAATAACAAAATAATTCACCACTGGAGACAATGATAAAATGATTCACCACTGTAGACAATAATAAGATAATTCACCACTGGAGACAATAATAAGATAATTCACCACTGGAGACAATTATAAAATAATTCACCACTGGAGACAATAATAAAATAATTCACCACTGGAGACAATAATAAAATGATTCACCACCGGAGACAATAATAAAATAATTCACCACTGGAGACAATGATAAAATGATTCACCACTGGAGTACCATAATAAAATAATTCACCACTGGAGACAATAACAAAATAATTCACATTGGAGACAATAACAAAATAATTCACCACTGGAGACAATGATAAAATGATTCACCACTGGAGACCATAATAAAATAATTCACCACTGGAGACAATAACAAAATAATTCACATTGGAGACAATAACAAAATAATTCACCATTGGAGACAATAATAAAATAATTCACCACTGGAGACAATGATAAAATGATTCACCACTGTAGACAATAATAAGATAATTCACCACTGGAGACAATAATAAGATAATTCACCACTGGAGACAATTATAAAATAATTCACCACTGGAGACAATAATAAAATAATTCACCACTGGAGACAATAATAAAATGATTCACCACCGGAGACAATAATAAAATAATTCACCACTGAAGACAATAATAAAATAATTCACCACTGGAGACAATGATAAAATGATTCACCACTGGAGTACCATAATAAAATAATTCACCACTGGAGACAATAACAAAATAATTCACATTGGAGACAATAACAAAATAATTCACCACTGGAGACAATGATAAAATGATTCACCACTGGAGACCATAATAAAATAATTCACCACTGGAGACAATAACAAAATAATTCACATTGGAGACAATAACAAAATAATTCACCATTGGAGACAATAATAAAATGATTCACCACTGGAGACAATAATAAAATGATTATTTATTAATACTGTATAAGTTAAATACGTACAGGGGTTCTATCCCTCAATTATAGAATCAATGTATTCGTAACTGATATATTTGATGAGTTTTTACCGTATCGTATCGTCGTAATGAAAACCGTTTCAATCTCAACGGCAAATGTTTATGATGGATGATTCCGTTGAGCCCTTGTGCAATAGATTATTTAACAGCGAGTGTTTAAAGCGACGCACCCATTCTCGCTCCTTTTGAATTTCATGCATTACCTAATTATTTATTTTTTTCCCCCTTGATTTGTATATTCTTTATTGATTTATGAGATTTGAACTATTGTTGCCTCTAGTTAAGCACATTAATGACTGATACCGTTTAGATAAACTGAACCTCCCCCTTCAAGAGCATCTTTTTAGATGAGAACATGGTGTAACCTGTCTTTTGTCGATTATCAGGGAATTTTTACCCACTTCTTAAATCAGTTGCATGTGTTGAATTTTGACAGTCCAAATTTAATTGGCTGCTTATTTGTAAATAGCTGATTGCAGAGGTTGTCTTCGGTAACAGCTGATTGCAGGTCATCTACGTCAACTGGTGATTGCAGGTTATCTTCAGTAACTGGTGATTGCAGGTTATAATTTGTAACTGCTGACTGCAGGTTATTTTTCGTAACTGCTGATTGCAGGTTATCTTTCGTAACTCGTGACTGCAAGTAATTTTTCGTACATGCCAAAATGCAGGTTACCTTCGATAACTACTGATTGGCATGGTATCTTCGGTAACTGGTGATTGCAGGTTATCTTTCGTAATTGCTGACTGCAGATAATTTTTCGTAACTGGTGATTGCAGGTCATCTACGGCAACTGGTGATTGCAGGTAATCTTAAGTAACTTGTGATTGCAGGTTATCTTTCGTAACTGCTGATTACAGGTTATCTTTCGTAACTGCTGATTGCTGGTTACCTTCAATAACTGCTGATTGGCATGGTATCTTCGGTAACTGGTGATTGCAAGTTATCTTTCGTAATTGCTGACTGCAGATAATTTTTCGTAACTGGTGATTGCAGGTCATCTACGGCAACTGGTGATTGCAGATTATATTCAGTAACTTGTGACTGCAGGTTATCTTTCGTAACTGCTGATTACAGGTTATTTTCAGTAACTGGTGATTGCAGTTTATCTTTCTTATCTGCTGATTACAGGTTATTTTTCGTACATGCTAATTGCAAGTTACTGCTTTGATAACTGCTGATTAGCATGGTATCTTCAGTAACTGGTGATTGCAGGTTATCTTTCGTAACTGCTGATTACAGGTTATCTTTCGTAACTGCTGATTGAAAAAATATGTGATACAATCTACGGAAATAAATAGCAAATTTGGTAATTGCTGTATTATGTGTATTTAGAATTTGTTACTGATGGTCTTTCTTACGATCCATTTTTATTTGATACAACGTAACACGATTACTTTGAAAAGGTAATGATTACTCAATGGTTCAAACAATTTTTTGTTTGCTGAGATAGATTTTACATTTTTTCCATAATTGGTTTTTTTTTCAGGACTTCTATTTCAGTGAATTTCTGAATGGGTGATATCCAGGAATGCACGGATAAAAGATATCCTGTCCTACTTTTTTTGTACAACATTCCGAGAAATGTTTGCAGAAATTTCCCCTGTATGATATTCATATTTACAAGTTCAACCAATCATAACATAAGTACCCCACACATAATGTATATAAAAAAGCTATAAGAATTGTTTTTTTACTCTCATATCGCATTTACCTATTAATGTTACGTTTTAATATTTTTGTAGGTCTTAAAGCGTGTTTTGCGGGAATTTAAATTCACTAAAGAAGAAAATAGTAATTGTTAGGTAAGTATATGGATTGATTTTCATTCAGAAAAGATAAGTTTAATATCTAACGTTTTAAATTTAAACTTTCTGTTTGTAGCATCCTTATTGAAAACTATTTAAATTTTGATTTTTAGGTAGATAAGTTTTATGATCTTAACATGTTGATATTCCACTTTAATCTTTTCTTACTTATCTTAATAAATTTATGTATTGTTCTGCTTTGAATTTTACATTACACATTGCATGTGTTAAATATCAAACATTTCCCATTCTATGTATATAACTGTTACTAATGTTACAAAATTTATAATAAGAATATTGTTGCTCAGACATCACCACTGCTATGGTGATATTTGGACAAACAAAAAAAATCATAGCAAAACCTTTGTGAATTGGACGTGGATTTAAGCAATTATGGGTCATCGTACGGTCTTCAACAATGTGCAAACCCTGTATACCGTATAGTCAGCTATAAAGGCCAACAAAGTATGAAACAATTCAAACGAAAACACTTATGGCCTAGAACTTTCTCTAAAATGTCAGTCTGCTCCTTCATCACCTGAAAAATACGAAAAGTACCTTAACTTAGTCTATATAAAGAAATAATCATGAAATATTTTGAACGTTATCAGATGATCTTTAAATTATATGCTATATCCTCAGCAGGGACCCTGCATTCAATTCTTTAAAAAATCTTCTTATATATATATTTTATTGATTCCATTTAATCATTTTTCAAATTTATTTTGTTTGTCAAATTTTTCACTATTCCTCCTTAAAAGACACCATCTTCGCTAGCCAAGGGTTACGATCCACTTCCCTCCTCTCCACCCTTGGCAGATTAAGCCAACATTTGTGATAACAATGTTGCGCCATCTATCGGTAGATTAAAGTCACGCCCATTCCGAATACATTATTCTTGACCAATGGTAGCACTTGAACTCTTCAATTTGGAGGTAAAAACATGGTAGCGTCTAGATTCTACAGACTTGGTAAAGCATGAAACAAAAATATACGTTGACATTCATGTATTTGTGCAAGAAACATACACAGGAACTTCTATTAGTTGATTAAAAACATTCAAATTGTCCCTAAATATAGTCGTATAATTAGGGATGTAAAGACTTGTTGCACAATAAGCACGTGGCAATTGTTTACATACACTTTCTACATTTACACGTGATCAAGTTATAGGCGCTTTTTGATTGAATGCAGCGAATTTCGACTGCAACCAATGAAAATCATTACCTTGTGTCTCCGAAATTCTATCTCAATCCGCCAAGGGTGGAGAGGAGGGAAGTAGATCGTAACCCTTGGCTAGCGAAGATGAAAAGACACTTGAATTCAAACAGCAATATAAACAAGGAGATGTGGTATGATGAGACAACTATCCACCAAATTTGAAAAGAAGTGGATGTAAGCAATTATAGGCAATCGTACGGCCTTCAGCAATGAGAAAAACACATACCGTATAGTCGGCTATAAAAGGCCCCGACATGAAAAATATGAAACAATTAAATTGAGAAAACCAACGGCCTAATTCATAACAAAATAATTTACGAAAAACAAATATGATAGAATAAACCAAGCCTGTTTCATAAAAAGTTAGAACTTTAGTAGCTCCGAAGGTACAACAAATATCAATATCTCGAAAATGGATGTAAAACTGAAATTGAGACAACATCAAAGATCGAGGCTAGCACATAATTCACGCCTAAGTGTAAATAACCGAAGTTAGAGAAATTACAACTGTCAAAATTGAAACTATATATATTGCCATAATTTCCTTTTTCAGAATTATCATGATATTCTTTCAACTTATGCCAGTGCATGCGCCATGGCTGTTGTTTTTCGCCTATTTAGAAATGCTAGCTGTATTAGTGTGTAAGTTAATACTTTTTGAAGTACAAACATATGTCTTTTCTTATTTAATAAATCCTGTTATTTAATAGTGTATCGCCCTATAAACAAATTTAACCACATTTATATTAATATACTATATTATGATATACCTCTAACAGGCCAAAGTTATGTGGTCATAGACCACTTTGGCAACTTCTTGTAGAGGTTCTTTTGTAGTAGCGTAGCGAGACACTTTTTGTCCAAAAATTAACCTCACAAATGTATTTCAAATGAAAATTATGGGTTTAAAATCTCATCTTCTCATTTAAAGTAAAGGGATTCAAATATTAAGATGTCCTTCCCAACATTTAAAGATCATAATGATAATAATAACATTTCCCCCTTCTTTTATGTCGGTTTCGCTTCAACGGCCCCGTTCACTTTTTTTCTTTATTCTTTGGACAACATATCTAATCTGTAAGTTTTTTTACTTAGAATTGCGGAACTTTTTAAATTAAGAGAACAATAAAAATTAAAAAAAGAGAAAGTGAATTAAATGTCTGTTTATAGCATGAGTCTCGGACTTCTTTTAAGCTGAGTTTTACTGTGAGTATTGCTGTGTGCTTGTTTATTCCACATTGGCTAGAGGTATGTGGGAGTGTTGAGATCTCACAAAACATGTTTATAAACCCTGTCGCATTTTTGCGCCTGTTCCAAGTCAGGAAACTCTGGCCTTTGTTAGTCTTATATGTTTTTTTAAATTTTGGTTCATTTGTATGTTTCGGAGTTTAGTGTGATGTCCATTTTAGCTGAACAAGTATACATTATTGTATAAGGGCCAGCTGAAGCCCGCCTCCGGGTGCGGGATTTTCTCGCTGTGTTGAAGACCCATTGGTGGCCTTGGGCTGTTTTCTGCTCTTTGGTCGGGTTGTTGTCTCTTTGACACATTCCCCGATTCCATTTTCAATTTTATTAGCATTTTAGTTAATAAAATTTTGAGTGAAACACTTCAAGTGCTCATTTGATAATATTAGTATGCCTTTTTTCAGATGCTCAAGGTGAAACTGAGATCAAATCTCCTTTCGAAGCCACAAAGTCCCGTCTAAGCTTAGGATACATAGGCAGAGGATATGATATATACAAAGGAAACCCAGCAAGTGAAAACGGAGAAGTTGACCAAGGATTTCGTCTTCCAGTTATAGGTTTACCTTTCTCCTCGTCCCGGTTCACTTCTGATGGAGAATACCGAATACCCGATAACGTTGACGTAATATCTGAAACAAGGTTGGAAAGCGTTACCTATAAACTTCATTTGGCTTAGTTCTTTAAGCTATTACATTCATCTTTTGTATACCCCTATCAGTAAAATCACACAAGACAAAGAAAATATCAGCTCCGAAAAAAAAATTGTTATTAACAAAAACAGCGACTAGTGAAAATAAATTTTTCAATATATGCTATATGCTATTGCAAAAAAAAACTGCTCGCAGTTACTGAAAACTTTTCATTTGAAATATAATTAACTTTTTAAACATTCAAGCGAGCAATACGTATTAGATGTAAGGTAGATTTTATACAGAATTGTCTTGAGCAATGCAGACCGAGAACATAATGTTATGTAATGCAGATAATACGATCTTGAGCAATGCAGTATACACGAACTTGAGCAATGCAGTATACACGATCTTGAGCATTGTAGTATACACGATCTTGAGCAATTCAGTATACACGATCTTTAGCAATGTAGTATAAAAGATCTTGAGCAATGCAGTATACACGATCTTGAGCAATGCAGTATACACGATCTTGTGTAATGCAGTATACACGATCTTGAGCAATGCAGTATACACGATCTTGTGCAATGCAGTATACACGATCTTGAGCAATGCAGTATACACGATCTTGAGCAATGTAGTATACACGATCTTGAACAATGCAGTATACACGATCTTGAGCAATGTAGTATACACGATCTTGAGCAATGCAGTATACACGATCTTGAGCAATGCAGTATACACGATCTTGAGCAATGTAGTATACACGATCTTGTGCAATGCAGTAAACTCGTCATTGTGAAATGCAGAAAATAACTTTTGTTATAGTTAGTTCTGAAAAAAAAGACAAATATGGGGAAACTTTTTAATTGAGTTTCAAACTATGAACTTTTTTACCCTCTCTGCCATGGTATTTGCCAAAAAATACTCTATCCGACTGGACGCTTGTAACGTCACGATCATCAAAGCGTTTTTAAACGTTAACATTCGGTGTAATTAAACAGATATAGCATGTTCTTGAGGGGTATTTGCGAAAAATACCAGTCTTGAGAATGAATTTCCCTCGGCTTACGGCTCGCGAAATTTAACATTCTCTCGACTGGTATTTTTCGCAAATACCCCTCCTTAACATGATATATCTGTTCAAAATTACACCTTATATAAGAAAGCCAGATTTTGATTGGTTGATAGCCAGTGTATTTTTCGCATATTCTAATATTTTTTTCTCATTTCAAACGAATTTGCCTGTTTTTCACCACTGCCGGTGAATTTGCCTCAAATACCATGGTATTTGCCATTTTGGATATTCCTTTTTTACCCTCTCGAGAATTTTCCCGCCAAAATTTTCGGATATGACGTTACATACAATAAAAGCGAGCTAACGCGTATTAGTACATGTATAATTCCCACAGTTCAATGATAATATCCTCTTATCCTCAAAATTATGCATAAACATGTTAATGAATTAGTTTCAATCCAAATCTATTCGGTGTAATTAAACAGATATATCATGTTATGGAGGGGTATTTGCGAAAAATACCAGTCTTGGGACCGAATTTCACAGTCCCTTGACTTGTATTTTTTGCAAATACCCCTCCATAACATGATATATCTGTTCATAATTACACCTTATATAAGAATGCCGGATTTTGATTGGTTGTTAGCCAGTGTATTTTTCGTAAATTCTAACATTTTTTCCTCATTTCAAACGAATTTGTCTGTTTTTCACCACAGTCTTGGGACTGAATTTCCCTCGCCTAGCGGCTTGGGAAATTTTACAGTCCCTTGACTGGTATTTTTCGCAAATACCCCTCCATAACATGATATATCTGTTCATTACAAGTTATGTCGATAATACATTTGTTTTGCTGAAAATCGCCTCTCATTTATCAACATTCACAAAACATTGCAGCACTGGCCACTCTGTAAATATTTGTTTTTCGATTGAATGTTTTAAAATATTTGACAAAATGTTGTATCCCCGAGCTCAAAATGCATACAGAAAATTATATTACTGTGAAATTATTTAGATTCAAAGAATTTTGGAATCCCTACCTAGCATTGTTTTTTAATAAGTACTATTTATAAACTTTTCTTTTGTTGATGGTATTATTTTTCCTTGTACTTAGTGCGTCTTTCGGATCGTCCTATCATCAACTAATTACGGAAACAGATTACCAGAGCATGCTACAAGTCGATGCTTCCGTAAGTATATCAAATGTTCTTAGTGCAATTATTTGCTGTTCAAATTTCGGTTTCTTACCTCAGCTAGGGGAAAACATATTAAACTATTAAACTATGTGGGCTTATTTCCCTTTTGTTGTTTCGTCTTTTTGTACAAGCTCCCAATGAAAGTTCGATGTGACTGTACAATGCATTATCTCATTAGAATTAATTATTTTGACTCATATAAAGGGAAATCATTCATATCAATGTCAGTTTTAAACTCCTTTCGAGTTCCATTTTTCACTCCTTATTCATTTTCTAATATACACAAGTCAAATTACCGTAAATCAAATCTAGATTTTTATACTAATTTTTACAATTGCATTTTGCTTGTGTTAATGTTGTTACTTTTATCATTATGATTTAAAGGAGATGTCGGTAGACGTCAAAGAGACAGCGACTAAACGACAAAAAAAAACCAAAAAAACATCTCAGTGAAATATAGGGGTTGAATTACTTCTTTTTTTTATTTTTAGGATTTTTACAACGACCCGGAAGACACTTAATACTAATTCGTTTAGTTTAATTCTATAACTTAGCTCATTTAGTCCACGGGGTCAGTATGAAAAATTTCACCCCTGGCTTGGCGTCCGTCGTCCGTCGTCATCCATTAAATTTCACAAAATATTCTCCTCTAAAACAACTTGAACTATAAATACCAACTTAGCCACAATCATACTTTAGAAATCTAGTTTTAAAAATGTATCCCGTGATTTCGCTTGTCGACCAACACGGCTTCCATGGCAAAAAATAAAACATAGAGGATAAAATGCAAGAATTATTCTCATATCTGAAAAAAAACGTCTTAGATAAAGAAAATTGCACAGTGAATGTCCGAAAAAACCCGATTAAGTTTTCTCACTTTTTATTAAGCTTTGTGAATTAATAACATATATGTGAACAAATGCACCTTGCAAAGCTTTATCTTAATAAGTTATGTTAACATCATTTTCTTTAGGTCCACGTAGAGGGCAGTGGTTATGGTTACACTGGAAGTTTCAGTGCCAGTACCTCATACCAGAAAACAGTGAAGGAGATTGCTAAAGGAGAAACAACTACTTTAGATATAATTGGAAGAGCTAATGTTTACAAAGCTAGATTAGCCTCAACTGGAACACAGTCCAAGGTGAATTTTGATATATGATATGTCATAAGCATGATACTTTTTAAAGCACGTTTGCTATACCTTACTTAATAAAAACCACAAGTGTGGAAGTTTAAAAAAAGGGGACCTATTTTTTTTTTATCTCACATAAGAAATAATTTTCTTCTTTTTCTCAAATTGGTATTTGATTTATAATCAAATATATAAATTGATTTTATTATTCAGCTGAGTGACTTTTTGGAAAACAGCTTTAGAGCCTTGCCGAGTGAGAATTGTGAAGAAGATGCGATTCAGCAGATGTATATTAATGTGGTTGAGCAGTTTGGAACTCATTATTCAACTGAGGTAGTCATGGGAGCAAAGGCAGTACAAGAACTTAGATTTAAGAATTCTGATGTAGATAGATTCCAGTCTGTTGGCATCTCGGCTATGGTAAGCTCAAACAATGAAATAAAAATGGGGAAAGAAGAAATAATCTAACAAAAACAACATCGAAAACAAATTCTAGAATAACTACTAATTGCTAAATACTATTGTTAATTCAAAGCGGAAAGTTTGAACTTTTTGATATGACATTTGCAGTTTTGAAATAGAAATTTGCGTCTTGATTTTTTCACATTTGCGACATTTTCCTCTTTTTAAAAGAGAACGTGTGCACTTTCCCTTCAGGACATATGCACTTTTTTTATAGGACACTTGAGCTTTTGTGTTTCATATCCCTTCTCCTTAGTCTTGGATATGATCCTCACTTTTTGTCTCAGTATACTTGATATGATATTGTAAAATAGATAAAATATATAATGTCATTTGTATTTAACAAAGGTTGCAGCCGAACTGTCTTCTCCTTTTGGTGCAAGTGGGGGATTTAGTGTAGGAGTGTCTAGCAATAAAGAGTTGAGAGAAATGGTTCGCAATACAGACAAGGAGCAAAGAGAATACTATATCGGTGGAAGTCCTCCGTCCGGTTTCGGTGATGACAGCACTGGATCAACAGAAAGTTTACGTGAATGGGCGAAATCTGCAGCTGACAATCCAGCACCTATCAAATATAAATTATCTTCAATCGACACGCTTATTAGACCAGAGTACTTCAAAAAGACTATATCTGGTAAAATATAAATTTTCTATCTTTATAAATTGAAAATAATACTTTATTATACTTTACGGAAGCCATCACGAGTTGGTTGAACGTTATGGAATACTGTTTCAAAGATGACGACGGATATTTTGCCAAAACCACAATTGCGTCTACTTTTCCCCGAATGTGACCTATAGAGTTAGACTTATCACCGGGTCTGTACTTGCACGAGTAACACGACGGGTGTGGAGCAGGATTTGCCTATCCTCCTGGAGCACAAGATCAACCCTGGTTTTTGGTGGGTTCGTGTTGCTCAGTCTTAAGTTTTCTATGTTGCGTTATGTATGCTGTTGTTTGTTTTTTTGTCGTTTTTGATGGAATTGTCAGATAATTTTCGACTTATGAGTTTGAATGTCCCTTTGGTATCTTTTGCCTCTCTTTTATTAGTTATGTGCGTCCGAGGCACTTTTCTGGATGTATCTACATCAGAAATGCTTGAACTATTGACTGATTCAATGTGACTATTGAATTGCATTTTGGGCCAAATCTATAGTACATGTAGATAGAAAGAAGGTGTTAACATCAAATAATAATAACCATTATTATACTTTATTCAAATTTCTTATATCATCCATTCATTTCATTTGACACGCGGCATTTGTTAATTTTCACCAACCTTTCATAAGCCACCGCCCACCCATAGCAACATGTGATAATATTAGCAACGGGTGTTAGTGCCTAAAATTAACACCCGCCTGAACCCGAGGTTTGCTGATTCGGAACAATTAACACCCGCTACGGCCGAGGTTTACCGATTCTTATTTCTACATCATTTCCGTCGTTTTGTTGTTGTTATTGAAATAACTTAGACAATAAAAATGACAGTGAAACGTATATTAGAATCTTAGACTGACAAGTGCTGTCCCCTGGCTTGATACCTACTTCCCTTGGATGAAGGTGTTAGGGTGATTAACACCCTCGGTGAAAAATTATCACCCGCGACTTCGTCTTGGGTGATATTTTTTTCCTCGTGTGTTAGTCTACCCTAACACCTTCATTCAAGGGCAGTATATTTATATTACAAGTTCAACAAAACAGATAAGTTAGTCATGAATAATATGTTACCTATAATGTTGGAGAATGGCCATTGTTGAAGATGCAACGTGGAGTCTCTAGTTAACATTACGAATTATTAGGGGTTGTTTTGTAAATGTGGACTTTTGTTTGTCTTTCGTCTTTTTCCTTTTGCAGTTGCAGAGACATTATTATCCCGTCTTCCCCATATGTCATTTTGTTCTACTCTTTCAGTCTTTGTTCATGGTTAATTTTTTTGTTTGCTAAAAGTAATCAATAAATTGTATTTTAACATTGTTTGCAATTACATTGCAATGAGACAAAATCAAATAAAAACCGACATTTCACATGTGAAATTTTACTCATCTGACGTAATACAACAATAGGTGAGGTTAAGGGTCTGTCATTAGCGTTGCATCAAAACGAAGTGAGGACGCATTAAAAAATAGTTCCTTGCATTTCATCTTTTATTTACATTAAAAGTCAATGTCATCAAAAGAATAACCATTAAAATATCGAAAAATATGCAACTCGTGACCGAACAACAGTGATAATTTACTCATACATTACTCACATTCGTGAGTGTATGCGTTGTTCTGTCACGTACTCGTCAATATTTGAATTCTTGGAATTATTATTCTATATATATCAGAAAGTAGATCAACATAGAAATAATGTTTCATTTTCATCATAAATGATAATATATGCATTATCGTCTTTCTTGTTTTAGGATTGTATGAGAGAAGAAAATGTTTACGCAAAGCGTTGTTTCATTACTGTATTAAGACAATAGCAGCAAATCACTGTACTCTTTTATCAGAATCGAATTTGGACGGAAACGCAACAACTTTCAAGTAAGTACGAAAATATAACTAGGAATGATTTTAGTATAAAAGAATTGAAGAAATTGAGAAAAGTTCGCAGAAGTTAACTGACATCAAATTGATTGCAGAATGTACAAGCTTAAATCCTTGTTTGGAAAGTCATAGAAATACAGACAACAACTATGACAAATACAAATATTCTTTTCAAATCGATTGCCGAATATGCGAGATGACATCTTTGTTTGAAAAGTTGTGTAAATACAGGCAATTTTATTGACTAAAAACAATTATATTTTTTGTGAAAACGACAATACCATTTTTCTCACTTTTTCGATGATTCCTGTTGCATAGGTTCTAATTTTCAAATTGTTAGTCCTGTGAATATAAACGTTAATTACTTCTTCTTCATAAACAAAACTAAGTTACAATGGGTCAATATATTTCTCGTTGATAGTTATTTGCCATAAAACTGTGTTGACTACCCTTTAGTCCTATAACATGTGACTCCGTATTCTTATTCCGTTTTAAAAGTGTATGCTGATACTTTCATTTTTCATTTTTGTCATCCTTAACTCAGAGTTTCGACAATATTTTTGTACATAAAATCCATAAATGTTTTATTTCTACAGGTATGGTGATTTTATTAAAGTAACCAACGGAAACAGATTTTTGGCCCTGTCACAGCATTTTGGAATATCACCAGGACTGACAGTCAAACCTTTAACTACAGGTGATTGTCTTTTATGATCATGTTTTCATTGAACATAAGAAATCATATAAATATATATAAATGACTTAATTGCTTACATCCACTTCATTTGAACTTTGGTGGATAGTTATTTCCTTTGCAATCATACCACATTTCCTTTTTTTTATATTATTCAGTACAATATAAAGATAAGGAGATGTGGTATGATTGCCAATTAGACAACAATCAACCAAAGTTCAAATGAAGTGGATGTAAGCAATTATAGGCAACCGTACGGCCTTCAACAATGAGAAAAACCCATACCATGTAGTCGGCTTTAAAAGGCCCAGACATTAAAAATATTGAAACAATTCAATTGAAAAAACTAACGGCCTAATTTATAACAAAACAATTTACGAAAAATAAATATAACAGACATGAACCAATGACAACCACTGAACTACAGGCTCCTGGCTTTGGAAAGGCACATACAGAATGTGTCGGGGGTTAAACATGTTTGTGAGCGCTCAACACTCCCCTAACCTGAGGCAGTTGTGTAACAGCACAATATAAGAACAAACTATAAAAATCAGTTGAAAAAGACTTAACTCATATCGATACAAAGTTTACTTCCATATCGATTGTTCTAGATTACCTTTTTATGTCGTTAGAAAGTGAGCTGCTATTAAAGGCAAACCTTTTCAGCCTTAGACTTCAACTAAGGCTGCAACTCCTGCAGGCAAAGAAGACATAAGCTGATTATTTTGTTTAGTCCCTCTTTGATCAAATGATCAGTGATTTGCAGTGATTTATAAAATGACCGAGGCACTGTTTTTTTCAGTGGTTGTCAAATCGACAATGTTAAATTGATTTTTTTAAACAAAGATTAAATTAAGGAAAAGAATATATCGCTCTTTTGTTGATACTGTCAATGAGGTTATATTATGACAAGGGTCCGTAAATGACCAGCCAATCGCACTCAGGTCCGGGATTGTCCAGCAAAACTTACCCAGGTCTTTGCAATTATGAACAGTTCTGGAGGGGCACTGCAGGTTTTATTTACAAAAGGTTTATATTAATGGTTGACAATAAATATTTGTTTTCTTTTTAAGTGTCTGAAGTTACAAACTACGACGGATTATTCCAAATTGTACCAACTGAGGGTATCAACAAATTTGGAATTAACTTGCATTATGGAGAACCATTTATTCTGAAGACGTTAGAGGTAAATACAGTCAAAATTCATACACATGTGCAAAAAGAGGTATGATTGTTTTGTTTTTTTTTGCCAAATTCACGCACATATCTAATTGGTTTATTTCATTTATTGTAGCAAACGACATGACATCATACTAACATATTATTCAGACAGTGATTGAGAAACAAAAATGTAATATGAATTTGAAATTTCTGAGATATTGTTTGTCCATGATTTAATTATCACATTTCAATTGAAAATTAAAATACAAACTCTTCCATTTGAAAACAAAGATAGTTCATAATCTTTTGTTTTGTTTTTATTTTTGAAGAAGTGGTTGTTTAAATATACAAATTGAGAGAAAATCTGAAAAGTGGGCAATTACGACAGTTCCCCTTTCATGTTAGAGGTTTGAGGACCAAACAAATATGTAAGCCTTAAATCAAATATAACATCGCTTATATCTCAGACGAACTAATGTCAAGTATGATAATAATGACGAAGATTTTTTTCCAATTTGTGCACACAAATTATGATATTAGACAAATAAGCGAATTAAAACATAAATGATTATTATTTATTACATTGCCCCATATTAACAGGGCGATATGTTGTATATGGGTAAAGTGATGATTTTAAACACAGATATGCCGTCCGAAGCTAGACTACAGGATGTATTTACAGATAAAGACGAACAACGGTAACATTATACACTTTTTATGTATATATTACAATATGATATGGAACTCAGAAGGGTCCAGAATCCACCTAGAACATGTACACATAAAAATTTTTTGATTACTGGTAGAATTTGAAATTCTGATTTTACTAGTTGAAATTACTATTTTAACTTTTTATTAATCGAGCGTCCCTTATTTGTTTTTTGTAGACAAAACGCGCATCTGGCGTACAAACATTAAAATCCTGGTATCTATGATGAGTTTATTTAATGAGGTTAAAATCTCGGTAATCAAATTTAAACATAAAAATCCAGTGAAATCAACTAATGGAATCGAATGAACTCAAAAAGTAGAGAAACAGGATGCGTCGATTGAATATAAACCGCAATTGTTAATAATGGTAAAACATTCGTTCAAGGTAAACTATTCATTCCAACACTTTTAGTCATGAAGACCATCAGCACTTCGAATACATGTTGTTCTGTGAATATGAATGTTTATGAGAGAGGGGAAACCAGGTTGGTCTATAACTGACTATATTTTTTTTTATCAGAAATGTCAATAGCAGCCACAGTCAAATTACTGACTTCTCCATTTTTCTGAAAAAGGTGAAAGGTGAGTATAAGAACACGACATTGAAGTCATCAATTCAAAGCTTGTTGGTTTGAATGTGTACACACGATGTGAATGATTTTAAATTTGATAATGTAACGATGTTTTTTTTCAAGTTGCATTCTGGAGATAACAGCATTGTATTTGAAGATTTGTAGCACCATTTTGTTATTTGATGGTCTAATATATCCATTTACTGGATCCTGAATCCTATTTATCGCTTCGTCAGTAAACTCAATTAGTAACAGTATAATCGCCAATGGATGCCCACAAATTTTCAAATACAATACTTTTGTCCCCTGAATAAAATTTAAGACAATTCTGATGAATACAGGTAGTGTAAACCTGACATCCTTTATATTTCAATAATGTACGGTATTGTCTTTTATACTTACTTACCTTGTAAACAATCAAGAAATTTTAGTTTTATGGTAATATTTTCTATATTAAATTAATATACCTTTATCAGATGTGCTTTAATATGTATCTATGCAAATGTAATATAATTGATTTAATAAATTAAGTTAAAGATTTACTTGTGTATTTCTTTGCCTTAGATAACCTTATTCAAACATTTCCATTAAATTGAACTCTGCTAGTGATAATGTATTTTACCAATTTTTTAGATTGTTCGTATCTAATATCTCTGAAATACGCTTGTCATATTGAGGAAAACTATTTTTTCCAAGTCCAAATAATCGGATCAGAAGGAACAATAAGAAGTAACGTGAATGTTCGCTGTAGTTGCAGAAGAGGTATCTGTGGTTTTATTTGGTTCCACGACATTATCATCGAGCACGATATTGGACAATTTAACGCATTAAGAATCATGGTATGTTAACTTGTGTATTAGTTTGCGAGGCTTGAATGTATAAACAATTAATGATTAACAATACATATAAGGGATTAATTATGTCAAATATGATGATGACGATGATGGATGGTTGCTTAACGTCCAGCGGCAAATTAATATGCATATTTAGGACGACAACATGTTAGTGCAATATGAATATCAACCCTGTTTTGTACTAAACCGACACTCTGAGTCGGAATTTTAACGTGCTAGTTCACAAGGTAACAGTCAGCAGGAAGACATGTCACCTTACTCGGACACGTTATTCTGACTCCGAGCCGACCAGTCTTTGCTCTTACTCCTTAATGCGGCGTGCTTAGCGGAGAAGCAGCAAACACCAATTTTAAAGTCTTTGGTTTGACCAGGCCGGGGTTCGAAACCACGACCTCCCGAACTCGAGGCGTGTCAATATGCACAGCTGTCTATAAACCTAAAGCTATAGTACGAATTATCAGCTGGCCAATTATGTATAACTAAAAATCATATTGGATTTTATTTCATTAAAGTTGAACGAATACTTCTTTTTCATTCATAGTAATAAACCTTAGCGAAATTGTAAAAGAAATCAGGAGAGTTCAACTCAAAACTTGTATATTACTTTATTAATTTGGTGCCGTCAAAGAGCTTATATATTATATCTTCATGCGTTACGCCTATAATCTCAAAATTCAACTAAATGATATCTTATAAATTATTTAAAACAAATAAAAGTTGGTGGAAGGTACACGCCATTGATACCGCCAATCATAGACACAAATAAACAAAAGACATATAAAGGTTAACGTGCAAATTTCATCAAAAGACCAATGTCTATATAGTATGTTAATTTCTAAATCATCACTTTAAAAAAAATATAAAGGATTTAAACTGAGACTATAAAAAACCAATAAACACCAAAATTCAGCAAATTCAATAACCAATAAGATATGACATAAGATACACAGCAACGGTGTGTTTACTTTTGATAGGAAAAATCTAATAATTCTCGGGATATTCTAAGTATTGATAAATTCGTATGCAATTGGTGTCCTTTTTATGAACACGGAAATTTTGAGTAATTTTGGTGACTCGATTTAAAAAAAAGATATATCTATTTTATTTTATCTAAAGGGTCTCCATGGAATAAGAACAGACCGTATATATGGAGTATACATTAAAGTTTTGATAAATGGCGAAAAAAGACAAGTAATTTGGAATAAAGGCCATTGTGTTGGCCGTATATTCGAGATCGGAAGAAGAAGTCTTCAAATTACACAAAGAGGAGTTGGTAAATATTTACGTACGACCGCTGCACATACCCCAACAGTCACATGGGTTTTTTCCCCTCCTCTGGTTTTGATTATTTGAAGTAGAAACAACCGAGACCCCTCGCCTGTTAGATTAGAAAAGTAGTAGGTATCCTCTAAAAGCTTTAAAAGAAGAGATAAAAGATACCAAAAGAACATTCAAACTGATAAGTTGAAAATAAACTGACAACGCCATGGCAAAAAAAGAAAAAGAAAAAAAGACGTGTACAAAACACAACATAGAAAACTAAAACATGAGCATCACGAACCCCATCAAAAACCGGGGGTGATCTTAAGAGCTCTGGAAGGGTAAGCAGATCCTGTACCACATGTCGCACCCTTCGTGTTGCTCATGTGAGTACAAACTCGATGATAAGTCTAATTCGGAAGTTCACATTCTGAGAAAAGGAGGACGGGATTGTGGTTACGACGATTGGACCATATCCGTCATCATCTATGAAACAGACATTCCAAAACGGTCAACCAACTCGTGATGGCGGCCGTAAAATTTTCGAAGTGATGAATTCAACTTCACCTCTTGAAACTCCTGGTTTAAAAGCGTCCTTGTTAGCAGCAGCCCTCTATCAAGGAAATCATAATAGAAAACACAAGCCCTGGCATATATCGTAACAACTGGGAAATAAAATAAGATAGAATGTAGGAGCTGCTGGAATATTGCTTCATAGAAAATGAAAGTTCACAATTTAACTGGTATCCAATTTTAACTCTTCTTTTCAGAGAGAGGGATAGAAGCATAATTATTCAAAGATAAACAAAACAAAAACATAATATTTATTTGAAGATGAAAACACTGACCCGTATGTTTATACTTTTTTACTTGTGGGCGATAAGGCCTTATAAAGCCTTCTTTTTACCGAATAAAAATGAAAATTTATTCTGCGTCTTAAAAAAAAAAGTAACTTTCGTTTTAGCAGGATATTAACCGATTGTTTCAATCCCTTACTTTGACATTTTCGACTGAGCCTGGATTCACACCTCGGTCAAAGGAAGAATAGCTGAAGACGATTACTGGGTTTCGCTCCGTTTTGAGATCATTTGATACTGTAAGGCTTTTCTCGCGGTTTTTCAAAATTAATATACGAGTTTGAACATTGATAGACTACTGTTTCTTTTAAGTTGATTGAAACAAAAGGGATTTCGTGGGCAGGTAAGTATAGCGTGAATGTTGGAACCAACTAAATAGTTTTTAATTAATTATCTGTTTGAACGTGACATTGTATGTGCTAAATATTTCAAATTCATAAACAGTCAAAATTAAAGATTTTCGTTATGGTCTGACAAAAAATAAAGGAGGAGATATGAAATTGCAAAAGAAGAAAATTCGTCTATCTTAGATATTATTATTTTTCATTAATAAATGAGAAGAATGAAGAAATCTAGACACTTCAGATTGCTGTGCATGATGAAAATAAAATATCTGACATTAAATGATCGATTTATGATTAAAAGCATATGAGCAACAACCGTACCCATAATGATATTTGACCTACATTAAAATTTCTGCATAAGACATCTCGTCGCAGGATGTATTTTTGGTTTAGGCTGATAATTAAAGAAAATATCTCAAAACGAGGCGTTTTGTGCAGTTTTCATTAATAGAAAGAAATTTGAAGTCTTAAACAAATAGTGTCCGACAAAATTTATCAATATACACGAAGAGCTACTTGACCAAAATATAGCACATTCATTGAAGATCAACTTTGCCTGAGTGTCATTTATCTTATTTTTATAAATTTGTTGTGCGCTTTTCTGGATTTACCTTAATTATCTGATGATTATTACCTTTAGATCTTTCTTTCAGCTTCCTACAGTAGCTTCATTGTTATTGGAAATTTTCTTGTGTTTCAATTCTTTATTGATCTTTTTTCCATAAAAGAACATATTCTACTATTCGATATAGCTTTAGAACGAAATGCCATTGATATCGATTTATCTTTTTAAGAGGATAATTCTTTTGGTCACGTCAAGCAAAAAAATTTCCTTCATTAATAACCTCAGAATATTATTATTAAAATTATAAAAAAGGGGTTGTGAAGAGTTTTATATCAAAGTTAGAAGTGTAATTAAAGTCTTGAAGCATGTTTATAGCTATGTAGAAATCGGAGAAAAACCGCAATCAGGTTGACATTCCTTACGCAGATTTACGTAAAAATTAGTATTTTTTTTTAACCTTGATATGTAATTTTACAAGATAGGAAATAAGTTATCTACCTGGCACAATAACACATGATACATAGTTCAAATGACCCAATAGTAGGAGCTATAATCCCTTCGAACAGGTTAACTCTTGAATAATGGAATTTATAAAAAATCTTGAAAACACTGCCGAAATGGCATCATTTGTTTATAGCCAATTCTTTACCTATGAATATGCTTTAGATTTTTTTCCCATTTTTGTCATTAATACGAACCGCATCATCTGTATATATTGGCATAGGACAAAGGACAGACGTATTTGTCAATGAGATCATTAATATTATACATCTTTATCATGTGAGGTGCGCACATGATAATGTCTATATCATATTAGGGGTTTCTTGTTTGAATATGTACTCTCTGTAAGTTCAAGCGGAATAAATAGACTTATCAAAAGGTAAATTATCGAATGTACCATACAAACCGTTATATTGCTGTTTATTTATAAGATCTGAGAATGTATATTTCTGTTACCTAGCACTATAAGTTTGTTTTTTTCATTAGTTAGTTTTAAAATTGTCATGTCTAACCATAGTATCAACGCCATTTTTTTTTTATCTAATTACATAAATAATAAATGTCAGGATGACAAATAGTTCACGTTCTAATTGCATGGCATTATTTTTTCAGTAATAGGTTCCCCAAGATAAACAAGAACCTCTATGCCCATCCCCTTTAATTCTTGTATGACCCAAACAGAAAAATAAATGAATAAATTGCTTTCAAATCGTATTCAAATCTCTTTCAAATCGTAATTCTGCAATTTGTTAGTACCATTTGCTTGCGATTCATTAAAGAAATTATAAACAAATCAGAATTCGCCAAATTCCCAAAACTGATTTCTTTGTGATTTCTTTCAAATGTATGATTTGATAGCAATTTGTTTCTGTTTTTGTGTGATTTCTTTATGATTTGTTTACTTAGAATATCGTATGAAATGATTTCAAAAAGATTTGTTAACTTTATTCGCTAAAATTGTGTGATTTCGTTATGATTTGTTTACTTGGAATATCATAGGAAATGATTTGAAAATGATTTGTTAACTTTGTTAGCTATCATGGTGTGATTCATTGATGATTTGCTACAATGAAAACAATGTTATTGCATTCAGATTTTCTGGGTTTGTCTTTATCTCTGACTTCCGGTTGAGGTCAAATTCAAATTTCAAATACTGTTCTACATTAACTGAACAAAGAAGGTTGCAAGATGAAGAGTAAGATATACTATCAATGATGACAGTGGTAAGTATCTTAGTCATTAACTTATTGTTTCAGGATTTCAATTGTAAGTCAACTATTCAAACATGTCAAAGGTGTTAAACTTTTATATTCGGAAACTGTGCATTTCAATATCTCGTTATGTGTACTGTCTGGATAAATTTTCAAAAAAAAATGTGTAAAAGACATGTAAACAGAACGAGACGAGCAATTAAAGAGTAGCTTCCCGAGTCAGCAGACAATATGCACTGGCAAGTTTTATGTTTAAATTTTTCATGATGTTGACTGGTCAGGTATAGAGCTGTAGCAGATTTGGACCTAGACTAAGACCCATCGCCTACTAGTATTTGACATCCTTCTAGTAAACGTGGTTGCCCATGTTGTCAAATCTCGTTAGATTTAAATTCTGGAGAAGTGAGAGAAACTTTTCACAGAGGGAACAATTGCTCTCTCATGACAACCCGAAATAATAATCCCTTAACAATCAGAGGAGTAGCTAAGGTCAAATAAAGACAAGTGCACTTCAAAGTTTGGGGGTCTCAGGGGCAGAACAGATTTTTGATCCAGATGTAAATGATTTAATCTGTGAATCGATGATGATGTCAATTAATTGACGATTTGCATGTGATTTGCTTAATGTAGGAATATGATTTACTTCTGATTTGTTAAAGATTTGATAAAGATTTGTTTATAATTTCTTCATAATTTGAAAACAATTTGTTTGCGATTTGCTTGAGGTAGGAATATTTCATTCTGATTTGTTAAAGATTTGTTAACAATTTCTTTATAATTTCTTTACAATTTGAAACAAATTTGTTTATGATTTGCTTAAAGTAGGAAAGCAATATCCTCTGATTTGTTAATGATTTCAATACAATTTCTTGACAATTTGTTTATGATTTGCTTATGAATTGGAAGCAATTTGTTTGTGATTTGTTGTTGTGATTTGTTAGCTCATTTGCATGTGAAAGTTTATCACTTTCAAATCATAAAGAAATCATATGATTTGGTTATCATTTGTTACCATGATTTGTTCCTCACTTTTTTTTGTTTGGGGATCTTTATCTTGCTCCACTTGGATGGGCCATTATTAAATTTACGTCTACAAAGGCGTGTTCGTAAGGAAGTTTCTTTTTCGTCTGTCTCTTTGATTTTCTTGTAACCATTATGGTCATAAGGTAATTGATCATAAAGTTGAAAGATATTCACCCACATGTATAGCAGAGTGTAAATGGAAAGTGCCAATCTATAAAAATTCCAATTTCGTTGTTTTAAAAGAAAGAAAAATACAGTACGAAGTATTATTATGTAAAAAAATGGCATTGATCGAACACGTTTAAAAAACAAAGAATTATCTTCTCAAAACAAATGGCGTCTTTCTTTCCCACGAATTTGACAATAATGAGTTTTTACCAAGTGTACCTCTGCATAATAAGGAAAAATCAATAAGAGTAAGACATGCAAACCGCAAGATGTTTTAACAGGAATAAACATCGCCTTATATATACACGAGCTTACATTATAATCTTTGTTTTATTCATTAAGTATAGCAATAAAACTTTGTAAACAAGTTTGACTTTAAACTTACCAATGTTATTTCTCATCGTAGAATTAGATCTATATCCAGTGAAGTTTACATTCCACAGTACAGATAAGGCTAACTTACAAGGACAACCTGTAAAATTGGGCGACACTGGTTTTATTCATATTTTATCATCAATGCCAAGAAAATCTTTCTGGGACCAGGGAATTTCACAGTTAATGAGTGTAGAAAATATGGGTAAAGTAGGAATCAAAGAAATAGGACCAGGAGCACATCAACCTATTTCAACAGGTATAATACTGATATTGCATTCCTCATTCGATAAACTTCTTGCACGTATTTTATCATCTTTTAAAAAAATCCAATCCCAGGAATTTTACGAAAAAACTGTATTTTGAAAAAATTTCATTGGTCAAACATTTTTGGTGGAATTTTTAAGTCAGAAATAGCATATCATTTTTTTTTCAATTTTACATGATCAGTCACAAGCAAAATTATGTTGGGAATCGTAAGATCCGATAATTTTTTTCGCTTAAGGACAAGCTTATTTATTGTAGCCGATCAGGTCATTGGGTATAATGATATTGCACAGAATAAAAGAAACAGATATGGAAAGTATTCAAATTGAAACAGAAGAGATTATCGCATTTTCGTATAAAAAAACAGTAGACCATATCCTTTCATCGCATTTTAAGTAAGAATTGACATTGTGAACTTCAATTGCTTCTAGCAAAATGTAATTCTATATTAAATAGCACCAAATGGAAATCCCAAAGTCTAACAGTTTAAAGCCAAAGATGAATAAGAACCGAAGAGCCAAATGGCCACAAGGAACCTAACATTAATAGCCAAATCTATCTAAAGGAAATTTGCCATGGGAGTTAAAACCGTTGTTCGTTCCTTTTTTCTTTGAATAAGTTCTTAATTTATGATCTAACAATTTATGAAAGGTAATGTTATAAACCATGTCAGTATCGAAACACTGACTACTGAGCAGATGACACCCACGGGCTCTCATAGTCTACCAGCACCAGTATGGATCTAGTGCTATAAAAACAAAAATAACACTTTATTAATTTAATGCGTCCGAAGTGCTTTTCTGGATTTATCTTCATCCGGATCGCTCGAAGCAAAATACTTAAAAGCCATGGATGTTAAAATACAGAAACACACAAAGAGCTGTGTTACCAAGATATCCCATTTGAATAATACATTTTACAGCTCGTACAAAACGTGATTTTCCTAAAATTCCACAGAGGCAAAGTCAAAGTGTAATTATTTGCTTAATGTATGATTTTTGATTGTGTAATGGAAAAAAAATAAACTTAACTAAATCGTCTTTGGTGCAAAAGTCAACTGTGATGTGTGTCCAATTTTCAATAATTTGCAAAAAGATATATTTTATATGTTGTATGCTGTACTCGATGACGAAGTTTATTCCGGAAAATCAAATTAAAGTGATCTGTATGTGTATTCACAATTATGTTGATTAAATTTGTAATATAATCATAAGATGTGTAATTACATAAGGAATAAGGTTGTATTGTACAAAATATTTGATATATAAACACAAAAGGGATTCTAAGTTAAAAAGAAACATCAAGGATACCACGCGTATAACTTTGTACGTCAAAAGCGTTTCGTCCACAAAGGACTCATCATGCATGACGCTCGAATGAAAAAAACTTAAAGGCCAAGCAAGTACGAAGTTGAAGAGCATTGATGACCGTTTTGTAAATTGTTATAGCAAAAAAGCAATTAAGAAATGTTTAAATGGTAAAAAATAATATTAACAGATAAAACAGACAACTACCTTGAAAGTGTCTCTCCGACACTATATTTGTGGTTCGACAACACTGCATGACTTCGATCGCCCATTTTAATGTCTGCAGAAATTGATGCAGAGTATATTTCTTTATTCTAATGTTTTATTCTATTTCAGTTTGCAACACATTGATATATCCAAGCACCTCTGACTTCACTGATCGTTACGATTTTTCTGATTATATCGTAATTTCTTTTGATGTCAACGTCATGGTCAGCTATGTAGAGGTTGAGGTAGAACATGGGTATGACTTTAACAAATTCAACTTTACATTAGCGTATGTCAACGAAGAAAATGAGGCATTCACAGATGTATCTAATCTTAAAAGAACAGTAAGGAACAATACACTGAATCTTACTTTGCCATCTTCAATGTACACTACGGCTATTAAATTATATTCAATTCATATTGAAGACAACTCAAATATAACACGAGTTGTCAAAATGGTAGCAGTGATTGGTTGTACCCGCGCAATTATAGACTCGAACACTGGTATAACTAATACCAACAACCAGGAATGGAAGCTTAAACTGAGCGAGAATCAGATACAGACATCTCCATATCTCAAAGTCATTCCGAAGATGAGCAACAATATAAATCGGGAAGAATTGTTTAACCTCTTAGAAAAACCCGTTTCTGGTTCTTTTTCTTTAACGATTCCTCTAGCAGTAAGTCAGCGCGACTGTAACTTTACTGCTGAAGCTTTACATAATTTTTTAGAACAAGCCAGCACTGTAGCAGAACTAAAATTTGAAAATGTAAAACTAACAAGAACATCTGACAATAGTGGAGAAGAACTCGTTATTTCGATGGATTTGACAGGCCTCAACTTAATTGAATATAACCGAGGATATATGTCGTTAAACGACGCAGTAAAGTTAGCAATCAAACGCATGACTTGTCCAACCAATACTGATCAAAAGGAGTCACCACAAAGCCAACTATCCCAAGGAACAAGTCAATCATCTGCATCGTCCACTGGAATCATTGCTGGTTTTTCTATTATCGGTTTACTGCTGCTTGTTGTCTTGATGTTTTTAATTTGCAAGACGTACAAAGAATCAAGCCATACGAAAGGTAAATGTTTTCATCTTTTCAATATAAAAGCTATATGCATATCTTTATACTTACATATGTTACATGTTTTTCAAATCGATGGTTTAATAAAAAAAAAAAAACTATATATGCATAAACGAAATGATTTCATCACAAATATCCACTTGAATATTTTCATGTTTTATATCTCTAAAAAGAATTAAGTCTTATTCGATATTTTATTTTATCTCTGTTCTATTCTTCTGCTTTCTATTTTATAATATCTCTTGGTCGAGTTAACAGTAAAGCTAATGTATTCATGGAACAATATTTCAATAAACGTATTATTTAAGATTATTCAATAAAAGGCTTAATTATCCAGAGTGTGCTAAAATTTGGAAAACTTTCATTACTATTCATATATTCTACGGCAATGACCTACACTGAAATTATTAACCATTTTCATTTAATACAAATATTCAAATATAAATATTGGAAAAAGTGAAATAACAATAATATCGAACTCCAAGGAAAATTCAAATCGGAAAGTTCCTTATCAAATGGCAAAATCAAAAGCTCAAACACATCAAACGAATGGAAAACAACTGTCATATTCCTGACTTGGTACAGGCATTTCCTTATGTGGAAAATGGTGGATTAAACCTGGTTTTAACTTTCAGGAATCAAAGGACAATTCAGAGCACCACCAAATGTCAACAAAGGCTACAACGAGTATATCATGGAAAATGCTGGCAATGAGTGAATCCGGTATATGAATGAAAAAGATTAACAGGCGATAAACTATTTAATACATTATATTTGTATACTCAAACAAAATAGACTTTTTGTATATATGTATATAAAGTAATCTCTCTCTTTCTGTGAAACACATATTTATATTGAAATATTTAGAATAGTGCCACATAAATAAATAAATGAACAATATTGCATAAACAATAACTTCATTGATCATGATCCCCATCTATATTACTTAGGTATCAAAGCTTTGCTCGTGGTCATTCGTTGCAGCCTTTTCAATTCTTAAACATACACAATTGGGTATTGAGGACTAAACAAAGGTTCAGATGAAGTTTGTGCATACAAGATTCCTTAACCCTGTTATAGATTTGACAGAGTGGATGTTTTGTTTTATCAAAAACTATATATGAGAAGCACAATGTAATGTCATTATGTAGACAAAATAAACAATAATTCATAACGTGTTGTTTTAATTTTTTACAGCACTGGGGCGATACCTCTGATGGTGGACTTTCAGTCCCCGGTGGTATTATCAGCTCAGTAGTCAGTACTGACATGATTTATAAAAAACCTTTCTAAAGTTATCCGTTGATAAATTTTGAAATTATAAAGAAACTAAGGTTTTAACTCCCTCAGGCAAAGTTGACCTTAGATGGATTTGGCTATTTTTTATTCCCTTTTTGGTAATATAGCTCTTCAACCGTTTCGGTTCTTGTACATCCTTGGCTTTCAAACATTCGGCTTTGAGCGTTCCTGATGAAGTTAAATCCAGAAAAGCACTTACGAAGCATGAAATTTATCACATGTTGCTTTGATTGTTTACGGCACTGGGTCGATACCTCTGCTGGTGAACTATCAGCCCCCGAGGGTATCATCAGCTCACTAGTCAGTACTTAGGTAGCGACATGATTTATAACAAACCTTTCTAAAATTATCCGTTGATACATTTTGAAATTATAAAGAAACCAAGGTTTCTATTCCCTCAGGCAAGGCTGACCTTAGATGGATTTGGCTATTTTTTATGCCCTTTTTGGTAATATAGCTCTTCAACAGTTTCCGTGGCTTTCAAATTGAAATTTATAACGTATTGTTTTCAATTTTTCAATATCGGAAGTTCATTTAGGTTAGAATAGCACTTTCGAATAAATTCATTAAGGCAAATTCAAAGAAACTGAAGTGTATACAGAAATAAGTTTGATCTGTATCACAGTAGAAGAAAATGTGTAGTATTTGGAAATTTCATGATCGAGTAAATTCTAAGATTTACTGTAAAAAGGACCCTAAATAATGTATATCTTACTGATGCACAAAATTCAAGGGTGTTAGAATAAAAAAAATAATAAATGGGATAATACGAGACTGAAACAACTGAAAATAGACAAGAAGTGTCGCACAACTAAAAATGACAAAGAAAAAGCAATGTACCTAAACAACACTGAAATTTTTGCATATTGAACAAAACGACCGAGAGAGATGTCATATGATCTAAGTATGCATACAGCATCCATCACATTGCTCAGTTATCACAGCTAGTAATAATTTATATCCTATTAAACAAGAGGAAGTGCGTTTGTATCCACTCTATAATGGCCCGGTACAGCTTGAGGGCTGACATATACTTTGCTGTGGACCAATTCAGTGTGTCTGAAGCTTTGACGTTGTTTCTGCATGGTATAATACTTATAGCAGATCTTTGAATTTTGAATTTACAATGAAATGTATACATCTTACAACGAGGATCCAGGCACATTTCTTTGTGGGGAAAAGTAGAATAACAAAAATACCGAACTCCAAGGGAAATTCAAAAACGAATAGTCCTTTATAAAAATGGCAAAATCAAAAGCTCAAACACATCAAACGAATGAAAAACAACTGTCATATTCCTGACTTGGTTCAGGCATTTCCTTTTGTAAAAAAATGGTGGATTAAACCTGGTTTTATAGCTAGCTAATCCTCTCACTTGTATGACATTATAAAATCTAAAAAGAGGGGTCTCTCTAGCTTTAAAATAACCTTTTGTCAAAGTTTCTTTGATCCCTGAATAGTTTAATCATATAACGTTTGGAATCTTTGATTATTGTGTGAATAAGAGGTTTAATAAGATAACCTGGTGTGAAGGGATAACAATAGCGTAAACAAAGTTTTCGGCTTCATAATATGCAAGTGAAACTAGACTGTCACTGCAGATGCTACCGTTGTAACCTTAGGGCACTTCTATTTTATTACACCTCAAACCAAAGTAAGAAACCTCCATTTATTCGTTTTGAAGATAGCTTTATTGTTGGTCGTCACCAGAAAAAATACACTTCCAATAAACTAGTGTTACAATTATAAATCATATACATGCATAGGAATGATTTCATTATAACTTTCTATAGGTTATTTACGTTGAATTGAGGTAGCACAATACAAAGATTTTTTCACCCCCAATCAGACAACTTTAAACTGTTGTATTTTCTTTCATTCAGCTCTAAAATTCATAAATGAGGAACCAAAAGAAAGAAGACAGATTAATCAGTCAATTGATGATAATTTCATTATTACATGATTATTATATAATTGAATATTATGTATTTAGTTGCTAGATTCGGATGTCCACATTTCAATGAAATTAGCTTCTTTTTTATTCATAGCTTCCGAAATTTTTGATAGATTTTGTGCAACACAGTTTGACCTCCAAAACCGTGTTCCAGATTTTTCCTATTGTATTTCATTCTCTCATAACCCTTCAATTAAGTTTGCAACCTTATTTCATAAGAATCACTCAATTTAATTGGGTATAAAATTTGTTCTATTGATGGTTTTGGCAATCTGAGACACAGTTTTGAAGATAAATGGTCAAGTAACAACATGTGGTAAAATCAGGTATATAGGGGCACCCGTCTAGGAGCTAATTTCATTTAAAACTACATTTTCATTTCAAAAAATGTATGTGTCACAATTGAATAAATAAGGATTTTCCTATTTGAACCTCATTAACTTCAATATCATTCACACATGTACCATGGGGACACTTCAGGATTGGCTCTTAATCATAAATCAATTAGGTTTTGACCAGTAAGAAAGCAGTCCATTTCATCAATTCTAAATATATAAAGAAAATGCACACTCATGCACCAAAAACCAGATCTGGCGGGAGAAGTTATATCATTATTGACCTTTCTGTAAGTCAGTTGCCTCTGATATGGTCAAACTCCGCCCACTTGGATAAACATCAACCATTAATGGTCTCAGAAGTTTAATTACACATTGCATTTGCTTTTTTCAATATGGTTTTTTTATTCAATCAGTACATGAAACAATAGATTTTGTTTTTAACATTTTCACAAAATGTAAGTTGTGCATGTGAACATAAAATCCTCAGTTGGTCAGTCCAGAGAATTATTATGGGGGATTTCTAGAATTATAAGTCTATACAATGAAATTATGGTGTTTTACACAAAGAAGAATCTTCTTATTTTTGTATTTTGAAAATAAAATATTTAATTTGTGTTTTCTTTTAAAAAGAATTCATATTTACACATTCTCCTCAAGAAAATCTGATATAACCATCAGCATTAACATCAGCAACATTAATTGTTGTACAATTATATTTGTTTAATATCTGTACATTTATATTTGATTCCCTCTATAGCTCCAATTTTTTTTTCTCCTGGCAGCTCCAATATAAAAAAGTATTTTTATTTGGATTTCATTATCTTCTTTTTTTCTATAAACCCCTAATTCAACCTCTTTTCTATGACTGTTATTTTTATAGCTGGTCAGTGGTCATAAAGCTATCAAATGATTCTATCGATTAACCACAAAGTACTGCCCACATGTTCTTATTTGTATCAGTCAGACTCGTGCATTTGTTTATAAAACTAATTAGCATCAAAACTCGTTAACAGTGCAAGATATGGAAAATTATTTTTCTTCTGTGGTTTTGTAATATTAAGAAGTAACAAATACAGCTGAAAATAAAAATTTGATAAAATTTAGTTTCTTTTGTATTGTGCTACCTTAAGGAACTGTACACTCATTGAAGCATTAATAGTATATGAAATATTATCATGCAGTATTGTAATTGTTTTTATAAATTTAAAATTGCAATTTTAAGAAAGATCACTCTCTTGCATTTTACTACTTAACAAACAACCAATTTTTATACCAGCTGGGCAGAGCAATTTATAGTAGAAGTATGGAAATCTTTGAAAACTTTGATCTGATTGAAACCAGTTTTACATGTATATTGAGCTATCTGTGAGAGTAAACTCATCATAGATACCAGAATTAAAATCATGTATGCCAGATGCGCGTTATGTCTACAAAAGACTCATCAGTGACGCTCGAGTCAATAAGATAAAAAGGCCAAATAGTGTGCAAAATTGAAGAGCATAGAGAACCCAAAAATGTGAAAGGTTTTGCCAAAAAACAGCTAAGGTAATCTATTTCTGGGGTAGAAAATCATTGTATTCAGATCACAGGAAGAAAGAATAATTTTGAATTAGTCAGTATATCACAGCTGTAGCCTTGCTGCTGAAAGATGAAAGAAGTTTCCCCTAGTTTTAACATATCCTTTTTCAACGTCTTAATTTTTATTTACGACATTACCATCATACCACATGAGGAGTTAGATGAGAAATGCGGTCTATTATTTGTTTTACGAGAAATGCTATACTAGTATTTAAAGATAAGCCGTTGATGACAACTTGATATGATTAAAAGACGTCAAAATTTTATAGTGTCTGTAACCCTCTAAAGGCTACTTTTATTTTAAAAATTGTATGTTAATGCAAGCTTCAGTCATTAAAGTGAGCTTCATTAAAACACATTACACGTCATAGGATTCAGTAACAGGAACATCATCACCTGAACTAGTCCTTTAAGGGCTCATCTGGCATTTTAGCATTAAATTGAAACGATGCAACAAGATTACTTGTTTTAAATGGAAACAGAGTCAAGTTTGCCCTGCTGGACAAACTTTCTGTTTATTCATTACTGTTTTAACAAAATACAAAATTGTGGAAAGGGTTAAAACTTTACATTAAGGACAAAAATCCTGTAAGGATTTGACTGACTTATTTTGTTGATCAATGAGTCAAAAGGTCGTAAGTGAACTGAAACGCAAGTCCCAATGCCAGCCATATGGAACTGAGAACAGAATAAGGCTGAATAAAAGCTAGTCACGATAGCTAAATTGATGACTTAGATCACCAAATATATAATAATAATTCAGACTCATTTGTTAACCTTTGTCTCGCACAAAATGAGCCAATAAACGATTGTGACAACACTTTTAATCACTCCTCTGATTCGGAAAATTTAGACACCAGCCGTTCAGCCCTCTGAAAAGAGAGGCTGCAGATAACAATCGCTTATTCAAACTAATAAGTCGATAACAAACTGATAACTCCATAGCAAAAAACGAAAAAACGACCAAAAGACAAACAACTGTATACAAAAAAAAAAAACAATAGTACAATTCCAAATTTTGGTCACAGTGGAGCTAAAATATTTCACAGCAAATAACCTTCAAGCTAAATGTGTAAAAGAATAGACCATTTTCATAATACCTACTTTTGACTCTGGATTATATAATTTTTTGACAGGTTACCTACTTTGTGGTAGGACATCCTGGTGCTTGGTCTGGTTAGAGAACAAAAAGAAGTAAAATCAAATATATAATCGGTGCAATTTATGGGGAAAGTTTACTGTTTTCGGATGATTTTGTTTTGTATAGAAAACTTATATCAATTAATTTTCCCTCAAAATTGTACCCATTGAAAGCTTTATTTTACTTCTTTACGCTGCTCTTACTTGACTGAGTACCAGGATGTCCTACCACAGAGAAGGCAACCTGTCAAAAAATTATAAACTCTTGGAGTCCAAATTTGGAAATATGAAAATAGTCTATTTCATATTCGGAAATATGAAAAATTGTCAAAATTCGGAAATTTGAAATATTAAATGAATAACACAGGAAGATGTGAAGATAAATGATAAAACAGCTAAATTTTAACTCCTTACTAAATTTACAAAGCCAAACATGAAAAGAAGCAGGTGAGGAGAACTAAAACAATCTTCTCTGGGACCGTTCAATTTCAAATTTGTTTACATTAGAAAAGAAAAATGGTGTTAACACTAACCATTTCCTGTAATTACTTACTTTTTGCAGGAAAAGAGATTTCATATACAACTTCATTACACTGACAAATATGCATGACAATAAATTATATGCAATAACTCATTATCTTATCTTACTCCATAGTAAAAAATTATAAATAAACACACCTAGAAATAAATCCTGTGTTACAGAAATAACTATTTTGTTATGATAACTCTTCCACAAAACGTGGAGCTACCAGGTCGGCAGAAACATATCAATGCAGCTGAATTCTACTGAAATTGTTTGAGAAAAATCTAATGCGTACATATTGCTAAATGATTCATTTTTTAAAGTATAATAAGAAAAATTGTATATCTGCTTCATATTTATAAACATATTTGCCTACAATAGGAATAGTTGCCATTTTAGTCCATTTTTCTAGAAATTTGTCACCATTTTCGACCTTTTTGCTTGATTTTATATGTTGTGCAACCCCTCGCCCATTGAAATATTGGTTGTCAAGTCAAAAATATGATATTTAAAGAATATTTCAACAAGAATATTTGTGGATAAGGGTTGGAGCCACTGTTACCTTTTCAAAAAACTGTCATAAATTTTGCCAAATTATCTTTTTAACTGAAACAATTTGACATTTTAACATTTTAATAACTTTATTGCAGTTGAAAATTTACCAGATATTTATATGCAAAAATTATGAGTTAGTGAATCAAGTCCTTTCATCAGAGGAACATGCATTGTCATCAACCCAAACTTTGAAAGAAAATTGTCGTCTAAAAAAATGGAAGATCTAACTTTTTACCCTATTTAGATGACTGATCCCTTAACCAGAACCAGAACCTTAACCTTTCTCTATATTGAACCTCTAATGTCAATTAATAATAATAATCTTAAAATGGTTTGTTTTACGAACAAAATTACTATGATAGTATTTTGTCAAGAGAGTTCATGGATAACATTATTATAGTCAGTAAAATTCAACATATTCCATATCATCTTAATTTAGTCACGGCTGCTTGTATTGTTTTCTTCAGAAATGACTTATGTGACATCACCATTTGTGTGAGAATCTCTTTATGGTCTTTGTCCATCTGAAATGTACAATTACACAGGTGTAAAATCACTCACAAATGGAGATACAATTTGGAAATCAATAATAGAATAATGACTTTCATTTCACACTAAACCAATTAGAACAAGCATTCTGAAGGTATTAAATTTGCAATACAATGTGCACCACTGGCAGGAAAAGAAGATGAGTTTACAGTGATTTTACACTTGTATTGGACAAACATTCTATAGAGAAGGATGTTTGATGAAATTTTAATGCATATTGGCTTTGAGCTATTACTGGTGATGTAGTAGGTCATATTCATCTTATCATTTATCAGTTCACAATATTTACTTAAAAGATGCTGATCTTTTCAACAACTGCTAGTCAAACCTAACCTCTGAGGAATCAAAAAATTTTTCTTTTTGAAAACTGATATTTCCTAACAATTTTCAATGTTTCAAGGCAAAAACGTCCTCAAAATTTAAACAGCCTTTTGTTAAAATATTTGACATAGCTCTTGCCACAATATAACCTTTTTGCGCTGATGCACCGTAAGTAAACATCATTCACTCAATTAATCAATTCTAACAAATTTTTGGCACAAGTTCCAAGGAAGCTGTTTTCAACATTAAAATACTTTCAAATGGCTTAGAAACATTAAGAATCATTTGGTATAACAGTCTTATTTAGTGCAAACAAAATATTAAATTGATAATTAAAGCTTTAAAAGATATACCTGTACACCATATTTGTTGACCAATGCCATGATTAATTTTCCAAACTTTAAATTTTTCTCAAGCTTACATCCATATATTTTAAAAGATTCCAATACTGTCAAAAGTAAGCTATCATTGATGTCTATCTGAAATTAAGGAAAAATTAAACATATTAACTCATGACAGTCCAATTCCAATTTAAAAGATAAAACTGTTAACAATTAATATAAATGGAAATGTTCTTGAAAAACTTTGTAACAATACAAAACCAATAATGTTCTTGTACCAACTTCGGTAATCTCACCAATAAGGTGTTGTTGACTGTTTTATACCTCATTTCAAATGATGAATGTGTTGTTGATAATTTGTATATTTTGCTGTTAAATTAAATATATCTGGCAGCCAAATATTCATACGAAACAAAAATTGTGTCAATGCTTACTAATTAATATACGATTTCAAGAAGAGTTGATACAGTTTAAGATGAGATAACTGTTAACAGGATAATAAATTGGCATGTCAGTTAAGCTTTGAAATCAAACAAAACTGCTAAGTGCTGACTTGTAATTTTTTTCCACTAATGCATATTGGAAAAAATAGAGATTATAAATAAAATCTATTTTGTTATATTATTGCTTAAAATACCACTTTGAGAAAATATAAAAATTATCATTGAATTCAACAAAATAACTTAAATGGTAAACAATGATTTATATTTTGAATTTTTCAAGACCTCATCGTGATTTACAATATATCTCAAAATCACAATACAAAGTGAAAATCTATCACACACCTAAATATGGCAAGTTTTGAAGTTGTATGCGACAGAAAATTCTCTTTAGGACTTGGATTCATATTAGAATTGATGTGAAACTAGATCAGGTGAACATGCATCTGAAAATTGAACAAGAGGCTCCCAGAGTGACAGCAAACTGGATTTTTTAACATTTATTTGTGTCCTGGCATTTTTCAATATCACAAGAACCACAACTCCTGAACGGTAAAAGTAACATAATAAAATTTGAAAATCTTTGGTTGAACAGTCCATGAGTTAAAACACTGACACTACTGGAAACACCATTTTTCAATCTTTCAAGAACCACAACTCCTGAACGGTGATAGTGAAAATCGTCAATATCAAAATTGACCTCCATTTTGTCATCAGTAACAACATATTCAAATTTGAAAAGCTTTGGTTGACCACAAGGACCACAACTCCTGAACGGTAAAAGTAACATATTAAAATTTGAAAATCTATGGTTGAACAGTCCATGAGTTAAAACACGGACACGACTGGAAACACCATTTTTCAATCTTTCAAGAACCATAACTCTTGAACGTTGAAATTGAAAATATTTATATTTAGTTTCTGTTTCTATTATAGAATTAGTCACATATTGTTTTAAAGAGCATTAACTCCTATAGGGCATCAATTGATGAATTCAGTCAATTGTCAATACTTTTGTAGATTTTGTAGTGCTGATTTTTTTCTCTTTTGGTCAATTTTTATTATACACTAGACATACGGAGGTATAACAGCTGATTGACTAAAGTAATCCTGTGTAGCCTCTTGTGAGATTATCACAAAATTTATCTTTGAATGATTTGTATATGGACAAATACTTGTCAGAAAAGTTCAGAGAGTCTTTGTAGAAGTAAAAAAATAAAATAAAACTGACTAAATAATAACTACCTTGCCTTCAAACAAAGCATGTAAAACAGAAATGTGATTATCTGTAATATCTATAGACTTTTTCAACATCTGCCTGAAAAAAAGTACATAATTCATAATTTCAGATTAAAATTTATAGTCCACTATTAAATTTTTCAAGGGTTTATCAGCCTGAAAGACATTCCTGTTATTTTGAACATTACATAAAATCAAGGCTAGAAGTTTCATTATTTAATATTTCCAAGCAGAAATTTAAAAAAAATTAAAATGAAAAATACGTAATACAGAGATATGCTTGCAGTAAGATTAAAAAAAAAAATCTGTTGTACTGTATCACACAATAGGCAAAGAGAATGTATATAGGGGTGAATATCACTTCCATAGTTCAAAGGACTATCAGTTCTTATTAACTTTTAACGTGTAGAAAGGACACAAAAATAAACATAAATGCACAACAACTAATAGGACTCTGGAAGGCTAAACAAGTTCTATGGAAATGAAATTAGCTGAACAAAATACACAGCATATCAATTAATAATTGACTTGGCATTATTGGTTTCTTAAAGGAGCATTCCATTCTTTATTAAAATTTTAAAGAGTTACAATAAAACTGTTTTAACAACCAAGAAATATTATGATCTGCTTTCAATTATCTACTGGTTGTCATGGTTGTGACATTGACCTACCACACTTGTTCTTCAGTCCAAGATAAATGTTCAAAATGGAAGGCATTACAAGGCATTGGAGATCTGACTATGACCTCAGCAAACAATTTTTTGCCTGAATATATATAACCCAATAAAAATTCATTTATCTCCTCTCCGTTTAGTCTGTTGTTGTATTTATGAGAATATACTGCATATTATAACAAACTGTCTCTTTGTTACAGTTTTTGTACTAAACACCAATTAGAGGCATCTGGAAAAGGGAGCTAGGTTGTAAACTTATCTGACTTTTCAGACATACTGATGAATCATGCTTTACCTTGTAATCATTCTTAACTTGATTTTTTTTCTGGTAAAGAGGAGATAATTTGAATGTAAAATTTACACTAGATTTCAAGATGTCATTTTGGTATTTTCATTGTTTGCATTGTTGTCTCATTTTATAGACATACCCAACTAAAAGCTATATGCAATGAATACTTGAATTTAAATGGTGAACAAGATCAAGATCAACAGCATATTTTGACCATTTATGATATTGGATACCATCAACTAATAGAGGAATTAGACAAGCACTTTAGTGGAGATACTTTAAAAAGGAGTTGTTTAAAATGTTTTTAATGTATATAGGTGTATAAAGTGTAAAAGGGCCATTACACTTGTGAATGTCACAAAAATCAAGAAATGCAAAATAACCTTTTCAACTACATAAATGAGATTAAAACCCTGAACAAGATAACAAGAGCTTAAGAGGAATAAATTTCCAAACATCAATACAAACAAATGGTAGTTATCTATGTTTCTATCTATTGCAAACATGAAAAAGGACAAAAATCAGTTTCAGTCATCAAAACAGGTCCTCAATTTAATACTTACTCCAGAAAATATAACTTGTCTGTATTATGAAATATTTCCTTACATACTTTAATTATGAGGTCAGCTTGATATGTTCCTGTTGAGAAATATTGAATGGTCATTATCATAACAAAGTTCCGTATTCTTGCATTTATTCATGTATTGCATTGTAAACTACCACAGATATTAGGTCTAGCTGAAAAATGAATTCATAATCTGACCAAAAAACTACACTGACGTACATCAATGAACCATAATAATGGGGTCTTGCTCAGGTGACCTGTCAGACAGACAAGTACATTACACTAACTTTTTTAACCAATTACAGCTACCCTATAACAAATGATGAAGAATTTACAGTATACAGGTGACCTGTCAGACAGACAAGTACATTACACTAACTTTTTTAACCAATTACAGCTACCCTATAACAAATGATGATGAATTTACAGTATACAAGATGGAAAATACAGACTATAAAGTTTTATGTTTTATATAAAAATTTATGCTAGCACCGCTGGTGTCTAAACATCATGCAAATTGAAGACAAATTAACAAATTAAAATCAGCCTATATCAGAAGTTCAAATTTGTGCTAGAGTACATTTGTTTAGCAGATCCTATTTGTGATGTGTCTTCTGCTATTTGATTTTAGACTGAAAACACTAATTATTGTAATAACTGTTGTTCATTTCTCAGAGGGTTGATTAATTGGTAATATATTTTAAAATCTATTTGAATCACACATGTAATAATATCAATTTGCAGGAAATTTACCAAAGTGACTGTTTCCAATAGCAGGAACAAAGACTCCTTCAATAAGAGGTTTAGAAAATGATTCTGCCACCATTGCAACTACTCCTGTCAATATTCTTGATGCACTTTGGTTCATTTCTATAACCTTAAAAAAAACAAGGATTAGAAAATGTAATTACCTCTGCCACATCCTTTACTTTTCCTACCTCTGCCACATCCTTTACTTTTCCAGATCTATCTGTTTTTTTTGGGGCAATAGAAGTCAGAATAGAAACTTTTCAATTTCAAATTCTTACATGAAAACAATTTTAAAAATAGAAGTTTTCAAACTATGATGTAAGTTAAGTTATCTTAAATAAAAGGAGGAGGTGTAATAAAAAGTAATAATTGCCAAAATAATAGTTTTCTACAATCATGTCAATTTGTGATTTTCTTAAGAAATATGAATAGGCAAATACTAAAATGTCATTTGTTATGTCACTGTGATGTCATTACATGTAAAAAAAGACATATTTCAAACAAAATGTCCCTTTTTAACATAGTTGTTGGTACAACTTTATATTTGTAACAGCATTACCAAACAAAAGACATTTTATCCACATCTTTAAGGGTGATAATATTGCTTATTTCTAAATGTAAATGAAAAGACCTCAAAATGAGGCCATTTTGAGAGTTTTTCCAATTTTTAGGTTAATGCAAGAAGTTTTAAAGTCTTAAGCAAATAGGTATGACAAAAAAGCAATATATAAATACATTGTACTGATATCTGATGGACTAATGTCCTCTGTTAACCCATCTCAAAGATGATTATTTACACTTTCAGAAAAAGTAAATAACAATATAAAACTTGTGCCATCAGATGCTACCAAATTATCTTTTATTAAAGAAAAGCAGATGGAAAATCCAATTTCATGGAGCCTCAACTATATTATTAATACTTTGATAAACAAAAAAAACATAATACAGAGCCCACTGTACTAACATACATTTACTGTTGTTTCTGCAGTCTTCATTGACTATAAATATTGTGCGTCAATCATTACACTTGGCATTATCAAGATTTTGAAATAATAATTCTTTATTTTTTCATATTATATGAATGATTTGTTTTTAATGAGCACATATTTAAATCAGTGTTCTATATGGCCAATGAAGAACAAAATTTGTGAAAATCAACCATAAAAGTGATACACCAAATGTTTTAAATGGTTTGCAATACTCAATTGTAAAACACAAATACTTCTTTAATAAGATTTTGGGTAACTCAGAGTCTGCCATATTTAATTTGTTGAACCTGTATATCACTGAAGACTGAATAGTGACCTCTAAATAATCTATTTTAATTCACTTATGTTATTGAGGTGCTCCTCAATGAAATTTTCTTTTGTCTATATTGAAAACAAATCTTGTAAAGGGAATAAAGCTTAATACCAATGTGGATACTTATGCCCTGTTAACATTCACTCTTTAAAGATACCTTTTGTAGTAATAAAGCTGACAACATTACTGTACAGTTACTATGGGAAATCATGCTATCCATCTGTTGTACCTGTTTACAAGCTGTTGCCATGGCAGTCTCAGATATGCTAGCAATGCAGACATCTTTGCACATCGTTTCTACCTGTAAAAATAAATTAATTGCATTGTAGTTTCCAAAATAGTAGAGTTTAAAATCAGCATGCTAACAGTTTCTATCATTCACTTTCTCAGATTGACCTAATTTTTTGTGTCAATTGACCTAATGACCTTTACAAAACAATCACTTTTAGTCAATGACATAAAATATATTATTGTGATGCTAACAAATTACTGGAAAAAATTTTATATTCTACAATGGCAGACAAACTTGAGATCGATTAATAGCCTTTGATAGGATTTTTGCAAATTTACAATATCACTTATTAATGTCATGTAGCAGATTTGAAAAATTCACTAGCTAGCAATTTGGCATTTTTCAGTTTTGGAACGAATATTATGCAGTTGGGATACTGTGGATTCATTAATTTTTGTTGGTACCTATTTTCATGGATTGAGGAACAATTGTATTTTTGTGGATGTTTTGCAAAATTTTCCTTACAATCCTATAGATATTTTATACTTGACTGAACATTCAAATTTGTGGTTTACCAATACCCTCCAAATCCACTAATGTTGGTATCCTAGGAATAATAATTAATCCACAGTAATGACTTATGTGGTAGTGAATACAAAGAATATTATTCCTAGACCAAAGGTTGATGCTGATATAAAAGAAGGTTAAGCTTGATATAATTTTCCCTCTGCCAAACAGCTTTTTTTTCAGTATAGAGCTCTGCTCTGTATATATTGTTCATTGAATCTTACCACACTTGTATTTGAGGTCAAAATTATGTCCATCTCATCTGGAATCTCAGTCTCCTCTCCACTTTCCCATTTATCTTTCAACATTTTCATCTTTTCCTGAAAATAAATAATATCTTATTTCTGTAAACATTCACGCTAAAATTATCAACCAGGTATTTGATTTATTGATAATTAATATTTGATGTTATACTTACAATATTTTGTGCATGTCATTATATCAGTATCATTGTTTGGAAAGTTATTTCATTTGTCATTATATCAGTATCATTGTTTGGAAAGTTATTTCATTTGTCATTATATCAGTATCATTGTTTGGAAAGTTATTTCATTTGTCATTATATCAGTATCATTGTTTGGAAAGTTATTTCATTTGTCATTATATCTGTATCATTGTCTGGAAAGTTATTTCATTTGTCATTATATCTGTATCATTGTCTGGAAAGTTAATTCATGTGTCATTATATCTGTATCATTGTCTGGAAAGTTATTTCATGTGTCATTATATCTGTATCATTGTCTGGAAAGTTATTTCATTTGTCATTATATCTGTATCATTGTCTGGAAAGTTATTTCATTTGTCATTATATCTGTATCATTGTCTGGAAAGTTATTTCATTTGTCATTATATCTGTGTCATTGTCTGGAAAGTTATTTCATTTGTCATTATATCTGTATCATTGACTGGAAAGTTATTTCATTTGTTATTATATCTGTGTCATTGTCTGGAAAGTTATTTCATTTGTCATTATATCTGTGTCATTGTCTGGCAAGTTATTTCATTTGTCATTATATCTGTGTCATTGTCTGGAAAGTTATTTCATTTTGATGTACCAAAATAAAAAGAATAAGAAAGTGTTTTGCTGTTTATGAGACAACTATATATCAATGGGCAAAAAATAAGGAAATTTAAGACATAAGATGGTACAATTTCCATCTTTTTTTTTACCTATTGCATTTCAACAAAAATTGTGAGGTGTGAAACCTAAAATCCAATGTAGTTTGGTAAATCAAAATGTCATTTCATCTGAATAATGGGTTCAACAATGTGTGAAACTGAGAAACGACAAAACTGTACGATTTTTGCTTGGCTGATACTATAAAAACATATTTGTTTAATTATCAAGCAATAGCACCTGTTCAAATTCGAATGGAAATTTGTATAAAAAGAACACTGTACGATTTACCTGTGCGACAGTATAAAATCTAATTGAATATTGGATGGAAAATCAACAGTGTAAACACACCTTTATACACAGGTGACGTGAAAAAATATGCATATGGAACTTCTTTCAACATGTTCAAGGCAGTCTTGAAAATAGGCATCTTATCTCCCGATATATCTGGAAGGCTGCAAAGGTGCTCTGAGGGAGGTTAAATTTTATATTTTGGAGAAAAAAATAATCGCAATCACAATCTCCAATAATTAGTTAATAAAATGCTCCGCAGGGCGCAGCTTGATACGACCGCAGAGGTCGAACCCTGAACAGTTGGGGCAAGTATGAACACAACATTCAAGCTTGATACAGCTCTGAATTTGGATTGTGATTAAATATTTGACACAGCATAGGTTTCTGACACAGAATGAATGTGGTCTAAGAACTTAAAAATTTTAAATTGGACATTCACCTATTATGGTCCAATATCCAAAATCTAAATACATGGTTAGATTCAGCATATCAAAGAACCCCAAGAATTCAATTTTTGATGAAATCAAACAAAGTTCAATTTTGGACCCTTTTGACCTCAATGTGGACAAAGTTGATAACGGGGCCCAAAAATCTAAATACATGGTTAGATTCAGCATATCAAAGAACCCCATATATTCAATTTTTGTTGAAGTTTAATTTTGGACCCCGATTTGGACCAACTTGAAAACTGGGCCCATAATCAAAAATCTAAATACATGTTTAGATTCAGCATATCAAAGAACACTAAAAATTCAATTTTTGTTAAAATCAAACTAAGTTTAATTTTGGACCCTTTGGACCTTAATGTAGACCAATTTGAAAACGGAACCAAAAATTAAGAATCTAAATACACGGTTAGATTCGGCATATCAAAGAACCCCAATAATTCAATTTTTGATGAAATCAAACAACGTTAAATTTTGGACCCTTTTGACCTCAATGTGGACCAATTAAAAAACGGGGCCCAAAATCCAAAAACTTAATACACGGTTATATTCAGCATATTAAAGAACCCCAAGAATTCAAGAATAAAACCCCATTGAAATTGATCAAGAAATAAGCAATTTATAAGAAGTATCTTCTTTTGCACAATACTGTGCAATTGAATATTTCTTGCTATTGCGCAATACTGTACAATTGACAATTTCTTGCTATTGCGCAATATTGTGCTATTGGATATTTCTTGCTATTGCGCAATACTGTGCAATTGAAGATTTCTTGCTATTGTGCAATACTGTGCAATTGAAAATTTCTTGCTATTGCACAATACTTATTATATAAAAATTTACACATCCTGTTTGGTGTGTATCTCCTACCATATCATTATTATTTGCTTTTAAATATAAATCAGAAATAACCAACTTAAAATGGAAAATTTTAAAAGAAAAAAAAAAAGGAAAAAAAGAAAAAAAAAGAAACCCCCCCCCCCCCATATTTTTTGAACCCCCTTATGATTCATCACCCCCAAACTCAATCCCAGCCTTCCCTTTGTGGTATGGTACCTTGCAGTACAATTTCAGAGAGATCCATACACTTGAACACAAGTTATTGTCTTGTAACTAGAAAAATGCTTATTTCTGGCCCCTTTTTGGCCCCAAATTCCTAAACGTTTCAGGCAATTACCCCCGAACTCAATTCCAGCTTTCCCTTTGTGATATGAAACCTTGTAGTACAATTTCAGAAATATCCAAACACTTACACACAAGTTATTGTCATGAAACTAGAAAAATGCTTGTTTTTTGCCCCTTTTTTGGCCCCTAATTCCTAAAATTTTGAGGCAATTACCCCCAAAATCAATTACAGCCTTCCCTTTGTGATATGGAACCTTGTGGTACAATGTCAGAGAGATCCATACACTTACACACAAGTTATTGTCTGAAAGTTACAAAAATGCTTATTTTTTACCCCTAATTCCTTAACTGTTGGTACCATAACCCCCAAAATCAATCCCAACCTTCCTTTCGTGGTATTGAACCTTATGGTAAAATTTCATGGAGATCCATTCACTTAAACTAAAGTTAGAGTGCGAAAACCAATGTGTCTTCGGACGATGCCGGACGACGCCAGAAGACGATGACGACGACGACGCCAACGTCATACCAATATACGACCAAAAAATTTTTAATTTTTGCGGTCGTATAAAAATTGGTGCAGGGCTCACGCTAGCAGGCGACTGGGGCGAAGAAATCGCTTCCCCATCCGTCACTTCGCTTTGCCTGACCGTCAAAAGCGATATATACTTGCCCTGATGTTCACAATAGTCGCTTTAAGTCGCTTTCGTTATCGGCAATTTTCAATTTTAACCAAGTCAATGAAACAGCAATTTTTCATTTATAAGTAAAGAAATTCAAGGACATAAACGATTTAATTCTTTAGAAAAGAGGTGAAAGTATTTACTTTACAGATTGGTTGTATGTTATTTCATACAGACAGCTATTTATGATCTCATTTATCACTTCCAGTACTTGTAACTTGAGAGCGTACATCAAAACAATCTGATTTTCGGCAAAATAAGTTTGTTATTTCATTAGAACGTGATGAAAGTTGCCTTTAGATAATGTTTAATCCATTTATTGCATTGAAAACGTCATATTCCTTTCCAAATCGCTTGTCAAACCATGGCTTCCAAAACGGTCATATATTCCCGACATTGTCCATCTGGGAAAAGCATGAAATAGTCATCTACTTTTAGTTTTTAAGGCTTCCTTAAAAGAAGGTCATTTTAACATAATTCAAAATTGGAAGTTCAATCTTTTTGACCCGATCTTTAAGTACTATCAAAACAAACCCTACTTTAATACCTTATCAATTTAATCAAGGTTAATTAGCTGTCGGACAGCTAAAATTTACCTGTTCAGGCGACAGGTAAACTATTTTGTACCGGACATTGACTGTCTATTCAAAGTTATTTTCTTACATTTCAGCGGTATGCATCTAATCAATTTAGTCAAAAGGATTGAAATTGTCAGAAATACGTTTATAAATATGATTTGATGAAAATTTTAAAAATGTTTTAAACGAAAAATCGTCAGAACTACGTTGTTTAAACTAGTACACGTGTGCACAGGTGGGAAATTTAATTATGCATCCTAATTCTTCAAAAATGCTAAAATTATCATTGATACCTTTATCTTATGTTCATTTTGAGTATTTACTTGAAGAAATAAAGTGAAAAGAGTTACTTAAACTCAATTGTGCTTTGTAAACATACACGGATTTTACGTATCAGTCTCTGGTCCATGTTTTACCATTGTCAAGTCAAAAACCAGTATTATAAAAAGGTCCTTTTTAAAACGAAAGTAAAGTATTTGACAACGTTATTTTGCACAAAAAGAGTCTAAGGCAGATATTAGTAAGCTGATGTTGCACACTTCGAATGATGCACTGTCAATTTAACAGTTTATGTCAGAACATTGAATTTATATCAAAGTAAAGTTTAATATCGTTTTTGTAATGTCAATCATTGGTTATATGATGACCAACTGATTACCATGGTCCATAATTGCCTTTTGTAATTAAGTCTTAAGGGATTAAAATCGGAATAAGACATAAAATGTCCGGCTGACTCAAATATTTTTTGGAGGCCCTGTGTCAAACATCATTTATTTTCGTCAATTTTCTTCATCCACCATTGAAATAATTGTGTGAACTACAGTGCGGAGGTGGGATTCATTGGAAGCGGACCAGCTATGAATGAGATAAGAATTCTTATGATAATAACTCAGGACGCACGAATGGCAAAGCTGACAGAAGAATAATGATCCCAAAAGGGAAAATTATGCATTCCACACACAATAACAGTCTTTAGGTCAGATCTTCTTGTTGAATGTATATATTTCCATGTATATGCATTTGTAATGAGAAACAATGAATTTAATAAACATGATAAACAGAATAGTTTTTTTAATT